GGAGACTGAGGTGGGAGGCATGGCTTGCTATGCTAGACAATAATTAAATGCAAGTGAAGATCGGGGCCTGTTGAAGCATTGAGAGTGTGTCCCGTCGCAAGGTGGGAAATATTTGCAAGAGACTTGCAAAAAGTGCTCCGCAAATGCCAAGGCGAGCAAGCACTCCTTGCGACTCAGACCCGCAAGCGGTACATACTGGCGAGGCTGGGTACTGGCTACTAAGCACATATATTGATTGTCGGTATACATACCCTATTCAGACATCACATGATGTATCTTACTCAATTCTGGTAGTAAAGGCATATTGAGGCTTGTGAGGTCTAAAGATGCGCTAATCACAAGTAGGCATCGATTTGCGCTACTTAGCCTACCAGTAAAGTACCGCGGGGCTAGACTCTGCTAGTCTCGAACATCTCCCTACCTGGGAAGGTTATTCCCAAGTATACGGGTAGAGCTAATTAGATCTGGTCAGTTGTTGTCGAGTGTGAGAGCAATCCATAGTTAAGACAGAGAGTCGTTCAGCTTCACCTACGCTTGTTCCGTCACAGTCGACTGTGTTATATAGGGATATGTGGCAGTGCTAGCAAGACCTAGGACTCTGCCATGCTCATACCTTCCTGGGTATCTCCCTACCAGTTCCTTCCCCCTTTTTTGGAATGCTTCCTGTCCCTCTCTGGCCCTCACGAGTGGCGTCTGATCGGATTCGTCCTTCCATTCGCGATCAGCACCATACTCGAGTAGTACCTTGACCACGTCATCCCGCCCGTCGCCAGCAGCATGCAACAGTGGTGTCTGGCCGATCTTGTTTCTTGATCCGATATCGACTCCGCCCGAAGCGAGCAGAAACCTAGCATCGCTGCCGCAACGAGAGATAGTGGAATCCTCCCATTGTGATCCCTCAAGTCAGGGTCGACTTTTCCAGTTGGAAACAGTACCGCCACGACATCCTGCTGTCAATCCTGGGACGTGTATTTGAACGGCGTGCGGCCGAATCCATCTTTCATCTCAGCATCAACTGTGTCCGAGGAATCGAGAGCCGAAACAACAGCCTCGTGTCGCTGCTTCGCGGCCAGTGTGATTGGGTTTGCGCCAGAGGCGTCGTTAGCGTTGGGGCATCGACTCCTCTCTCAGGTGAGAACCTGACGCCCCTTCATGTCCAGTTTTTGAAGCCACAGCAACGGCAATCATGTTAGAACCGGGTCATTCGAGAAGTCCAGTTGGGCACCATGATCCTTTAGTAACTTCACCACTGTATCGTCCTTTCTCTCAACCGCCCGCTAGAGTGGACCGACCTCTCTTCCAGGAACTCACTCTTGGGTTTCAAATCCGGATCCATAGATGCCGCATCGATTCTGGTTTTCCTCGCCGTATTCCTCAGAAAAGACAACAGATTTTGCACTCTCTTTGGCAACCCACCGATCCTTGTCGAACGGCTAAACTTGTCTGGACTCATGAAAAGAATACAAATAATTCATAGTGGCCCACTCCCCAGCAGCATTTCTTATCTCGACGTTCGCGCCACGCGGACGCAGCAGCGACACCACTGCGTCCTGGTCTCTCCAGGTCGCCCAATGCAGAACTGTTGCTCCCCTGCCATCCCGAGCGCTAATGTCAGCTTTACAATCGAGCAACAGTTTCGTGATCACCTGACCATTCATATCGGCTCGAGCTAATGAGGCTAGATCATGCCCGTCTTTGGCGTGCAGATTAGGTTTCTTTACGAGCACCAACTTGACCATCGCTTCGTGACCGTTGCTTGCTGCAGCATTGCCATTAAATCTGCTGACCAGGTCATTAATTACAACAGATGTCCAGATAGTCTTACCCGCACCTGGAACGCCTGGGTAGAATAATGTCTCTTTCTTTGTTACCAGCCAGGCGTGATATTCTGTCGACTCTAACAGCCACTGGCCCGTCCCTGGCTCACACCTGGAGATACAGCCATACTGCCGAGAAGCAAAATCAGTTTGACTGGGCCAGTTGAGGATGGTCTTTTGTTTTGCGAGTTCGTTTTCTAGGTATGGATGAGTCCAGCCTTGACTGCTATTCCAATGGCAGCCGTACTTCCAAGAAGATCGCCTAGATTCTTCTACATTCGTGTGAAGTCGTCTTCGACTATTTCGTGGATATGTCGGAGACCTCGCTTGACTGCCTAAGTATATGCTTTAGCATCTCTATATATATCTTTCCAAAACATGAGTCACTAACTTTCATTGAGTACGTCTTTAATCGCACGTTCGCCCTAGAGATCACTTGGCTGCACATAACCTAGAAGTTCTTTGGCTTCGGCAAGCTTCCATGCCGCTTGTCTAGCACGGCAGTCGCCTCAGTCTGCTCCTTCGGCGGAGCACAAACCCATCCTACAGTGTATTCGCCGTGAGTTTTGGTCTCGGTAGCCATCCATGGAGATGGTCGAAGCATCAGGCTGTGTCTTTCGGGAGACGAATGTGGAGTGTGGGGTCAATTGACTGGAGGCATACCCCGTTTCATTCGCGATAGCTGGTCGGAAACGTATGGTTATAACCAAATCAAACAATTCTGAACGCACTGCCTCTTTTGTAAGAACAGCATTTGTAAGTGGAGTGACAGAAGTCTTGGTCCTAGATGGAGCCGCAAGGTGCGACAAGCTGCATCAGCTATATTAGACATTGTCTCAGCCGCAGATATTGTCTGCCAGTCGCCAACGATATTTCCCAATGCACCATTAGCCTATCAAGGTTTGCCGCGTTCCTCAAGAGATGCCGTGAGGTCTTCGGCATCAGCATTGATTCTGGGGTGGCGTCGGGTGCCAAACGCTGAAGCGCGATTACTTGTATTCCGCGTGTTTTGGTAGGGAAGGGATGCGCACAGGGCAGCAACACTGTCGTCCCGATCGGGCGAGAGCATGCTAGTGGTGAAAGGAGACGGAAAAGTGTACTTGGTATTGGAACTTGCAACATTGATGTGGGCCTATGCTATTCATGGTCATTATTACTAGTGGCTCAATAGCACATTTCGCATCCTACCCGCAGTGGATTCCAGAAGCAGAGTTTCCAGGGTAGAGGCTTGCACACATTTTCGTAGTCACAAACGATTCTCTTGAGGTCCGGAACACTTGGCCGATCTCCGGTTCATTGTCATCTGTGAGGGACAAGTGTATTCATGTCAGAGTTCCATGGCTAGGACCCGGTGTCTTCTCTCTGGGGTGGACGTACACGGAGGCGCACAATCCTGTGTGATTCAGCGGCGACAAAGCATCCTCATCCGCCCTCGTGCTGGAAGGGACTCTGATCGCTCCTCCGGGCTAAAGGATCCATTCCCATGTCAAGTTAGGGAGCGCAGTATAGCGACCGCCTGCGTCTCAACTGCAAAAGTCTGTCTCTTTTGCTTTGTTATATGAAATCAGGAGGCAGATTCCCTCTTGACGGGAATGCGATTAATCCTTTGCGCCTCGTAGCCTCCAGGACCTCTGGTTTAGGTCATCCGTAATACCCACATACAAGGCGATCATCCTCTTCCTCTTCATTCCTCGGCTTAGTGATGAGGACACTTGCATTCACCTTTGCAACTATGTTGGGTAAAGAGAGAAAGTATCAGTCTGTGGTCTTACTCAGTCGGATTTTGCGCTCTCAATGCGAGGGTGGGATTGTTGAGGCACAACTATCAATCCGCTCACCACAGAGACTTGGGTCAATGATGGTATAGCGACCACCCGCCATCCACTGGTAAATCGATTCCCGTAATAGCAGTCGCGCCATCCCCAAGAAGGAAGACCACAGCCTGAGCCACTTCTGCGGTAGCAATATACCGCCCAATGGGCGGCGGCGGTAACGAGCCCTTTATGGAGACGGCATCGCCATCAATTGGCTCCATTGGACCTGGACAGACACAATTGACACGAATAGCCTTGGCCACATAATCCATGGCCGTTGCCCTCGTCATTCCCACAATTCCGTGTGCCGCAGCACAATATCCTGGAAAACCTCTGTCGCTCGCGAGACCCTGAGCAGCGGCCACGTTCACTATGCTGCATGGACCGAGGTTTCCCTTCTCCTTCTGGGCCAAAAACTGACGGATCTCTGCTCTCATCACCAGCCAGATCTAAGGAACGCATTGATTAGTTTCCACAGCGGACATGCAACTTATGGAGCAGCACTCATGTCAACTTACTCCTCTCTGCCAAATTTCGGTGTGCTGAACGAAATGTGTACGTAGCGTCTCCGCTGTCCTGCCTTCAACGCTCCTAGGTCTCTCACAGTTCGCGCAGCAATTTATTTCGCCAAATTCTTTGACTCCTGCCGCAATGAGCCGGTCGATTTCGGAGGGTTCATTCGTATTACATCTCTCGCTGATGATTTGTAAACTCGGATCTCCCAGGTGATGACATTCGCCCACTACCTTCTCGAGCGCTGAAACATCCCGATCACCCAGGATCAGTCTGCGACAGCCACTCCTCACCAGTAAGTGAGCAACAGCGCTACCGTCGTCTAAGATAATGAGTACTGGTTAGCGATACGCAAGGCCGACAACTTACCAGAGCCTGCTCCGATGACAAGTGCAACACCTGACGAGATAGACATAGCGAGCTTTTTGAAAGGGAGAACTGCTCCACGCCGTGTGAGGCTCTTAATAAACTGCCAAGCCTTTGATTATACTTACAAGATTCCATATTAGCTTAATATGATGCCCCGAGAGCGGGGGTTGCGCACCCACTAGCCTCGGTCTCGTAAAGATTTCGGCGGACCAGATGCTTTTAGCGTACTCTTCTCGGGATCTATGATGTGATGCCGATACCGAGCATGGTACCTCCCTTTACAGCCGTCTCCGGGCCATGTTCGGTTCGTTGGTGGATCAATGATCATATCAATTGAACGATGACGCCCAGGCCATAGATCTGTTCGCAGAGAAGGTTTCATTCAGGTTGGCAATATTCGACATGACCTTCGACTTGCCTGGTGTTTGTCTGATCACAGGCGCAGCCTCAGGTAAGAAACCCACATCCGTTCGCACAAGCGTCGCCAATGTCTTTCAAAGGTATCGGACGCGGCACTGCAATAGCTTTGGCAGAGGAAGGATGCTCAAGGCTGCTGCTGGCGGACATCGACTATAATGGACTAGAAGAGACTAAGGAGCAAATACAACGGATCAATCCGTCAACGGCCGTCCACATCCAACGCACTGACATCTCTGACGAAGTCTCTGTGCAGCAGATGGTTGATGCTTGTGTCTTGGTATTCGGCCGCCTGGATTATGCTCTTAATATTGCTGGTGTGGTTCCCCAGCGAAAAGGTATCGCTGAGGTCGACCTGGAGACGTACGATAAAGTGATCAATGTCAATGTACATGGAGTAAGTGTGGCTCACCCAAATCATGCTTTGCTGTCCCGCACACATCCTCTCCGGGTCTGCAAAGACATGGCAAGCAACTGCTAACCATTCTTGCCTGTTCAGACCTGGCTCTGCCATCGAGCTGAGATCCGACAAATGATGAGACAGCCGCCCCTCGAAGGCCATGGCCAAACGCGAGGGAGCATTGTCACAGTTTCATCCCTTGCGGGGATGAATGCATCCAGCGGCATGTCAGCATACTGTGCTTCGAAACATTCGCTGATCGGACTTGCCAAAGCCGATGCGCAGGACTACGGGCCCCATGGAGTTCGAATCAACGTTGTGTGTCCCGGTATGATCGACACCGAGCTCTTTCGCCAGACGAGCCCCGCCGACGCGCCGCCAAAACTGGTCGCAATCACGCCAATCCGCCGTCTTGGAATGCCTGAGGATGTCGCCTGGCTCATGGCTTTTTTATGCAGTGCGAAATCGAGCTTCGTACATGGCGCAGTGATTCCCTGTGATGGAGGACTGGTGCTGCAACGGGGGGTGATCTAGGCTTGATTTCTTTCTGGTTGATTTGCAACAATAAGTTCGTGCTGCGATTCGTACGGGGCCAGAATGACTTTTTCAAACCGGTCAGGAATTCAAGGAGTAGGATGCAGAACGTATAAGTAGTAGCTTTGATTATGCACCAGTGACGATGCGCCAACATCCAAGGAGAACATGTACGAACGAGACATTGCCAATGAGCCAGTTCTCAAGAACTAATGAAGTACATTATGCTTGTAATTTCCATGCTCATCCAGCAATTGCCGCGCTTCCGCCCATTCCTGCTGAGCCACTTGGACGTGCTTGTCACTACGAGGGACGAAGTTGCACCTGTACCAGGACAATCAGTCAATCTGACTGGTCAAGCAACGAGAATTGGAGGTATGGTGATCGACTCACAGGAAAGGAAGGGGACGAGCGGCAATTGACTGAGTGACTTCATCCATGTCCACATCAATGTCGCGCCCATAAGTGTCTTTGGCTTTTCGAATCTCAAACATCCACAGCAACCGAGCAGCGGCCAGGAAGAGAGTTCTCTCTGCAATGTGGACGCCGGGACAGATGCGTCTTCCGGCACCAAAAGTCCAATTGTCGCGGTCCCGAAAATCCGGGGCGGCAGCTGCTTCTGAAAACGAGAGGTTTGAATCATGTCTGCTCGGGTCGAATTGGCGGGGGTTGGGGAACAGGCTAGGGTCGTTATTCACAGACCATACGGCCATGACGACTGTTGCACCGCGGGGAATGCGGTAGCCATCGACGACATCGTCGGAGAGCGCTGCGTGCGGGATGGCACCACTGATAGCAGTCGGGAGCCCTAAGGAGATACATCCTGAGCGATGTTGTGCGAGGAGGTCGCGGAAAGATCAGGAAAAATTCTGTCCTGACACTTACATCTCAATGCCTCCTTCGTAGTCTGCCGGATATACGGCAGGGATTCAAAATCATCAATGGTAGGGAGTCTACCACTGCCAACTACGGCGTCAAGCTCCTCTTGACACTGTTGTTGAACGTTAGGAAATAGCATCATAGCCTGGAGAGGAGTTAGCCAGATATTCAATTAGCACTTGTATTGGGCGGACCGGACACTGACCTTTATCAAGCCAGCCAATGTATTGCTCGTGGTATCTGCAGCGCCCTCCATGGCAATTCCTGCGATATATGAAGCCGCGTGGTCTGTAAGAAGGCTACCGTTCTCTGTGCCTTTCCAGGTTTCCTTGGCTCTGCTAATGTCTGCTGCAAAACCTATGTGAGATCCCGCTAGTTAGTATGGTCAACCTGTCCATCGAGCCTGGGAGGAGTTTATACTCGGCAACGAATTATCCATCTGTGAAGCGCTTTTTGCATCTTCATATAGTTGTCGAAATTGTGTCTTCTCGCGATAAAATATTTGCTTTGCTTTTCTCGACATTGGGTAAAGCCATGAAGGCATCAGTCGAACTAGAGGACGGAGCTGAGGGTACCAATCCAGGAGTTTACTGCTGTTGACCATGACGAAGAAGCCGTGAGTGTTCTTAAATAGCTCTTGCATAACTTCACTCCTGGTATCAAGGACCCGGAACCCATAAGCCATACTAGTTGCTATACTCAGCGTTGTCCTCGTAATGAGGTCCTCGAAGTTGGCCGGGTTTCCCAATAAATCGACAATCAATTGCTTCGTTTCAAGATCCTGGTACGGGATATATCTTCCAGCCTTGTTGATATTCAGGAATTGATGATAGAGCTTTCTTTCCACTTTCCAGAGGGAGTCGTAGCCTCGCATGATGATCCGTGAGCCTTCCCAGATATCTTGCATGTATAGTTTTGGCCTATCAGAGTAGTTGCCGCTTTTTTTGTCGACCATTTTCTTGATCATCTCACCGCTGGTCAGGACTACTACGTTTTGGGACCCAAGCTTCAATGAGAAAATAGGTCCATCTGAAGAGAAGAAGCCAACTTCTCAGCTTTGTCGTCACATTCGGAGGCTCTACTAACTCACATTTTTGTCCCCACTTCTGATACTGGAGATGAAGGTCGCGCTTTGGTATCTGGTGAAGATTACCGATTATCGGTAGAGTTGGTGGACCTGCTCGAAGGTTAGAATGGCGGAGATGATTAACATGATTGTTTTGGTATCATTTACCTGGCGGTGCATTTTTCCATCTCACTGTCGTACATACCAACTGAGCCAAACATGCCAGTAAAACCACAACGGGAGCAACAAGGAGAACCACCCAAGCTTTCTCTAGATTTGAGAACATTCTGTGAGTCTCAATTAAAGGTCTGCCACGCACTTCCGGTGTTGGGTGAACCTAGATAGCACAACGTTACTAGATGCAGGAGGCGAGACTGGTGCTCAGTTCATGTGCGCAATCAGCAGATTTGAATTGTGTAGCACGTCTGATATGGTGGCTTATGAATCCATCGCCAAAACTTTTCCGGGCGCGTGTACCTTGTAACGACGATTATGTTTAGCAGCCTCGCAACTAGATAGCGCATGAAGGAGTTCACTACCTTCCAGGGCCGGGACTTTCGAGTAACCATCGCTCTCCCAGCGGAGATGCTGGAGACCCCGAACCTAGAAGTCGCAAAATAAGGGGGACGCCGAGCTCTGGGAATTTAAACCGCCAAGGCTCGGTGCCGAATTCTCACTGATGTTCATAACTTCTACGAGGTGTGAGGAAGCTGGGCACGGGGCGGGGTGTTTGACACGCTGGCTTACAACCTCGGCACGAGGCTGAAATTGTTCCTCAATAGGGTTAGTTTGTCTCCGGAAGCCCACTGGTCTACCCCACATTGAGTCGTAGCGATGCCAAGAAAATAAGACTTGTTCTGAGCTACGCCTTTTCTCCGCATTCTGAGGGATCTTTTCGCATCCTCCCTTAAGGGTTGAGACTTGTTTACTTGCCATCGCATTCCAGGTCTGTGTCGCAACATATTAGGAATTCGTCAAAACGCTATGACCTTGCTTTTTCAAGATCAACATGGACTGGCCAACCTCGACATTCGCCCGGCTAAAAAGCCCCGTGCTTGCTTGCACTGCCATGTCCGCAAAGTCAGGTGCAATGCCTGGGAAGTCGGAGTTCCCTGCACAAGATGCAAGCGTCGGAATCAAGAAAGCACTTGTGTGCTTGCCAATAGCTCGCACAGACGTGTCACTAGGTAGGCTATTCGCGCACACATTATCTATTCATACGAACTTCGAGATTGATTTCCCAGTGCTATCAAGTTTAAGAGACAAAGGACTATCCAGGATGTACAGACTGCAGTGCTGTTGCCAGTTGATACCGACGCGGGGATGTCATCGGGAGACTATGGGGTAAGCCTTCTCGGTAAAACATACCGCCGCTCTACATGTACCAATATCTCTCGGAACAGACGTCAGGCCAGCTGGTATCGCCTGAAAATCCACATGCAGAGTCGCTGCCCGGGCTAGATAGCTCACCACAAGTCACTAGTGTGACACCAGATCAGGGTCATCATCTGCGGCAGTCGCCAGTCATGGGTTGTTCGATCGAGGACGATCAACCTGAACCGGGTAGCGGTGGTGACGCGCCAACAAGGGAGGAAGACGTCCATTTTCGAATCTGCCAAGAAATGTCCCGAGCAAGGGCTGCGGCAATGTCACCTTCATATCAAGCGCAAAATCTGGATCGTCGAGAGGTTATCGAGCTACACGAAGGTATCAATTCGATGACAATACTTGGCGAAGTTCTTGGCCGGCAGCGGCCAAATCGTCTGGTTCGGGTTGTTGTCGCGAACGACGGGTCCAAGGTCTGCACTCATCAACCTTTTCCGGGTCTGGACCATGCCGATATGGTATACATAGCAGCAAAAGGCGCCCTTGATTTTCCTTCTCCTCGGATTTGGTATGCCCTTATGTTGGCCACACATACCACATTGGCAAGACTGACAAATCACTAGCGACGCGCTTGTTCGCGTGTATTTCGCCTGTATCTACCCTTACGCACCTATCCTGGACCGTGTGAAGTTTATGCAAGATTACCGAGCCCATCGCCATTCGTCATTTCTCTTGCAATCAATCCTCGCCAATGCAGTTCCTCATGCTCCTAAAGAACTTCTCCAAGAAGCCGGCTACACGGACAGAGTAGCTGCTCAACGTTCGCTATATTCCAAAGCGAGACTCCTGTACGACATTGGGAGCGAGAAAAGCCAGCTCCATCTACTCCAGGGCTCCGTCATGTTAAGTTCATTGTCGTTTTCGTATGCAATAGACAAAGACTATCGCTACTGGCTTAGCAATGCAGTCAGAATCGCCACTCAGATGGGACTTCATCGAAACTATGTCTCAGAAACGTTAGGCGCACGGACGAAAAGGCTGTTTCGCCGTATCTGGTGGGTTTTATACAACCGGGACACGCTCTTGACTATTTCAGGCATCGACAATCTGAGGAGGTTCAATAACAGATACTGTGACACCGCCCCTCTGACTGAGTCAGATTGGGAAGAAGACACGGAGATTCCGGTACAGTTTCGGGACATCCTCTGTCCAATACCACGGCTGCAGAAACTTTTCATGGTCGAGTACAGCAAACTGTCAATAATAAGTCAGCCACTCCATCACTTACAAATTCAGCTATTTTTTTTTGCTAATCCCCTTACCTTAGGTGGTCTTTTCATCCGAGACTTCAAAACACCAAACAAAATACCGAGCGCTGAGGAGATTGCCCATGTCAGCGACGAAATCTGCTCCTGGCGGAAACAATTACCCCCTGAGATGCAGATCGGTACCTTTCAGGAGTGGTCTTCGGATAATATATGGGTCCTGGTCCTATTGGCGATGGGATTCCGTCTCGAGGCCGTTTTCTGCCGGGCCGTCAAGGATCACTATCGGAGTCAGAACGATCCTGCTTTAATGCAGCGAGTAGCTCAACGACAAGAGAGTGCCATGTTTGAACTTTCTACGATCATTCAACGTGCCTCTGTGCATGAGGTGCTTCACCTCTGCCCTCTGTCCTTGTATGTCCAATCGGCGTAATTGAATCTGCGCCGCCATCCGTGTTCGCGCACTTGCTGACCAGAAACCGCGCGCAGCATGACATGTGCATCCACAATTTTAGCGATGCGCATTGAAATCGCCCTCGATCCCACTATCAGTTCCCGGAAGCTTCTCGCCACGAAAACGCAGATCTACGCTGAACTTGAATATCTCCGTGAGAGCTGCGAATACTGGAGTAGCCTGATCTGGACGTTACGCATGTTTGAAGCCGTCGTGTCCCGGACAGGACTCGGCCTTACGACGGCGTCACCGAATGAGGCGAAGGATCGAATTGAAGATACACCCCAAACCAACCCTCAAGATGGAACTCCTGGCTCCCAGAAGCAACTCGTGACTGGGCACATGGACAGCTGGGAAGGTGGATCGATCGTTCCGAGTACCGATGCAGATTTCTCCGTGTCCATGGCAGACGACGCCTTTGGCATTTTGCCGGTAACGGATAACTACAACTGGCTGCAGGATCTGCTTGGTGCGGAGCATACGAGCGACATCATGGATCCACTCAACGATTTTCTGTGAGCGGAGAGCATCAGAACCGGTATATCCAAATTTCGCTGTTCACTTGTCCTCGTGATTCAATCATAAACGATCCTACACAATGCCTGCACCCAAGGCAATCTTTTGGCAACCAAAGAACATAGTGGGAAAACTAGGTCTTTGAAACAAATTGCTGTTGAAGTTTCTCGAAGATTTCTCTTTTGAAAGTGTGCAAATCTAATGGCGTTGGAGTCTACCTAGGGTGCGATGGTGATATATTCAACGCTGCTGGTGGGTGGTTCTGAAGCCATGTTTGTCTCGTTCCCGCGCGCACGCCTTCAATAGACAGGTTCTGGAAATGATGTAGGCTGCTTATCCTCACCGTTCAGCAAACCATAATACCAAGTGATGTCTCTTCCATCAAATTCGCGAATATCGAACCCGTTACCGAGGAAGTTGAAGCGATTGTCCGACAGATAGTCCAGGTCAAAGTCTTCGAAGCGGGGCTTCTGCAGCATCGTCAGGTAATGCACTCGTGAACCCGGCCAGCAAAGAGGTTTGCGGGAGGAGATGCCATTTTTGAACCACGAGCTGCACGGACCTGACCATGCCGTCCGCTTCAGGTACAGATCCGCGTGCCGCGTGAACGCCTCTGCCACCGATCGATTGACACGCAGGCTCTTGACGTCCTCGACCTGCACCTTCTGCAAGACTTGGATGATGTAGTTGGTGTATGCTTCCACCATGGGGATCACGGAGCCGTGGCCCAGCGGGCCATAAGCCCCAATAAAGACAAAGTAGTTTGGCACCGAAGGCATAGACAGGCCTAAGTAACCTGTGACATCGCCGTTTACGAATTCTTCCTGGAGGTTCTTCCCGTCGACAAGCATGGGAAACGACGGTCGGAAGCTTGTGTCGAACCCGGTCGCGCAGATAATAACGTCCACTTCATGCGCTTGGCCTTTGCCATCGACGAATCCTGTGTGTGTCACCTCTTGAATCTCTTCTGCGAGAACGGTAGTTTTGTCCAGCGTCAAGGCTTCCAAAAATCCATTACCGGGTGTGGGGCGGCGACACCCTACGCCAAAGTTAGACGGGATCAATTTGTCCATCAGCTCGGGCTTCTTCTCCAGCTTCTTCTGCATCTCGCGGATTGAGTATTCCCTGGCCATTTTCGCATCTTCGGAGCCGTTGATGTAGAATTTGAAGCGGATATTCAGCTCGGACTCGATGGCTTTGCAGTAGGACAGGTAGAACTGGGGATCGTCTTTGAATTTCTGCTGTGTCTGTTTCGAATAGTAAAAGTTCTCGCCATTGGGGCCGGCATATGTGGGTGCAAAGCCTGCGGTCACCCAGATTGGTGATCGAGCAACGACGTAGAGCTGATCGACCTTGTCGATGATGGTCGGTACGACCTGCACACTCGAGCTACCGGCACCGATGACGAGAACTCGCTTATTTTGCAACTCCACGTTCTCGTTCCAATGAGCGGTGTGCAGAAGAGGGCCGCTGAAGTCATTTAGGCCCTTGATCTGAGGCCATCGCCAGTTGTTAAGCACGCCGCCACCGTTGAGGAAGAAATCCCCGTAGTCGACAAAGGTATCAGCGGGATCATTGTTGCGCATAATGGTGACTTTCCACTGACCACCAGTTTCAAGCCACTCGGCTCGGATGATCCTGTGGTTTAGACGCGCGAACTTCATCACGTTGAAGTCCTCCGCTACTTGTCGGAAGTACTGGTAAATCTGTTTCGACCCCGAGTAATAGCGTTCCCAATCCGGCTTCAAATGCCAACTGTACTGATAGCAGACGCTGGGAATATCACATGCACATCCCGGGTATCTGTTCTCCAACCAGGTTCCACCGATGTCGCTGTTTTTCTCATAGATCACCAGTTCAACATTCTCCATCTCCTTTCCAATCTGATGGGCGAAATTGATCCCACTGCATCCCATGCCCATGAAGATGACCTTCAGCTTGCGTTTGGTGCCCATGGGGCTTTCGCGGATCTGGTAATTGTTGCATAGATCTTTGACATTGCCATTGATCATTTTCGGACCTTCTACAGCTGAGGATTGCAGAGGTTCTTCCAAGACACCATTCAGCGTTGGCTTGAGTGTGGTATTCATCACTTCTTCTTTGACGCCAGCCGCCGTGACTACCTGTAACTCGTCGACAGAATGTACCATGTTGGGATATCATTGACAATTTGAACTTTGAAGAATGTCATAAACGGGTATTTACAGACCACCTTCTTGATAACACCACACCCCCTCGGCATGGGCGCCATAGATTTCGCCATTCGGCCATTTGTCGCTTTAGTCGAGCTTTGGGTAGGATGCTTCTTACCCGATGGTAGGTCCATACCGATAAGAGACGAATATTAGCAGAAAGCCCTGAACCGGGTATTTTCTAAGTTCCATGTCGGCACTGGAGAGTTGGTCTCGGGCTCGGCGCCGCTCTCGGGGAAGCTTGGAATCTTGACCGAACTCCAAGATTTGGCTCGGCGTCGGCAAGAGTCAAGTGCTCCTCGCTGAGATCGGATTAGTTTCATGTTCAGTACAAATCTTGGACAGCGAAGAGCTGCTCCATCTCCATTCGTTGGTTGGTAGCGAGTTGGTGAAACGACGGATAACACAAAGACTATCCTTGGCTTTGCCTCGGCTCTTTCAGCTCCTGTCGGCTCGCCGGGCACTACAGTTAATAGGTGGTCAGAAGCTGACGAAACGTGACTTCTATATCAGTACCTGCTGCTTCGTGCAGCTGGTTACTTTTCAGACATGATGAAGCCCTCGTGCCCTCGAGCATTATCCGAAATGTCATAGACTCTTTCTAGAGACGCCATCACGGTCCTGGTCCACTGGAGGCTCACTTCCGCGCAAGTTGAAAATGGAGGACCCCAAGGCCCCGAAGGCCGAGCGCTATACGACCGAGTTATTGAAGACTCCTGGAATGGCATTTGATATTACGATTCCAGATCCTAAGGAGAGGATAGAGGCGTACATTAATGCATATCGAAATGCGGCCACGGCACACATGCAGGTACGTTGTGGGAAATTCAAAACCTAGACTTTCTTTGAGTCCTGCTCTTACTAAGTCTCCTCAACACTCTAGACATTTGATCAAGCTTTCATGCGCGATCACATAAAGATTGTAAGCGCCTCCAGCACGCCAGGGAAGACAACCGCTGTTTTCGAGATGAAAGCCGCTCCTCTCTTTACAAACCGCATGGGCAACATGCATGGCGGAGCTGTGGCAATGATTCACGACATGTGCACAACAATGGCTGCTGCACCTTTAGCAAGGAGGGACTTTTGGTGGTTTGGAGGTGTATCTAGGACTTTGTTGATTACATACCTTCGACCCGTGCGGCAGAACATGGATCTCCTCATCGAGTGTGAGGTGTTGCAGCAAGGAGCCCGTTTGTCGACAATTCGTGGCGAGATGAGAGACAAACGGACAGGCCAATTACTTTCCGTGGCAGAGCATAACAAGGCCAGCATCAATTTTATTGAAGCAAAATCAAAGTTATAACGAAAAGACGTGGTTTCATCGATACATCCAAGACGATTTCGCCACTTCAATGCCGAGAAAGATAGAGCGTTCTACGGGTGGAGGCTTCTACTTGATATTCTCCACCGACCAGCCTCCTGGCCACCCTCAATTGGGCTGCCCACTGCCCTTGAGCCATGTGACACGATATGCAATGGTTTCGGAATCCATCTTGCCTTGCAGGCAGTTCTCACAATCATCAGCAGTCACAAATTGTAGATAACTTGCCTGAACTCTTCCTCAAAGATGTACCCGCTCATCTGCAGCCTTCTCATTAATGTGTTCTACGAAAAGGACCCTAGACTGCTCAATGCTGTTAATGAATGGCATATTCCCACGAAGCCCAATTTCTTCTAGTGCCGCGCCGATTCAGGCTTTCGTGGATGTTGAGCCATCAATCATCTTTTCTGACGCTCGCACATGATCCTTGATCCACTGGATAATCAGACCATCGGTTTTCCTGCGAACAGCCGGGGAGATGAACTTCGATCCGACTGCATAGATGTGCAATTGAGCCCATTCAATGACCAACTTGCACTCCACCCCTGCAGCGCGACACAGCTCGGCCCATTTTTCGGAGTCATATCGAGCAAACTCCGCTCCTCCGGTCAAGATCAACTGTGGGCTCAACCCTTCGAGCGCTTCGGGCTGATGATAAAGTGGGTTGACCTCCGGTGAATCGGCAGGAATATCGCCTATGAATAGCTTGGCGAGTGCTGGAACGGCTCGATTAGCCACTATGAAGTAATCAGTTTCGACTGCGCCGTTCCCTCCTTCGTAGGCCTTCCCGTTCATATCGAGCCATGGCGATATCAAGACCGTTGCCGCAGGCTGAGGAAGGTTGTGACCTTTGAGCTCCAGCCCAGCAAGAACGCTTACTCCGCCTAAGTAAGCTAATCAGTAGAAGCATAAGATCATGAGTAGTATCCAATTCCCACCTCCAGCTGAATCACCCATAAAAACAATATTTTCAGGCTTTATATCGTTGTCGAGAGCATATCTGTAGACTTCGAGGAATGCATTCCTCTGTGCCGGATGACTCTCTTTGACGGACAAAGCTGTGCGACGCATTAGCTCACTGGGTCATGTTCCATCAAGACAGATAGACACACGATATTCAACGCTCAGGAAGAGGAGGTCTAGATTGGCTTCGCGCGCTTCTCGGACCCATCGCTCCATGTAGTTGACATACATTCTCGCTTCGCCGCGCGCGTAACCACCACCGTGGGCATAAATCACCACACATTGTTGCTGTTTTGTCGTAGGCAGGACAAATTCGGAAAGATCCCGAGAGCCAGGGATCAAGTAAGCGGGGACGGATTCATCTATCTTGCGAGCTCGTTGAAGAGACAATCTGCCCACTGGAAGCCTATGGGTCAGGTCGGGGAAAGTCAGCGCGGCTGATGCCAGATACGCTCGAAAAATTTGTATCCGAAGAGACTGGTATATCGGGAAATGTGGAAGCAAGACCCGTCGCAGGAGTAGTAGCAGGATCTGGGTAAAGAAGGAATAGGAGAAGATAAGGGAGCGTAAAGGATGCTTCAACAGCATAAGAAGGAGCTTCATGATGGCGTGAACCGGCTGATGACCTGATGATAATTTGACGAGAATGTGTATTCCGAGTTTTGTACCTGTTGCGAAATATGCAAATGGTTTGCAAATCTTGCTCGAACACGAATGATGCTTGCAGTGGCCAGCCTCCTTGGTTCCTAAGCTCGGTGCCGCAGGATGAGGGTGGGCTGGGGCGGGGAATTCAGCTTAGAGTTAGATCCCACTTTCCTCGGCAACCCAACGTTGGAGTTTTGTTTGTCCGAAGCAGATGTGGGGATGCACAGCCTTGCTGCCCGTGCGGAGTGAAAATGTATCCCGTAGCCTTGTGTCGCATCAAAGTCATTGCCAAGGCCGGTAGGCTCAACGTTAAGAGGAATACTAGCTACTTGGTAGAGCTCAGGTGCCACTAGTGCTTTAGCTTATAAACAAGCGTCTCCAAATACGGCAAATTTTACAATAAGGTTTTCATCACCTAAAAAGTCTCAAAATGTGGACTTTTCCTTCCTCCAATCTCTCCAGTTGTGTAAAGCTATCGATAGTCGCTCCCTGCGAATAATTCATGATACCTTATTCATGCGTGCGGCTTTCGTGCTAGAAGCGAGGGTGCCCCGCTATAACAGACAATTGAAAAGATAAATTTAACAATTGATTCGCCTGCTTTACAGTACCGTGAGAAGTAGTTCTTTGCACAGGAAATACTAGAGAACAAGTATCCAAACATTTTCCCGTCTGTTAACTTGCAGGCTATAAGCAGCAAAGGAATACCACGTCTGCCGGCCCTTCACGTGATGCGAATCTTCTCGGCGTGGGAAAACGGCTCCCTGATGACTGCGATCTCATGCTTCTTGACGAACACCAGACAATCCTCCTTGGTGCCGCCGAGGACGAACAACAGCTGACTGGTTGCGTTGTTGTAGTTGCTGCTGATCCAGTCGTCGGGGATAAAAAAGTGGCGTGTGTACTCGCCTCCGCGGTGATCTGTGGACAGTCTCCTCGCCTTTGTTGAGGGTAGAACAAGGTCGTAAGAACATACCCAGAGAGTCTTGGACAGAAATACCAGCTGCTTGCCCTCGTTGCGGATGCCGATGACGTGCTCAATCAGGTGGCTGACTGGAAGAAGATTGGCGCGAAGTGCTGCGCCAGTTGTGTCGGTGGGTTGCGAGAGGGTATCAATCGTAGCGGGATTGGGTTGTGTGAGGTCTAGAATCCAGCGTTTTCGATTGGACGATTTTGTTGATGTCGATGCCGAGGGTGACAGTGTTGTGGTCTGCGAGGAAACGGACCGGAGAAGTATTCGGTGACCTTCTCCAGACAAGCTGGTTGCGCGATCAAAGGTCATAATGTTTTCTTGGCCGCCTTGGACTGCATCAGTCGGGGATCGACCAGCCGGTATGGAGAACGAAAGGTGTTTTCCAGATCCGACTTCTTCGAGGTCTTCCCAGCTGTAATTTCGAAGCCTGTCTGGCTCCACGAGGGTTACATATTGACTAACGATGGACGGGTCTGGTGGGTCCTCGAGAAACAATCCATCATTATCGAAGGTTCGAACTCTCGACTCCGTTAGAGAGCACTGCCCTGTCAAGGGACATTCCGCAAGCCACAGACTGATTGCCCTCGTCGTGACTACAGCCATTCGTAGACATTCGGCAGTCTCTTGGAAGAGTAAGTGTACGACGGGGTGGAGAAAGACATGCCGCAGAAGAACGGCCTTGACCGACCAATCAGGGCCGAGTACAAAGACCGTAACAGTCGAAGTTCCACTGACAGATGCAAGGATTTGGTTCTTCGCCTTCCACACAAGTCTCCCTATCCATTGTTTGTCCGCGACTGTGTATAGCAGCTTCTCCTTGTTTGCGTCCCCTGGGCTGTAGATCGCGATGCGACCGTCTTCACGGCCACAAATGAATTGCTCAGAGTTTGTGATCGGCACAACGGCGGTAATGTCCACAATACCATCTTTCAGCCCCGTCCAATCGCTCGTTGCGACTGTCGGATTCAGGGTCGACTCAGAGAGACTGTCTGAATCTTCTTTCACACGGCTGACCAAAGCTGCAGGTGCCCAAAGATTCGCTTGTCGATCACGAATGTCAATTATGCGACAGCCGTCACCGCTGAAGACAAGAGAGCGTATGTTTTCGAAGGAAGATGTGAAGAGCACGTGCAAGGGGACCAACTGCTCAAAGTCATAGAGAGTAATGACTCCTTCGACACTTGCAGCAGCCAAGGTTAGACCATCAGGAGATCCAGCTAACAGACTGACAGCTTTGTTATCTCCCCTCTTCTCGATGAGACGAATATCACGGTCGAAAACTGCAAGGATGCCATCTCGGTACGCAACAGCAAGCAGTGCCACGTCAATGTTTGCACAGAATGTCATTGCAGTGATCGGTTGCTCGGTGATGCCATAGTCGCCATCGTCGCTCATTTCGAGCTCAACCATGCCAACGTCATACCGGTCTTCAATATCCGAGAGCTGAATAGGGCGTTCACGCTGCATTGTTGCAAGCATCGCGGCCTGTGCCGAAAACTCAGCGTAGCGAAGTTCGCGTCGAAAAAAAGGAAGTGTTTCCTCAGCTTCATCGGATACAACGTTTGGCCTTCTTTCGGTGGCTTCGATTATAGCTCCTGTCGCGACGTCTTGCTTGATCAGTTTATGCTGTGACGAGATGGAAATGAGGGTGCGATTCTCCTCAATAAATTCCGCCGCCAACAGAGGGTCTCGCACAGCCACTTCCCACATCTGAGTTCCTTCTGGGATCACCCACATTCTGACTCTACGGAAGCCTGCCGAGAGTAGGATTGAGCCTGTGTCATCGTACTTCAGTAGCTTGACAACAGCGCCATGACGCACAGTCCTTGATATCTGCAAAGTGACGTTGTCATAGACATGAACTATTCCATTTCTCAATGCAACCGCGAAACTATGCTTTCCGCTTGCTACTGCTGTGTACGTGGTTCCTTGGTAGAACATGCTGCAGAGACGGTCATCCCATCTTTCGTTGTTGAAACCAGTAACTGAAACCTGTCTCTGGCCCCGTGTCTGCCGGGGCTTGTCGATTGAAAGAACACTTTCTTTGGGTACGAAGGATGGCACCAACACGTATATTGCGCCCGGGAACTCCAAGAGGTGTCTGCCAGACTTGGCCACGACTCGGACGAAGTCTACAGTCCACTGCTGCAATTTTATTGTCTTTTGGGCCAGTTCTCTAAGCCTGGGTTTCGTCAAGGCGTATCAAACCCTCGACTCGCTTTGCTGTTGCAATTAGTACTCTTCTTGGTTCGGCCGCTAACTCCATCCAAGCTTATATCTTACAACTCAGTCGGAATGGCGGGGAAGTGGAAACTCTCCCCTGGAAGCCCTGGACTCCACCTGCATTGAGTCTCTGTCGCTTAGCTATTGAGAACAATCATACAGAGTCCATTCCAAAAAATAAAAAGGAAAAGAGAAGAATAAAAAAGTATAAAGAGATGGTGCCCCATAGTTGATGCTCTAGATTTACCTCCCTTTCGCCAACGCGTCTCTCTTTATGCCCGTTGGTTTATCCTCGCCGTTCCAGTACTCACTCTGCGGGAACTCAATCAGGTATTTAATGGGTACAGTTGCAATTTACTATAGAGGAAAAAGGCTGATGTATTTTGAAAAGAGGTTACCTGCTACATCACTTCAGGACGTGTGGTATGCGATCCTTTCAATGACATAGTGCCTTCCTTATAAGCGTTGAGATCCCGTTGCCTCGGTCCTTCCAGCATAAATTTTGAATATCTCCTCAAAGAGCCGAAAAGCGTATATATCCCTTCTTGGCGGGTGATCCAGTTATTGAAGTGGTATGCCCGTCAGGAGAATAACATATGAACAGTTATGCTTTCCCAAGCAGGTCCAACCATACCAAGGGACCCTTTCTCAACATCCCGCACCTCTAAGAAGTTTCGCGGTGTAAATGTGCGATGCTGACAGCAGTCTAATTATCCTGAAGTACTTTGCCAAGTCTACCCTAGAAACCTCTCGCTTTGTTGACCCAACCCTTTCAGCGGAATAGGAGATTACAAGCGACTTCTGACGGTAGATGACTTCGCACGGGCTCTTTCCTGATCTCTCAACATTCGCCGTAGAATTTTACCGGAAGCACTCTTGGGAACCTGGTCGACGAACTCTACACCACCCCCCAGCCACTTGCTACGGCTTTTCTTTTGGCGCACAAATTCTTGCAATTCCCGTGCGGTCTGAGGCTCAGGCTTAGCCTTTTCGCTGAGCACGACAAATGCCTTGGGCAATTCCCCCGAGTACGGATCGGGAATACCAATGACAGCAACGTCCACGACTAGCGGATGGCCAAGTAACAGATCTTCCAGTTCTGCCGGAGCCACTCCTACTCCTTTAACCTTCGCGGTGTCAGCTACCCTGACTGAATTTATTGAGCCCGGAACATACCTTGATCATTTCTTTTAGCCTGTCCTGAACTAGAAGCAGACCATTCGGAAGCATGGAGCCTATGTCACCCGTGTGGAGAAATCCTTCTTGGTCAAATGTCTCCAACGTGGCGCTTGGGTTGTCAAGGTAACCCATGGTTACCTGAGGGCCTTTCGCCCAGATCTAAAGAACCATCAGCACAAGATTCAAAATATAATCATCTCACTGTCACATCTACTCACCTCTCCGCTGTCGCCCTCTTTGACCTCCTTTCCGGTGTCTGGGTCGACAATTTTCAGCACCGTTTCCGGGACAACGGCGCCTACGGTGTGAGCATTCTCATATGTTTGCAGTGCGGGTGGTGTCAGAGTAAGTGCGCTCGTGCTTTCGGTCATTCCCCATGCCTGTCGTATCGCGATGTGCGGGAATCGCTTCGCAAGTTTGTCTACGATCTCTTGGGCCAGAGGCGCGGCCCCAGTGTTGAACTGCTTGACCAAGGGCAAGTCATGTCCAGCTGCGATGGGATCGTTGACAAGCCTGATTAGAAGGGCTGTTGGCCGAAGAGTAAGCTCAGCTCAGGTGCTCCAAATTCCGAGGTGCGAAGGGGCCTTACGTGGAACAAGCCACAATTCATCGCATTTGTATTTGGTAATCGTGTCCATCATGCCTTTCATGTCAAACTTCGGCATCAAGACGACTTCTTGATCGAGCACAATCGGCAACTGCAAGATCTGGACGAGCCCGGTGACTAGCGTGTTCTTAGTCGCATCCTGCGCAAATACTCCTGGAGACATAACTTACTGTGAAACAGTGGCAGAACTCCGAGCAAAACTCTTGGAAGATCCTGTCGTCCAAGCGACTTCATTTGCAGGATCTGTGCGATCACATTTCTGTGGGATATCATGACCTGCACCACATTAGTCATTGCACGGACCAGGGGCCAGCACGCTTACCCCCTTGGGCCGACTTGTCGTGCCAGAGGTGAAGCTCAAGTACGCGCAGATTTGGCCGTTTTTGCTTCCCTGAGGAATTGTGAAAGGCGTCACAGCCACACCTGAGTCTCCCTCTTCGAGTAATCCCTTAACCGAAGGTAAAGTGCCAAACGCTTGTGACTGCGACCGAGCTGGTTCGAGAAGGACAATTCGTTCCCTGTCAAAACCTTGGGTGACCGCTTTGAGTGAACCTTGATCCGCAAATACCAGCTTGGCTCTCGACGCCTTCATGATATAACCGGCTTCATCTGGACCATACTCCGGCGAAGAGCCCGTAAAGACCACCCCCAGCCGAACCGCCGCAAACATCGTGACAGGGTACCATATCGTGTTCGACGCGAATACGCAAACTCCATCTCCTGCGCGCAGGCCGTATTTGTGGTACAATATGTTAGACAATCGAACTGCCAGGCGTCGGATATCATCGAAGGAGAGGAATTGGTCGGTCGATGCGTCGCGAAAGCCTCCTGACGGCTTGATCCCGGGGGATGTATGTGTGGTTTCGAATAACCATGTCCATATAGTTACGTTGTCGGGTATTGCTGAGAGCGATCAGCACAAAGCCCCGGAAAAAACACTGCAGTGTATGGTTCTTACCCGGACTCAGCTTCGATCCTTCGTACGGCATATTGAAAAGACCAACGTGTGGTTGTGTGCTCAACAATCCAAGCCACTACACGGGCAGCGTAGGCCTCGAGAACAGCGTTTCGTTTATTGGAGCTCTAGGTGTTTGAAGCCTACCTGCCAGCACGGCCAAACGCGCAAGAATTTGTGCACAACAAGAATTTCCAGACAGACTGAGGTCTAAGCACCATCTAGCGACTGCTCATCCATCGCGGACCAGGCCAGAAGCCGTGATCCTGAACCTGAACCCAACCTCTCGCGTGGCTGGCTATCAGTCAAGACCTCGGCTAAGAGGGGTGGCAGCACCCATCGCACTTGTTATTTTCGGGCTTTGGGGCAGACTTGACGCAGAGAGGCTGACATGAATTGTCTCACGCGAACCCCGCATCCTTGGATTGGATAGGAGTTGACTGGCTTCCGCCTGTGCGAGGCCCACAATAGCTAAGCTACGAAGAGATGGGGAGTCGGTGGGGGAGCGCATGAGATATCCCTGACTCGAATCAACTGACACAACCAGCAAGAGCATAACTTTTGCTGCCAATCCACCCAAAACAGAAGCCCTAGAGAAACGAGCAGTCTTGTCGAAGAGAAACACATGCGCCTCGCAGTTGGTATCCCCTCGAACGTCAGAAGAAAGATTAAGGCTCTCCACCAGCCTCGTCGTTCAGGTGTTAGGTTGACTTTAGCCGGGTAGTCCAACTCCCCCCCTCCTTTTTCCCCTTAGCCGAAAAGAAATTCACCAATATTGAAACAAAAAATGCAAGGCACATTCTTAGCCTCATTTGCTAATACTTAGGGTAGGTAGGGCTGTCAGTATGTTAGCAGAGTACCATCTCAGTCCTAGAAGCTGTGAAATTCATCTTGCTGCTTTACATACCGGCTGTTTTGGAGGGGCATTGACCCAGGCAGCCATTTGATACTGGTGATTATTTGCAGCAGTAAGAGCAAGATTGTATGGCTGATCGCCCCTGTAGTTGAAGAGAAAGTTCATCGGAAAGAGAGGATCAAAGACGTATGCATTCTGGATCATCTTGATGTCGTCTTTGGAGAGCTTGACGCGCAATGCTTCCGGCATAGCTTCGACATGCTCAACGGTCTGAACGCCAACGATAGGAAAGACGTAGGCGGATTGCTGGAACAAATACGCAAGAGCCTGGTTCAGAGATTAGCTTTCTTCCGGTGTTGAAATTTGAGGGCAGCTGGTGACTTGCCACTGCCTGTGGCGTCGTAGACTTGTCCTCCGCAAGCTTCTCTAGCACTTCGGAGACCTTGATGTCAGCTTCCCTGAAGGTGTAGCCTTGTCGAGCATCCGGATCCTGCTCCCTTTGCTTTCTTTGTTCTGCTGACATTAATTGGCCGCCACCCAAGGCTGCCCAAGGCACGATCGCCATGCCTTGGTCCTCGCACATGGGAATGATTTCTGCCTCCATGTCCCTAAACGCAGCATTCCATCGTCCTTGGTAAACAGAGAATGGAGTAAGACCGTGGCTGCGAGCGTCTATGGAGCCAGGTTTAGATCACCGATGCGGTAAGACGATGGGCCAAAACACTTACACGAGTTGGCTTTAACCACGACCCAAGCAGGGGTGTCTGATACCCCTAGGTAAAGGACTTGCCGGGCCATAACAAGAGCGTGAAGATGGGTCATTACCTCCTCCACGGAAGTTGCAAAATCCCACCTTGAGTTCGTCAGTATCGGCTACGGCAATGGAATATTCTCGCACCAGTGCACATAAAGTATGTCAATATAGTCCGTCCTCAGCTTCCGTAAGCTGTCTCTGGTGGATATGTTCATACTTTTTGCAGAATTCCCTGTGAAATTGCTCTGCATTGGCTCCTCGTTCCGTCTGTAGGCTCGATAACCGGCAGAGTACTTTGTGGCAATTACCATTTGGTCTCTGTTATTTCGTAGCTCCATCCATTCTCCAATCAGTCTCTCGGAATCCTCCGAGTTATATGTGTTGGCTGTGTCAATGAAATTACCTCCCAGAGAAAAGAATGCGTCCAAAAGAGCGAAGGGGTCTTCATTTTTCCCAAAAATTTCCCTCCAGGCGCTGCCAATGCTGATGCCACCTAAGCACAAAGGGGAGACTTTGACTGATGCTGTAGGAGACAAGATGCGATGATATGCCAGCGGCGTCAGTGGTTTTGGGGGAGGTGCAAAGAACGCCATCGTGGAGTTCGTAGAGGGCGTAATAGTTGGTAGGTCAATATATCGGAGAGAGAAAAAAAAAGGATAAACGTATGCTCGTGTACAAGGGGAACGAGTGAAATATATTATATACTCAGTGAAATTGGGGCTAAGGGACAAGGCATGCTATATGCTTTAACACTGACCCAACATCTGGGCACGGACCAGCAACATCTGGAGCTCGAATTTCAAGGCTATTCACGGAGTCATCGAACACATGCTGAAAACAATCCCCACAATTATGCCCAGTGGTTCTCGGTGAAATTTTGACTGGTGGCTTTGATGCAACCCGTCGCCACCCCCCGGCCCATGACGGTAAGGTCATAAGCAGTCTGCATTAGCTTGAAAGATTCCATGGCGGCCGCTCGAATCGCGCACAGCCTGCCAAAGCCAAAACCGTATCCGCGATGCTTGCTGAAACCTCAAGTACAAGTATATCGGTATGAATGACGCTATTCCAGCATCAACTGCTGCAAGTCATAAGCAACCTGCAGCTTTTGCAGCCCCCCTTGCCTCGTATCCCGGCTACCGTTGGATGAGGCAGCCGAACGGATGACAAAGGTTCCTGGATTGGCTTTCCATCCGCCCCAGGCTCCTACAGGTACAATGAATTTTACGTCATCAGATGACCATTTCCGCTAATCAACCTCCGCCCAGTGTCGAACACAGCTTCAGCCAACATCTAGTCTTGTAGGACTATCATCTGCCTAAAAATTGGCAATATGGCGACAGCAAATACGCATCAGACCATTGACCAGATCTCATTCCCCACCATTCTGCCTTTCAATCAGCAAGTCGAAGTACGGCATCTGGAAGAAGATTGGACTGGCGTCACTGATCCCGCACTGCGTAGGAAATTGCAAAACCGCTTGCACCAGAGAGCATGGAGTAGGTTTGGCGGCTTCTCTCACACAGTCTTCCGTTAGTAATGCTCCAGCTGATGTCCTGCTCCATAGGACGACGCCAAGCTCGGCAGGCCAAGGCTCCAGGCCTGATCAGCGTCCGGAAGCATGGTGTGGCATACCAACGGCCAAAATATCGGGACGGAAGACCCAACAAATCCAGCTCCTCCAACCCAGTTCCCGCGGAGGCATTATCAATTTGTACTATCGGTGCTTCTGCGGTAAGAGAAGTGTTAACCCGCTTCGAGGAAGCCATACATCAACATTCCCTCCTTGGTTCACCACGAACCGATCTTCTCCTCACACTGGTCAAATTCAACGTGTTTCGGGCCCTCTTGGACAATACACGCGCTCTCGGATTCACTTTGGAATGGCTTGAAGGAGACGCCGTCTCTCCCTTCTCCCAAGTCGGATTTGACCGTCTTATTGATGAGTCGCCAGCAATGTCGACTTGCCCTAGATATCTCAAGCCGACAACACTTCAGAACCTCATCGAACACCATCCATGGATCGATCTCTTTCCAATACCAAGAATGAGGGATAACATTTTGCGAGCCGATCCATCCTTTGATGAGGATGCGTTGTGCCACGACATGGTAGAAATTTGCGGAAGCCCCGGCGAACGGTCAGGTCTGATCGTCTGGGGAGACCCATGGGATCCACGCAACTGGGAAGTAGGTGAAGATTTCCTTAAAAATTGGGGTTGGGTCATCCAGGACTGCTGGGAGCTCTTTGCCGCAACAAACTACTGGCGAGCCCAGAGAGGGGAGGAAAAACTGTTTCCAGATAACGATGAGTGCACCGCCGGTTGAAAATTCTAGCTGGTATAGCTACTCAAATATCTCATGAACAATCACCCACCGTAAGCATGGTCTCCCGCTGAGTATTGCAACCTGACGGACTTGGTTCACTACGGGTGACAACCGCCTCGAGAACTGAGTTCGGATTCATTCGGGGTGAGAGAAGATATTACCTCAGGAATGCTGGAAATCCTCTCTGCCGTATGCAAAGTACTTGCCCGAGCGGGTTCGCGCCTTGTTGTGGAGCTAACCCAATCTCTTGAAAACGAGATCTTTCATGCGACGGCCGTGTATACATCCTAGTTATACTTATCTGACAAATAGGACACTTTCCATTACAGAGCCAGCGCCGTCCTCAAAGTGTTGAGCCTCAAGGGAGCTTTCTGTGGTAAAATCGACACTGGATATTTCATGTCAGGCGGCAGAGTGTGAATGCTTGAGGAAGCCAGACCCAAGCCTACTTCCATACAGTTTCCCGGCCGGCGTCAGGCCGTACCTGGGTTGTCAGCTCAACGAACTCGTGCCTTTCTTGTCACAGTCACCGATGACTGGCAGGCCGAGCCCAGTCATCAGCGCCGGGAGAACAAATTTCGGCATTCCACCTTGTGGAGGTCCCAATATGTCGTTCGCTGATTGTCTCATTCGACATCCTCGACGGCTTTCTGCTCTCGACTTTTGCGTTGTGGCAATCACTTTTTGACCTTCCAGATCTTCATTCAACCACAGGCAGTGGCATGGCCGTCGTTAATGCCCAACTTTCAACACTTCACAACCGGCTGCAGCCTCCTTTGCGGCACGAGATCACGGATTGTGCCTCTTAATAGAGGGAGACTTTGGCTCGTAAATGACGCGGGTAACCAAGGGATTTGTATGAGTAGATGAAGAAATGACGCAAGCAGGAGCCTAAAACAGCAAGCCAGAGACTTGTTATGGTTATGAAAAGGTTGGTTGACTGAAAATCTATCTGAGTAGCACGAGGTTTACATAATACTCAGTGACCGGCTCTCAGGGTGCCGCAGTACCAAGACCCACTGGTCTGGATCTAAACAGGCTAGTATTTCGGCTGTCCAACGCTTTCCACAAAGCATATCGACGATTTAATTGGTAGGAGAACTACCCTGTATGTAACATGCAGTTATTGACTCGCTTAACTAACATACTGACCCCGTGTACGTGTATCTTAACCCTCTCAGATAATGTGGACCCCTTGGTCCTTTTCCAAGAGGTGCATGGCAGATACTTCGGCTGCGTTGTGGCTGATTCGAGTAATGAAATGACGGCTATTACTCCAACAAGAACAACCACTTTTTAAACGAGCCAACTTCGATCCGCAACGGCAGCATGATGGAATGTTCACCATCCGCTACCACTCGTGTCAGCGAACTCCAGAATCTCTGCTTACCCGTCACAGTATCACGAGCTGCCAACAACAATCCTGCACCAGGAGATGGGGAATCACAACCCCACGAGGCGCAATCACTGCCGCCACAAGACGCTGGCACGGCAGCTTGGCGACTGCTCCTATCTGCCTTGTCTTTGAAGCTCTACTCTAGGGATTCCCACTCTCGTTTGGGGTCTTCCAGAACTACTACGCCCAACTTCCTCAATTCAAAGATGATTCTTACGTCTCTGTCATCGGCACCGTGGCATCTGGCCTGACCTACATGGCGGCCCCGATTATCATTCCTTTCATTAAGTGATTCGCGAGGTGGCGACTGAGCATGGTGTGGATCGGCTGTGCATCGCGGCAAGCTCGAGCTTGTAACAAAGAGTCGCACTGATTGCAACTGGAGGGTCCATCTGCCTCGGTCTCATCGCAGGCTCTTTTGCCACAACAGTAAAAACACTTATCCTCACACAAAGAGGTCCGTATGGCCTAGGGTTCACGATCTGCGAATATCCTGTTATATCCATGATCAACGAGTTCTGGATCGCTCAACAGGGTATGACTTACGGTCTTGTATGTGCTGCTTCTGGCGTCTCCGGGGCGGTATTCCCATTCGCAGTCGAAAAATTCCTTGTGCGATATGGCTACCAGACGACATTTCGAAGTATAGCGATTGCCTTATTCGTTTTGACTGGGCCGTTGATACCAGGCTTCAAGGGCCGCCTGCCAGAGAGCGAAAGCAGTGCTCCTTGCAGAACCAATTGGTCATTTCTTAGGACGAATCTCTTCTGGGTCTAGAGTGGCAGCAACCTTGCAATGGGCTTAGGATATTTCTTCCCGTCACTATATTTGCCCTCGTATGCAGCAGCGAATGGAATGAGATCCACGCAAGGTGCTCTCTTACTAGCTATCATGAGCGTATCCCAGGTCCTGGGCTAGATAACCTTCGGCTACCTTTCCGATCGAAAACTGCCACTCAACATCCTCACCATTAGCTCAATGTTGGTCGCTGGCATTGCGGCGTATACGTGTTAGGGCCTGACGCATAACCTTCCTCTTCGCGCAGTGTTCGCTGTCATTTACGGCTCCTTTGGAGCCGGATATACTGCTTTATGGGGTAGGATAAGCACGAGAGTCAGCAGTAAGCCTACCACTGCGTTTACAGCTTTCGGCCTGTTGAACTTCGGGAAGGGTGTCGGGAATGGGCTTGCAGGACCGATTGGGGTTGCGCTGTTGAAACAAGGTGTAGTCGTTGAAGATTATGGAGCCGGTAAGTACGAGAAGGTTGTCCTGTTCGTGGGACCTGCAATGGTGCTTAGCGTCGGAATCGTTGCAATTCAAGAGCTACAGTTTGCAAAGCCGGCGATCCTGCTGCGACGGTGATGGCCTACTGTGTTGCGGCTGCCGGGGTCCCTGGAGCAAGTCTTGGAATTGATGGTAAATCGAAGGGAGGCTTAAGTTTGCCAGATAGAATGGGTGAGAATTAGCCAACAGTTTATTCCACTACCTAATTTTTATTCGTGGTTATGAATATCGTTTCATCCCCCAGACACTCCTTCGAGTAGAAGCAAAGACACTCCTTGCCGAGGCAATGAGAATGACAATGTTGTACCGGGGCCTCTCGTGCCAATTTCAGTTTCTTCTTCTTCCAGTGTCGCCAATTTGGCAGCCTCGGACAGTTGCTTGTATTCTTCCTTGGACGGTTGTTGTGGAGAACCCAACGATTTCCACTTTGTGTATGCATTACTGTGGTGCTCGTCAATTCGATAGTGTCTCATTTTGCCGCCGTGGGCTGGATTCCATTTCAACCCCTGCAGAGATATCTCCACTTTTGCCGCCTCACCTGGTAGATCGTCGTCATGATAGTGCCAGACGAAGATGCTGAGCTTGCCTTCATTCAAGGTCGTAGCAGCCCCGATATCGGGTCTTTCTCGCACACTGTTTTCGAGAATGCTTTCCAACGGGATTTGTGCGTCGCTCTTTGTCTCAAGACGTGACCCGCCCATCTTCGCAAACATTCTGAACACATTCAAAACCGGCAGATCGATATTGTTGGTTGCAAGAACTCGAAATCCAGCAAAATACGGTTGATTCTCAAACTCGAAAGCCCAGGTAAGAGCCCCCTCGAGATTCACCCCTTTCTTGGCTGCAAGGTCTTGTTTCCGGATAAAACTAGCCGCGGTGTACGATGAATACATGGTCCCATTCCTGTATCCGAGCTGCGGACCCTGGGCAGCAGCGGCACCTTCAGGGTCGGATTCGCCAATAACGATGGGCTTGTCTTTGAGTTCCGGGAACTCTGCAATGACGCCGAAAGACTCGTCGATAATACGGAGCTGTCGACCAACATTCATCCGAACATGCTGAGAATGTTCAATGAACTCGGGCTTTCCTTTCGCATGAAACGAAGTGAAATCGAGGGGAGAGCCTGTTTTCCCAGTGACAAAGTTCTGGCCTCGCAGGCAGTGCTCGAAGAATTTGCGAAGGTAGTCCGGTCCCCCATCTGCTGTCTCAGGACCACCCACGAATGCCGTGGGCAATGCCTTCCTCACATTTTCGACAGTGTAGTCGTAGAGCTTGCAGAACTCTTCATGGGTTCCTTGCCAGTAGCCGATGTTGGGCTCGTTCCAGGTCTCCCAGTACCAACTCTCCGCTTCGGCTTTGCCATACTTATCAACCACATGCTTCGTCCACTGATACACAAGCTCGCCCCATTTCTCGTAATCTTTGGGAGGATATGTCCAGCCAGTGAAAACTTCTTTGTACGAAGCCGTGGGTGTCCATGAGTGCTGATACGGCTGGGGATTGGTTGACATAGCCTCAGGCATGAAACCAAACTGGACGTAAGGCTTGACATTTCGAGATAGCCAGGTATCGTAGATCTTGTCAATGATAGTCCAGTCGTAGATGGGGCTTCCGTGTTCATCTTCGGTGTAAACGTTCGTGCTTCCCCATTTCAAGGCATGGACCCCCTTGCCAGTGGTGAATTGATTGTGCACTCGGAAGTAGACTTGGTCACTTCCAAGTTCTCCCAATTTCCGGATCAACTTTTCGCCGTCTTTCATATAGACATAATTGGGTTCGTCGCACCCGAAGAATCTGTATATCGGTTTGAATTGTCCCAGCTTCTTGTCCCCATGAACGGTAATATGCACATTGAGTGGCATCTTGATGCTTTACTGGCAGCTTGAAGGGGACAGATACTAAACTCCAGCCTCCAGTCCACAGCTATTACATATGTACCGATTACAGCAGGTTCCTTGGGCTCCTCCCACCGGAAAATTGCCTCGAACTCGCGCTTTTGTCTACTTAAAGTTTCCACCAGAACAGGATTGATTTTGAGCACAGCTGCTGTGGTTTCTTTTGTTGACCACATTTCCGCTCCCGCTGCAACAACAACAGCCACCCCGAGTCGTGATTTCGCACTTCCCCCGATCCTGCATACTCACTCCAAACGACAACGACCTCGGCAAACATCGCGCGGATCATGCGGAGAGACATGAATGGACAGACAATTCACAGGACCTGCGTCGCGCAGGTTTGCTGCAAGCACTGAAATCATCTAACTTGAAAAGGGTTTGTGATTGTCCTTTTTAGCCTAAAATCCCTGTACATACCCCGGCTCCAAGGGACTCGATAATGGCTCTAGAGTACCTCCCACAGGTAGCTATGCCTGGGCGGAAGCCGATTTGTCGCAACACACAGGTCCAGTGAAGAAGCCGGTATCCATTTTCGCCTGAATCCAAAGATACTACTTAGGTGCTCTAGGTAGGGATCTTCACAGCTCTCTCTTGTCGATCACGGCGACCTTCCGGAACTAGACAACGCTGCACCTGGCTACCTCACTGCCACTCCAAACTCCAGCAATTTGGAGATTGAGGACAACGCCACTGCAAGAGAACATTTCGGCCGTCAGCTTCTGATTGAAGTCATCTGGTATGTTAGGATGATTCCTTACAAGAGCCGTGCTTGTGAGTGTTCTCGAGCTTCCCCAAAACTAAAGGACGGGCAAAGAATGCTTATAGCCACAAAGGTACAGAGTGTAAGAAGCACAAAGTCCGATGTGACCAGTCTCCTGGACAATCAAGCTGCGTACGATGCGGAAAGTATGGCTACCGTTGCGTCAGTAGTAACAAGCTGGAGAGAATCATCGAAGACGATCAAGAGTATGTGAGATCCATCATCACTGACCGTGTGAGGATTAGCCCTAAATCATCAAACCCTGAAGCTGGAAGAGAGGGGCCGATACCAACATCATCCAACTTCAAGCTGCAGTGACGGAACTACTCCAACGAAATGGCATGCCGCCATTGTCTTCATTCCCTGCCAGCCCTATGGAGATGAGCAACCGCGATCGTCTCAGGCTGGGCTTTGCTGCTGGTGCTACCAAAGACAATCGAGAGGGTAGAACTCGGGAGACCTCACAGGAGCCAGCAGCAGAACAAGAGATTGTCTCTGCCCCAATGCGCAGTTTGTTCGAGGTTACCAAGCTGAGAAACATTCGAAGTGACGTGCCGCAGCAGAGGACTACAAGGACCCCGGAGGATGATCTGATATCTCGTGGCGCCCTCCCTCACTATGTGGCCAGGGAATTGTTTTCATTCTTTGACAGGACCATGAATCATATCTTGTGGGGAGGAATCGCTCTTATTCACCGAGACCTCGAGTCTGCTCGGAGATCTTCCTCGCTCCTTTGTGCAGCCATCCTTGCCGTGGCAGCCTTACACATTCCTCAAGGGGATGAGATTTTTGAATTTTGTTACTCCGAGTTTGTGTCGTTGGTGTCTGGATCTATCATCTGCCGCGACCACAACCTTGACGATATTCGCGCTCTTTGCATCGGCGCCTTCTGGCTCTCGGATCTCAGCTGGAAACTATCCGGGGTGGCTGTTCGCATCGCAACCGAGCTCAATCTCCACCAATCTTTCCATAAGATGCAACGAGGTGAGCCTGATCAGTATGAGCGAGCGCAGTTATGGTATCTCCTCTACGTTTGTGACCATCACTACAGTATTGCATATGGTCGTCCTCCCGTCATACACGACAATGCGGCAATCAAAGGCTATGAAGCCTTTCTGAATGCTCCAACGGCCGGGCCAGCCGATATCAGACTGATGGCTCAGGTGGCCCTGTTCATTATTCTAACCAACACATATCACATCTTTGGGTCTGACAGCCAACAACCACTAGACGAGGAGGATTTCACTACTTTAAGAGCATTCTGTCTTGAAGTGGAAGAATGGCGGATGAAATGGCAACCTAGAATAGGTGAGATATTTCTGTAGGACAGCAATGACTAGAGAGAAAACTGACAGGCCAGCGCCGAACCCATATGTTGGCAGTTATCCGTCGAAAGGCGTTGTACTGCATTACCATTTCGCCAAGTTACAGCTCAACTCTCTTGCTCTGCGGGCGATTTTACCAAGCCATCAGTTCTCTCTAGATCGCAGAGAGGCGGCCAATTCAGCTATTGCTTCTGCTATGTCCACCATGAACTTGGTTCTTCATGAGCCCGATATCCGCAATGCCGTGGCCCATGTGACTCTGTTCAAGCACACCATGATAGCGTTCGCTGCCGTCTTTCTACTCAAGGTTGTGTGGAGTTGGAACTCCGCCTCGCTCAATATCGAGAGACGTCAAGTTTTGGACCTTGTTCAAGCCGTTGTGGAATTGATGTCAAGTGTCCAAGCAAGTCGAAGACATTTATGTCGCCACATTGCCACTGGATTGAGCAAGATGATCTCCAGACTGAAGACCAAATTTTTGGCCCAATCACGTCGTGATGGAGACGATACTTTCAACATCACCACGGTTATAGATGACAATTCCTACGGTTCAATCAGTGAGAGCGTCTCAGATGCTTTTGGGTTTGAAGATGACTGGATGCTCACATCGTCTATCGACCCATTTTGCTTTTCAATTACATGAAGCGTCGAGTCCTTCGATATTCGAAGGAATGTATTCACTCATTCTCAGATATACTGTGCTCCAGTGAACAAAGTCCGGATTAATACCAACCAAGATCTCCGACTCTTCTACGCTTTTCACGTATTTGATCAATCAATAAGCTCATGTACTGGACTCTGTCCTCAACAGAATCATCACTGGTGGATTTGCCACAGTGCCTCTGATCCATCAACATGAACTCCCCGTAGAGAGGGGGTTGCCGATTTATCCCCCGGGAGTGTGGAACCTCGCACTTGCTCCGAACCAGCAGATCAGATGCTCGGAGTTTCTGCGAGACTCACGCCATTTCGCCGACAGAATCAGTATAGTCACAAGTATAGAGTTTCCCCAGACGGTTCCCGGCCCCCCGCATACAAGCAGCCTCGCTGAAACGGGCTATAGAGTCGCATGTATCCACACCACCCACACCACCCACCAAACCCCTCCGACCTTCACCCTCGTATATATGACAGACCTTTCCCTTGCTAGATGCTACACCGCAGCTTTATTCCAGACCGCAGTCCCAGGCAGTAACAGAAATCTGGTTCTGGTTCAATCATGGATTCGAAATCGTACCCACACGTCGAAGAGCTCGAGAGCTCTCCCTCTCGTGACCTTCAAGCACGAGCGGAGGACCTGGTCCCGGAAACTCCGACAGCAAAGAGGAATTGGAGGAGCTACATCTGGGACTCGCTTGACAAGTCTCCAGAAGAGAGAAAATTCGTATTCAAACTCGACTGCGCTCTGTTGACTTTTGGCTGTCTCGGTAAGGTCTTTCAAAAGTTGAGCAACAAGCATTTTGATGACAGTGAATCGCAGGATACTTTATTAAATACCTTGACCAAGCAAACTTGAACAATGCTTTTGTTTCTGGAATGTGAGAATAGAAAAGAGGATAATCTTGGTAGAGGTGCAGTCTAACAGCTAGAATAGGAAAGAGGATCTCAACCTTTACGGCAACCAATTGAACTATATGCAGACGTGCTATTCTGCAGGATATGTTATTGGCGGCCTACCTACCAATATGATTCTCACACGCGTGAGGCCATCTATCTTTATTCCATGCATGGAGGTTGGGCCACACATTCTTTTCTTGCGCATGGCAATCATTCACAGTTTATAGCTTCTGTGGACTATTTGCACCATGGCTTCTTCTCGAGCACGAGATGCTCATCAATTCTACGCCATCCGTTTCTTCGTTGGTAAGCCTCAAGGATTACTTTGTTGCAATGTGCATGTGTTTTGAAATCCACGCGTCCAGACATCGTTACTGACTTTGACCCAGGCTTGTTTGAAAGTGCACTCTATCCTGGCATGATATACATTATTGGATCTTGGTATCGATCGGATGAACTAGCCAAGAGGTCTTGCATCTTCCAGGCCGCCTATCCCATTGGTACCATGTTTTCTGGCTATCTGATGGCGGCCGTCTACCACTTGGACGGCGTGGGAGGTCTTCGTGGCTGGCAATGGTATTTGACACATTGGTTATCCTCCTTGAAACCTCTCTCCTAACCGGCAAAAACGCAGGCTATATATCATGGACGGTGTCATCTCACTTCCTGTGGCTATTGCAGGGTTTTTCATAATACCCGACTTTCCAGACATCACGCGTGCCTGGTATTTCACGGAACAGGTCAGTTCAGGACCCAGGTTCTTGGTCCCGCAAAACGAAAACGATATTTGAGGCCTAATATTCTAATTTCCCATTTGAAAACAGGATATCGCTCTGGCAAGAAAGCGGATACAACTAGAAGGGCGAGCAACTCGTCAGCCATACACACGAGCCAAGTTCTGGAAGATTCTGACTTCATGGCACATCTGGTGTCTCATCCCGCTTTACGTGTAAGCAGAGACGCGTCTCTACCCCCTTGCTGCTAGTCTGTCAGCTAACACCAAATATTTCCAACAAGCTGCTGGAACAATGGCGGTGCTTCTGGACAACCAGTCTTTGCTCAGTTTTTGAAGGACTCGACGAACCCCAAATACACCGTACCACAAATCAACAACTATCCCACCTCGACGTACGGAGTGCAAGTCTTTTGCACTCTGGTTTTTGCCTGGACGTCTGACTCTGTCTTGAAAGGTCGAAGATGGCCCTCGATAATCATCGGAGGTGTAAGTCTGAGGCAAACAACCAAATTTCCCCATTCACGCTTCTACAGATTCACGGACCCGAGTCTAACAGCCAGTTTGCAAGATCTTCAACATCGTCTGCTACATATCACTCTGGATATGGGACATCCCTGACGGCTGGCGATGGGCATGCTACATTCTGATGGGAGTCGGCGCAGCGCTTGCTGGGATCATCATGAGGTAAGAAATAAGTACCCGATCTGCGCACATGGTTGTTTCTCTTGCACTGAACACTGACCTGTTTCTTTCCTGTAGTTGGGCTCACGAAATCTGCTCTGCGGACAATGAAGAGCGGGCCATGGTCACCGGCGGCATGAACCAGATGGCGTACGTGATCCAGATCTGGCTCCCTCTGATCATCTGGCAGCAAATCCACGCTCCGCAGTATACAGCCGGATTCGCAACCGTCTTGTTTATCGGTGGCCCGGCGATGATCGGGTTGGCCATACTGACCATGTGGTTGCACAAGAGAGAGAAATACAAGTGAGTCGCGGATTTGTTCTTCGCTGATTGACTTTTCTGTGTTGATTTTTGCATAGTAGTATTGAAATGTGACTGATGAGATGCACACAGGTTGGCTGCTCAGAGAGAAACCAGCTCGCAATCGTACTCTACTGGGAAAGAAGCAGTGGTCTAGACATGGTTTAGACCAACGAGGAGACCATATTGCTATTTCATGCGAAGTCCTTCACGGCAGGGCGCACTCACGTGGATAATATGCTGAATGGACATGTATCAGCTTCTGTCGGCGGAGTTTCGCTGCGGTCTTCCACTGCTACGACTTGCGAGAGTGGTTGAAAGACATTTGAGTATGAATTGCGAACATATGTGTGGTTCCTCAAGCCGCCAACGAGGCAGCAGCTTAGCCACCACCGTGACAAGGCCTGCGAAAGGCCGTGTTCCCGAGATAAGGATGCAGTCAGTGAAAAAGAATGAAAAAATCTCGACAGCAAGAAGTGGATCTTCAGTAGGACTTACTCGACCGACGATGGGCGGTAGATTTGCATCTTTTGGAGGGGAGAAATGTGGACAAACGCAACACAAAGAAGCAGGGCTGACGGTTTAAGGTATTTTGGCATCTAAGATCCGTATATCTACTTGACATTCATCCATGTCGAGGACGTTCGTATGTTAGCATCGGCGCAAAGCTGGTGGGGTACATCAAGGACTCTCTACGGTGCGCAGAAACTGCGAAAAGGGTCCTCAGAGACAGCCCTACTGTCTAGAAATACGCTTCGCATCTAGAAAGCACCGGTCTTCTTCGTGCATTCCATTCGTGTCATCAACTTGGTAATCCTCCTTATAATAATAGTCTTTGGTGGCGGGATCCTCTTCTACATAAGCTGCCCCTCGTATAGTTCTTCGGCACCATAAACCACATTGTCCAGTCCGTCTTCTGCAACATAACTATCCTCGTCCATTCCCAATTCCGAAATATACACTTCCACATCTACGCCTTCTCCTGCAATATAAGCCTCCTCATCCACACCCCCTTCTGTAACATGGTTGTACGAAGGGTCAACAAATGCCGTCGTCTCATTTAAGCTATCGCCAGCAGTATAAGCGGCGTCATTTTCCTAAATGTCAGTAAAGTTCAAACTCTGACTCTAGTCAATGAAGACAGATTGATCAATGACGCTGGGCTGCTCTGATGAAGCCGTCGCTGATTGCGCAAGGATGTACTATGTGTCGTGCTGTCGCCCCGAGAGCACCTAGTTAGAGCCATTCTGTTGAACCATGGCAATCAGCGCGGGCACAATATCTTGGCTGTCTTCCGGCTGCTGGATTTTGGCTGGATTCTGTTTTACTATATCTGGCTGTAGAGGGTTCGCGGGGGTCTCTGTAGAGTGATAGGATGATTGGCCGACGTTAAAATTGGTGGTTTGTTGGTCCTGGTGGAGTGCTGACTCTTGCGAGTAAGAACCAAATTGCAAGCCCATCGGATTGGCATATGCGTGAGAACGGGTCGCTGTGAACATGTTTTTGCTGATTGAGGGATGAGTCTTTGAGACGGACGCCTCCCGCCAATATTGAGTGCCAGCTCACCTGTAGCCTGTACGTATGGGGGAGGTTGGCTGAATTATCAATGGATAATGTGCCTTGCACTTGAACTGAGACTAAAGTCGCGGCTCGTTGTTGAAGTGTCCTGGTGCCTAGGCCTAACGTATGATACTGTTACACCTTTGTCGGCATCGGTTGGCTCGTGCTAGTGGATATTGAAGTAGCAGTTACAGTTTGTAAGTAACACTGTTTAACAGCGTTGGGTAAAATGGGGGTAGTGGACGGCTGCAATACGGCGGCAGACTTTTCCTTGCATCGCAACCGGAGACAGGGAAGTTGGCGATGGCTTCGCAGGCTTGACTGCGGCAGCCGGTTGAGCTGTAATCTCGGCGCTCTCGATGGTGCCCTGAACAGCGTTAATAGTCGTCTGGTCAGTTTGGGGAGCTGGGGAAGTAGTCACTTCTGATCTGGGAGAAACTGCTGGCCGAGTTGTATGGTGTGAATTCAAGGGTCCTTGCAAGCTGATCGAGGGCTAGCTCAACGCTGAATCTGCAGCCATAGAGGGTTGCAGCCTGATTGATTTATGTGTTGACACCCCAGGAGGACCAAGGTGAGATAATGGCATTGAACCTGGCACCGACGAAGCCATTGACATGCTTCTCATGTCGATCTGCTGCTGCTGTTGACAGCCGTACTTGGGCACTTGGTAAGTAACTCCAAGTCGAGCTTGCCCAGCGAGGGGCGCGACCCAATTGGATTTCGGCTGATAGTTGCCCTTCTTGTCAGCCGCATCGACCATTTCACCCATTATACTTTTGACCGCTCGGCCTGTCTTGATGCCGAGGGCACCACCTTGAACAACAGCCTTCTTGGAGACTTCTAGCATCTCTTTGCGGCACCTAGAGTTTGTCCAACTGTCTTCGCCTGTCTGGCAGCCAGGCTTGTCCCAAAGACGGTGACGTGTTCCGTCGCAGAAGTTGTTTGAGCTAGATCGGAGGTGAATCTCTGAGGAAGGATACTTGCAGGAGGATTGTTCCTTTCCGTGAGGAGAGTGCAGGGATGTTCAGATCCAGGTACAAGCAGTCTGCTCAGCACTCATACTCATCGTGGCCGGCGCTTTTTGCAGCAAATGGATTGGAGCTGGCCGATTTCGGACAACGTTCTTTTTCGCTCGAGCTGTTGTGTTGGTGAGCGCTGTTGTGGTAGATCGTGGCTGGACCTGAGGGGCTCGTCCAGGCTATTCGAAGCAGCAGGTCTGTGTTTCTAGGTGAATGAAATCGTCTTCCCATCTTGTGTTTGAGACTTGATCCACCCAGGTGGAAGGACTCGCACAAGTGGCTTTGTCCACGATTCTTGACCCGTTGCAGGATTGCAGTGAAAAGGCCTGCCCGAGCCTGACGGATCCTGCGTCTCTATCTAGCCCCAGGGAAGTGCTGTACGCGGAGGTGAAGCAGTCACTTTGGATCCTGGTTTGACCAGCTCCGAAAAATCATCGCTATAGTCTTGAGAGGCTAGAAGAGACGTTTCACCCATTCTGTGGTGGCTGCGATTTAAAACAAAACGAGAGTAAGGTAGAGAGGGAAGGAAAAATAGCCCACCTTGGGGGACTTCAGGTTGCCCATTTCCAGCCCCGTGAGCTCTCGCATATCAATATCTGGCATTCAGCGCAAGACTCTTTCATGAGAACCAAGAAAACCATGGTTGAAGTGAGCAGAAGTGATTGGGCTGGAGAGCCAAGTCGCCCTCAGAAAGGAGGGCATGCTGCATAAGCTTAGGGTCAGGACGGGTCTGGATGTCTATTCGCTGGCTATATGAAGGGGTAGACGCAGCCAGCCTTAAAAGAAAAAATCCATCAATGAACAGCCTGGAGGTGAAATTGAATGGCCAGAATGGCACGGTGAACTGAAGGATGTTTGTACTGAGTACCGAGTAGTTGTGTCTGATATCGGCACCAAGTTCTTCCGATCCGAAGCCTGGCTCCACTATTTTCTTGAGATGCTCGAACATCAAGTTGCCTGCGCCAACGTTCTGCAAATTCCACCTCGCGCAGTTGATCCAGCACTGTCCTCACCCACGGCGGCAACATACACGGCGGCAAGATGCCAGTCGTCAAAGGAGGTGTTTGGACCAACATTGAAGATGAAATCCTCAAAGCATCTGTCTCAAAATATGGCCTGAACCAGTGGGCTCGAGTTTCCTCGCTCCTAGCGCGGAAAACCCCGAAACAGTGCAAGGCGAGATGGACGGAATGGCTTGACCCGGGCATTCGCAAGATCGAATGGTCCAAAGAAGAAGATGAGAAGTTATTACATCTAGCAAAGTTGATGCCCACGCAATGGCGGACAATTGCGCCTATTGTTGGAAGAACTGCTACTCAGTGCCTCGAACGCTACCAGAAGCTCCTCGACGAAGCGGAGGCCCGCGAGAACGATGAGTTGGGCCTTGGAGGCCCAGAAGGTGGAGAAACCGCAGCACCAACAGGCGATCAGGTTCGAAGACTGCGTCCCGGCGAACTTGACCCCGACCCAGAATCCAAGCCTGCACGACCTGACACCATCGACCTTGACGAAGATGAGAAAGAAATGCTCAGCGAGGCTCGCGCCCGGCTGGCGAACACACAAGGAAAGAAAGCGAAGCGCAAAGCACGCGAGCGACAACTCGAGGAATCACGGAGGCTTGCCGTGCTACAGAAGCGGCGAGAGCTAAAAAATGCCGGCATTAATATCAAGGTCACCACCCACAAGAAGGGTCAGATGGATTACAACGCAGATATTCCATTTGAAAAGCAGGCCGCGCCAGGGTTCTATGATACGCAGGAGGAGCTGGCCAAGAATGAGCGCGAACGGCAAATGTTCGACCCACGCAAGCAGCAGCTAGCACGAAAGAGACAAGGGGATTCTGAAGATATTGTCGATCCCAAACGGCAGAAACAAGACAAAGATAAATCCTCGTCTGCAATGGCAGCTGCAGCAGCAAGAGCTGGCCAAATGCAACGACTACGGGAAGCTGAGCAACAAAGCAAGCGAAGAGCCTTGAACCTGCCTGCGCCTCAAGTCAGCGAGAGCGAGCTGGAAGAAATCATCAAGATAGGCATGGCGGGTTATCGGGCTGTGAAAGCAGCCGGGCAAGAGGACGAGGACCAACAAGGGCTTGTCTCCAACTATTCAAATATGATTGGAGCGACGCCTATTCGAACTCCTCGGGCGCCTGCGGAAGAAGACCATATCGCAAATGAAATTAGAAACATCAGAGCACTGACGGAAACCCAGTCATCGCTATTGGGTGGGGAGAATACCCCGCTGCATGAGGGCATTAGCTCCACAGGATTTGATGGGATTGCTCCTCGAAGGCAGCAAATGGTCACTCCTAATCCAATGGCAACACCCTTGCGTCAAGCGCAAGCTGCAGGACAATTCCCGGGTGCCACTCCGTTGCGGACTCCCCGTGATAATTTGACAATCAATGAAAGAGGCGAACGACAGTTTGTTGCGCAAACTCCACGGGATATACGATTGGCCGAGAATGCTGCGAGGCAATCACTCAGAGCGAAGCTTGCCTCTCTACCCAAACCCAAAGAGACAGAGTGGGAACTGGAAGTGTTGCCATCAGAACAGGAAGAGGCTACCGGCGGTGCCGCTCTTGAAAGGGAAGACCAAGATGAAATCGACAAGCGCGAGCGTCAAGCGCGGGAAGCAGCGGCAGCAGCAGAGTTCAGACGACAGACTCAAGTCTATCAACGAGCCTTGCCTCGACCCACCACTGTCGACTACAATGCGCTCGCCTCGGATGCTACATCCATAACCGATCCAATCCGAGCAATGATCGCCCAAGAAGCTGCGTTGCTCATGGCAAATGACGCACGCAAGTTCCCTCTTGCAGGTTCCAAGGTGATTGGCAAACCTCCGCAGTTGGTATCCCTGCCTGACGAACTTCTCGAGAAAGCTCGCCAGCAGATAAAAGATACCTGTAACGAGACAGACCGCCAAGCCTACGTTGCCTCCGTGGAAGCCCTTGCTAATTCAGAGAGTGAAAGAAACGCGTTGCCACTCAAGTTCACCGCGAACACAACCGCAGGAGAATACTTTTCTGCTTTTAAATCCGCACAACAGGCCCTCCTCTCTTCCGCAGAAGCGGGCAATAAACTCGAGAAAAAATTATCCTTGCACTTAGGAGGGTATCAAGCCCGGCAAAAGACCCTCAAGCAGAAGATTGCCGCAGTCTATGAACAAATTGAGGAGCAGAGGGCGCAGTTGGATGCCTTTAGGACCCTGCAGATTGGTGAAGAGGGTGCACTGGCAAGGAGGTTGGAGAGGCTTAGGGATGAAGCGAACTTTGTGATGAGAAGGGAGAGAGAAGCGCAGGAGGAGTACCGTGAGTTGAAGCAGCGAAGTGATAGTGTAAATGGCGTCAACGGTCATTCATGAAGGAGATAGACAACCTCGTCGAGGTCGCTGTGGACGGCATTGTGACTATGTTAACCGAGGGACCTCTCTCCCGAGTCCTTATTCTTCGCTGATGTTCAGCCTCCTTGCAGAGATCATCCTGTTTGGACCACCCTGGTGCGGGTTTGCGCCCAATCTTGGAAAGAATTTCTCTACCGGCCTGCCAGACCCGTTCCATTCCAGTCATCCTTGCAGATGCTGACGGTGCCCTCTAGGCAACGCTAATATGATCAGACAGCAAATGCAGGGTTTCCTGCCTCACCCCACACAAATATTCTCATCAAACAGTATTGCGCTCAAAATGGTCAACGGAAAAGAAAAAACAAATAACAACCCATATCTCCGCCGAGAGAAATTGCAAAAACTGAACCCAGGTCAGAAACGCCGCAACCCGGTACTCGAAGTACCAGCGCCCGTGAAGGCACAGCCGGGGGTTTTTTGGTTGAAGAAACTGCTTGCCCTGTTTGGAATGGATCCTCACTCACAAGTGGGCTCACCCAGGTCGAAGGCTGTTCTTGGAAATCAATTTGCGGGTGTGAATTATATATGTACATATATATCGATATTGGATGGAGGGCCCTGCCGGGTTGCGCGTGCTGTATGAGTTACTACTATGTCTCAAGAATGGCATGCGCTTAGCGTCTTGCGTTGTGTTTTGGGTCCTGGGAAGGTTGATATGTCGTGTCGTGGATTTGTAGGGTTCTGATCAAGAAATCTATTGGGATACTGCTAACTCTATAGCCGTTGTCTGCCCACAAGGAATACTAATTACGTCCATAAGCGTCATTCTATTGCTATAGCGGATCTTCCGTCGAGACACCTGATAGCCTAGGTAGCTGCAATATCGTCAACCAAATCGACCCAACCTCTCGTTTTGCCGCACCATGAAACGGTAGAGGGCCCGTTTCGGCTCTCAAAGGCAAACTTGGAATCAGAGCCATAAACCTCCTTCTAGATCAGTGTTGGTAACGTGATCGCCGGGTGACAAGTGAGATCCCAGGCCACCCGCATATCAGGTCTTCACCTCGTGTAGATACGATTCCACCTTCAGGCCGGGGTATCCACTGCCGTCCGTCTCGGGATTGATGCCCATCCAGTTGAACTCGTCTGGTATATAACATTTCTCGAACTGGCACTTGCACACGTTCTCTGGGTTGTTTATTTCCGCGTACTCCCCGAAGATGCAGGGCCCCAATGACAGGCGGCAGTCGTTGCTGCACCACGCTGCTTGTTGTTCGTCCTGCGGCCAGAGCGGCGAGGAGAGGCAGGTTTGGCCGTATTTGGCGTTGCCATCCACGTCACAGCAGAGTTCCGCGGAGGGAGGGGGATGAAAGCAGAACTGGATCCGGGTGCGTGGATTTGTCGTCTTAAGTGACTCGTCGAACGCGCGGTCACAGAGGTAGCGCCATTTCCAGAGGGCGACGCGGGCGTCGGTGACGCAAGTACGCTCGAAGCTGGGGATAGGGAAGGCTGCGTCCTCTTGTGAGGGCCAGGCGGGTGGTTTTCCTTTATATGGCGGGTCCCAGGATTTGTTCTTGTATCGCTTTTGGAGTTTGTGCGAAGGTGGTTCAACAGAATGGACGGTTATGTTGAAGGGAACGTCCTGCTTGCCACCGGTAGCAGGGTATGCCGCTGCGAGGAAAGGGAATAACAAGGCGGTTAGCGTGATGATGGGCCTAGAGACAATCATTTTGTATCTTGATGGAAAGTCGCTGAGAAGCTGAGAGGTCGGCGGCTCTGAGGTCGTCAAGATGCGAGCGGTTGTCGAATATTACGGACATCAACTGCTGCAGGTCTTGACACACGCACAAGATTCACACGGGATCTGGCTGGCAAGCCATGGGTGAGCCATGCCGGCAACAATTAACAAGATTCGGTGGACCTATCAGATTCGAATCCATCTCATCCCTGGGCGGTATCACTCCACCAATCTGCAAAGGGACAAAGAAATGAAGCAGGTGACGGGAAGTGGGAACTGATTTCTGAGATCTCGTCTGAGATGTCTGGAAGCATACCTCATCTTCACGGTCAGTCTGCCCCTAGAGCGGGTGGATAGATAGGCCCTGATGAAGTTATCATCCATTGCATCTTGCGACTGTGCAGGAATACATGACTAGTATGGCTGTCCGTTGCCAAGTTTGAAAAAGACGATGCCAGCCTCACAGTCAATTACTTCAGAGGTGAACCATTCAGACCGCGTCAGAGGGTGAACCAAGGGTTAAGCTTTTTAGCTCGCTTGGCAAGCAATTAAGCTCCTTGGTTAGCGCCGCTTGATAGGCTGTCGTGCAACCCGTGAGCTCTGCTCCTTAGAAAACCTCATCCAGAAACCCTCGAGTCCATAGCACCAGCTTGACAACATGTCGGGTTACCAACAACGAAATAACAGTAGCACGCTTGGGTGAGCCGTCGGAGTGGAATAGGAGTCAGATATGAAGCTTCCAGTTCCGTCCTGGAGAGCTAAGGGAGCAGCTCCCCGTCCTGCTCAAAGGAGCCGCTTTGGTGTTCGGTTCAATCATGCTGCTGCGCGGCAACGAATATCCGACTTCTGGATACCCACAGTCAACGTGCAAAAGCACGATGTCGCTCCAGACGCTACTCAACTGCTGATCCGGGCTGGCTATCTTCGGCAGGCTTATGCCGGCATATTCCAGATGCTGCCCCTTGGACTGCGAGTTCAGGAGAAGCTAGAAAGGCTCATCGACAAGCATATGAAATCAGTGAAAGCGTCTAAAGTCTCGCTATCCTCTATCTCCTCGCAGGCGCTGTGGGAGAAGTCAGGACGTCTGAAACGTGGAGGTGAAATGTTCATGTTCAAAGACCGGAGGGACACCGGGTGGCTGTTAGCGCCTACTCACGAAGAAGAGATCACCACCTTGCTCTCCGACATCATCCAGACAAGGCAGCAGCTCCCTATCCGGCTGTACCAGATTGGCCGAAAATACCGCGACGAGAAGCGGCCTCGTGGCGGACTCCTTCGGGGCCGTGAATTTCTCATGAAAGATCTGTATACTTTCGACTCTACCCCAGAACATGCTCACATAACATACGACGAAATAAGACGCGCATACCGCAACTTCCTCGACGAACTCAAGATCAAATACGTCGAGGCTAGAGCCGTGTCAGGCGATATGGGAGGAAATCTCAGCCACGAGTATCACTTCCCCAACTTCGCCGGGGAAGACATTGTGATCACATGTTCGGAATGCTCTTATGCGCGCAATGAAGAATTTGTTTCGCAGCCGGTGTATCCACCTCGACCGCTTCAGGTACCCGAAGTTGGTGCTACCGATAGCAACCCCCGCCAAGCATATCTTGAAGAGAACTTTCTCAGCACAGATCGTCGGAGTTTGGTTCGCGCTATAGTACCATTACTCCCCCACGGCAACTCCGAAGATAAAGCTCCGTTACGATCCATCAACGCCCACGCCGTCAAGGCAGTCCTTAACGGTGTATTGGACATAGATACAGGGCTGGAGCGACCAACGGAGAGCTTCAAGGAGCTCGTAGTAAGTGGCACAGCGGATGCCTCAGCAAAAAGACCATCGATATACTATGTCCTTGACTCACGCGTTCGGCGGGACGAGATTAGCCACCTTATTGCTTCTCCTCCGATGAATCGCAACATCGACGCCTACGTTATTGAGGCTCCGCAGAACGACAAGAATGGTGGAATAAACTTGCTGAAGCAGGAATCCGGAGACTCTTGCCCAGAATGCAAATCCGGCAGACTGAGAGTGGACAAAGCGATCGAGATCGGCCACACTTTCCACCTAGGGACCCGTTACAGTTCCAAACTCGATCTTGTCGCTGGGCACGGTGATGGAAAAGAGGCATTACCCGTGGAGATGGGCTGTCACGGCATCGGTGTGTCTCGTCTGATTGCAGCGGTTGCATCATGTCTTTCCGATGACGTTGGTCTCAATTGGCCAAGAGCGATTGCGCCCTTCGAAGCTATTGTCATTGTTCAATCGTCACATGCGGAGAGGTTACGCGCTGCTGAGCAGCTTTGCGATCAACTGTCCTCTTCTAGCCTTGGTAACGTCGATGTCGTCCTCGACGACAGGCCAGAGCAAGGCATAGGATGGAAGTTGAAGGATGCTGATGCCATTGGGTACCCCGTCATTGTGGTTGTGGGCAAAGGATTTGAGCAAGGGAAAGTCGAGGTACAGTGTCGAAGACTAAAGGTCAAACAGGAGGTCAGCGTCAGTGATGCCATCGGGTTCGTGCATGATCTATTGAAGCAGCTTTGATGTACTTTTTAGAAGCGATGCATACTCATGCTGTAGTCTAGGATACCCCACTCGCATCAATGTAAGATATATATGCAGGACAGAGTAGCTTTGGAGAATATTCTTTGAGAGGGAAAAAGTGCCATAGGTTTCACAGCCTTGTCTACAAGGCTGAAGTTCATATCCCGCAGCGCCCACTTTCCCCGCCTCCAATCGAGGGTAAAACCAACCCACCGGTCTGCGACTGAACGTGAAGCTCGAAAACAATTCAGCAACCACTACCACTTAATTCTCTCTCCTACCACCCTTACGACCGCAGCCAGAGCGCAGCTCAAAACCAGCCACCCAGAGAGCATCAGCGAAATCCGACGAGAAGAAAACAAATCAAAGAGAGAGAACAGTTATGTCTCAATCCACGCAGACCCCCGTCGACATCAACACACTCTCCGTACAACAACTCTCTACACTGCAGGCGCGGCTGTCCCAAGAGCTCGAGCACCTGAGCACCTCGTACCAGAGGCTACGCGCTGCGCAATCGCGCTTCAAGGACTGCATCCGCAGCATACGGGATGGCGTGCAGGGGAGAAGTGGAGGTACTAGCGGGTTTTTTCTATTTCGTTTTGCACACACCACTACACCCACACTCCTGCCCGAGGGTGATTTGCACGGGCCCACCGCCTTTGTTGCTCTCGGCTTGTCTGCGCTTCTCTTTTCTTCCCTTCTCGCACCGTTGTTTGTGAAAGAGGCTTCAACTGCGCTGCGCGCGGATAGGCAAGAAGAAGTCGGAGACCACCAAATAAAATCACATGGATATTTGAACCAGTAAAATGCTAACGAGAAACTGGCGCCTCTGTACAGAAACGCCCCTACTCATCCCCCTAACAATGTCCCTCTACGTGCCCGGAACGCTGGCGGCGCCCAAACCCTCTACTTCTTCCTCCTCGTCATCATCTTCGCAAACGCCGTCAAAATCCCCCATGGTAATGGTCGACGTGGGCACGGGCTTTTTTGTGGAAAAGACACCCCCAGACGCAACAAAGTTCTACCAGGGCAAGGTTGAGGACTTGACCAAGAATCTGCAGGACATCGAGAAGGTTGTGGGCGGCAAGACCGAGAGCTTGAAGGTCGTGGAAGATGCCCTCAGGCGGAAAATGGTCGAGGAACAGCCGATGCAGTTTGGTGCTGGACGGCAGGCCGGAGGAACAAGCGGCAGCGGGTCCAAGGGAGCTGGATAGTCCTGAAGACTGTGGGAAGATTCCGAAAAAGCAGGACATATTCGTACGGAATAACATGGGAGCTATGGAAGGTGGTCCATCAACCCCATGATTGCCTTGTAAGGAGAAACACCTCGATGGAAGTGAACCCTATTGCTGGTGCAACCTAGACAACGCCGAGACTCTTTTTGGGACAGCCGAGCTTGGAAACCCCCCCCCCCCCCCCAACAAAGCCTCTGATATCGTTGAAATCTCTGTCCTCACTGTCGCCCATTCTCAAGGTCCTCTCCCCAACTACCGGCCATCAAACTTCAACCTCCGTCTCCTTTCCTTTTCCCTTCGCCACACGGCGAATAGCTTCCGCCAAAATATCCTGGATCTCCTCCACTTCGCTGATGAAGTTCTTGAAGCCCTTCGGTAAAGCCGGCCCGTACTGCTCTCCGCCTTCAGGGATGAACGTCGTCACAGACTTGACCCAGTGGATATCCTCTCCAGGCTTGACGCTTGCATACTCTCCCATCAAACTATCCCAGTGAGGATAATAGTACAATGCATGCCATTTGATCTCTGCCGGAGCAGGACTTTCTCGACCTGGTAGTTCATCGTAGGTATCTTTGCGGCGAAGCTCGAAGACACCGTCGGTGTTTTTGAACCGCCAACTCAGGGTGATTAGCTCTGCAACACGCTGCAGCCCACGTTGGCCGCGCGGGTACTTGACTCGTCGTCGCGGAAGAGTCTTAATTCCGTTCGGCGGACGTTCCATTGTGATATTGGCTTGGAATGCTGACATGTGCACTTTAGTGGCTTTGTCCGCGTGGAGAGGAAAAGCATCTAGGGTCACTTGATAGTCTGGTCTCTCAAAATTGAGGAGACTGACTTGAAGTCTTGAAACCTTGTCGCCCACCTCAACCCACCGCTTTTCGCGACTCTCCGTGTCGTTTTCGCCGCTTGGGTAAAAGACGGTCTCGAGCCGAAGGATATTGTTTTGAGATGTCCCTGGAAAGTCGAAGAAGGCTCCGTAGTATTCGGTACATTCCGAGAAGACTCCCATCGAATTCAGCACGTCCGGCAGGTCGGTAACGTCACCTTGCCGAATAGCAAGGCCGTTCAAAGCCAATGTGGTTCGTCCTTTCGTAACCATGTTGTAGAAGTCACCAAACGTATATGTCTCGGCCCCTTCTGCTGGCCTCTGAAAGCGCATGAAACCTAACTCACCAAAGACCACTCTCATGCGCACGTGATGCTGTGAGATCCTGAGTCCCTTGATTGAAGAATCAATCGCCTTCTTGATCTTCTTGCGATTGCTGATGTGTACTTGACGTCTCTCTTGGTCCCATTGTTCCCTGTCTGCGACTGGCTTCCCGCGCAGGGTGGGCAAGAAAGTACCACTTTGCGGATCTTTGTTTAGAAGTCCAACTTGGTCTCCGAATATCTCGTCGGCCGGGAGATGCACCAAGTTGACTGCGAGGAGCTGATCTCTGCGAGAGATTGTTTCTTTGATCAGATTCGACAATCTTGACATAACAGAGAGAGCGTCTTTTTCAGACTGGGCGCCTATCAAGACATGCTGAGTATCGGATGCTAAAAAGGTGATACGACAGCGGAAGCGGCCTCGGATTTGATCAAGAGCTTCGGCGTTGGCCGTCTCAAATTCCTCGATGTCCAGATCTTTGGGCCACAGAAGAGCAGCTTCGACTGGATAATCAATTTGTGCGTTGCGCAACGCCTGCTCAAACGCCTTCTCTCGGCTCCGTCGATCAGCTCGATGTTCAGCTCGGCCATCTAGTGCTTTATATTTAGCCCAAGCGGCTGATTTCGGCTGCGAGAGCGACTCTTGGACGTCACGTTCCCACTGCGCCAGCGCTACCTTCGTGTCAGCCACCTGATGTCGATCACCCCAGATGAAGAGCTTAACATCTTCATCCCCTGGTTTCCTTATATAGGAACCCTTTTTGACCATGATTTCTCGGAGTACTTGAAGCGGATGTGGTTGAGCTGCTCTATCGATCCTCAGCGCCGTCGCTCGGAAGTGTCTCCAATTCGAAGCAAACTCATATTCACCATTCGGTGGTTGGCCCTCGTCACATTGGATTTGTGCAGGACTCTTAGCTGGTACAATAACTCTGGGAATTTGCCTTGATGGGATAACATCTCTTCTTGCTTGGCCAAAGAGAGCTGTTTGCTGCGGTGCGCGGCCGTCAGCCGGAGGGATACCATTCAGAGGTCGACTTGGGGGGCCTCTCCTTGGATCAAAGCGGCGTCCCGGTCCTGTCGGCGGATAGAAATAGCTGTTACCAGTCACGATTCCTTGGTTGAACACATCGGACCGCGCATATGAAAACACGGAGTCCCCAGGCAAGCTGGCCTCTTCCCATCCTACAAGAAGTCAGATCCTCAATCGTCACGTCAGAGAGGAGGCTGAAAGAAAGCGAGACGTTCAGGTAGAAACGCACTGTCAAGGTTAAGACCTTCACCTTCATGGCTAAGTCGACAAGTTAGCTCCTGCAAACAAAAGGGCCAGTTCGGGAAACCTCACTCGCTCATGACGACAGTTGTTGCTGGTTCTGAGCATGAAAGTATTTGGGTGTTTCATCAAAGACTGCAGAGGTGACGGGGTCGTGAGCGATCAGAAAGGGCTTCTATAATCAAAAGTGATGATGATAGTGAAAACCGGCAGTAACGCAGACAGACACGTAAAGAAATCAAAGGGAGTGCCTTCTCAAACAATCAGAAGAGGCGGGAAAAGTGGATAAATCGTCCAAACGACCACGTGACAAACCTGCAAAGTGATAAGCTCCGGTCACTCCTCTTCCTCCAGGACTTTATACCCTGGATCCAGCTGTGACAGGGCGAATGGCATATAGCAAACAACCGAGTCTTAGCCGCCTGTCCCAAGACACAAAGCCGGCCACGCTCCTGGGATCAGATCTGGTAAGACACAGGCCGTCAGGCAACACCCACGGAAGGTTAGATCATTAAGGAGGCGGTCAGTAGTAGACGTTGAATTTGCATATCTGATTCTGCAGATCTAGCCTGATGGTCCCAGACGGTCATTGAGAGCTGTTGAGTTTCAACCGTAGTTACCATAGATGGTCGGTGGCGACAATGACAGCCAAGCGAATGAAGAGGAGAGTTCCGCGAGAGCAGTCGAATCTCTTCCTTGTCATCAACGTCCGTTGAGAAGTGAAGTGAACGAAGATGGAAGAACAACGACTGTGGAAGACGGTCGCTGGCGAATCATCGCAGTGGCCATGCCAAGACAGTCTAACCGTTTATAGCTAGCGCATTTAACACTGCTGATTTCCTAACACGATAGAGGCGCGTCGACGCGTCGACGCGTTTTGCTTCCGTGGACTCGCTCCTAAATTGCGCACAAGTCATCGGACAGCGAACCTAGAACAGACGCAATAAAACTCCGAAAAAGGGATTTTGCAGTCGACAGCTTTGCACCTCTCGCCAATGCGTAAGCAAAAGACATACTCAACCACAGGGGGCCTCCGACGCGAAGATTCCGACGATGAACTCGGATATGAAGATCATCCCTGGCAATGGATTTATGAAGATGAAGGCCAGAGTGATCCCCAGGGCGATGAGACAATACCCTCAAGGAAACGGAAAGCAAACGCTCTTAATCCGAAAAAGACAGCCATAGTTGGAGCGCGTATGGGTGTCTTCTCGGTGCGGATAGGGGACTCGGTATTGCTGAAGTCTCCCGAGCAAGGCAAGGATTGGGTCGGACTTGCGTGCTCGTTCTCAGAAACCAACGAAGACGGGGATGACGAAATGTGTGTCTGCATCCAGTGGTTCTGCACGCCGGAAGAGTTGATGTTCGGAAAACGCTCCAAAATCCCGGGCGATGTCTTGCCCAACGAGTCCTACATCACCGCAGACTTCAACATGAACCCTTTGACTGCTATCAATGGAAAGGCAACGGTCCTGTCAAAGGAGGCCTTCTTCCAGAAGTATCCCGGCGGGGACCCACCAAAGTCCAAATCAGCTGCTAATCGATATGCTAAGACCATTCTGTGTCGGCGAGGGGTCAAACAGAGAACGGTACGATTTACCGAGGATTTCGTGTGGGAAGAGATCTACAGAGGTCCCGAAGATCTCTTGGACCTGATCGACTGGATCAAAGAGCAGACGAAGGGTCGGAAGAAGCAGACTCTGAAATCGGAGGACGTTGAATACATCCATCAAAAAGAGGCAATCGATGATGAGCCCCGAACGCCTCACAAGAGAAGGAAGACGACCGCAACAATTTCGACCCCTAAGTCCTCGGCAAAGGCTTCCAAGTACAGCACGCCGACTCATAAGCGGATCATGATCAAGAAGCCTATTGAGATCACCCCCTTAGGAACCCGAGTGCTTTCTCCTTCGCAGTATATGTCGACGCCTTATTCGCACGCACGCGCAACCCTCCATGTTTCTGCCGTTCCGACATCCCTCCCCTGCCGCTCCAACGAATTTCATACCGTCTATTCTCATCTCTACTCCGCCATTGTGGACGGCTCCGGCGCATGCATCTACATCTCGGGGACACCAGGTACCGGCAAGACTGCCACGGTCCGGGAAGTGGTCGCATCTCTCCACGAGGCAGTCTTGAACGAAGAACTCGACGACTTCAACTTTGTCGAAATCAACGGTATGAAAGTCACAGAGCCGCATCAATCGTACTCACTCCTGTGGGAGGCACTTAAGGGCGACCGAGTCAGTCCGCATCATGCTTTGAGCCTTCTAGATCAAGAATTCTCGCATCCCTCGCCACGCCGCATACCCTGCGTCGTGCTCATGGATGAGCTCGATCAGCTTGTGACGAAAAATCAAAGTGTCATGTACAACTTCTTCAACTGGCCGGCGATGCGGCATTCTAGACTGATCGTCCTGGCGGTTGCCAACACCATGGACTTACCAGAGCGGACGCTGTCCAACAAAATTAGCTCAAGACTTGGGCTGACGAGGATAACGTTTCCGGGCTACACACACACCCAACTAATGGAGATCATATCCTCGAGGTTAGAAGGGGTCCCCGGCAACGTCGTCGACAAAGACGCTGTACAATTCGCGAGTCGGAAGGTCGCAGCCGTGTCCGGCGATGCCAGACGAGCGCTCGACATTTGCCGTCGAGCGGTGGAAATCGCAGAGCAATCTCAGGAAAAGCAGAACGCATCGTCTATGGATGCCGACAACGGCGATGACACGCCAGCAACCACACCTACTCGCAGAGGCAGGCACATTGCGAAGGGAAAAGGCAACGGCGCTGGAGAGGAAGAAGAGTCTCCGAAACGACTGACAAGGGTGACGATCGCGACGATCAAACAAGCCATCAACGAAGCCACGTCCTCTCCAGTTGCGCAGCACCTGCGATCCTTACCGCTTGCCTCAAAACTCCTCCTTGCGGCGATATCTGCACGCAGTCGACGCACGGGCATCGCAGAGTCCACGATGGGGGACATCGTCGTCGAAGCGAAGCGGATAGCCGATGTCGCCGAAAATAGTACGATCCACGACTTCCTGCTTGCGGACGACGGCGTATCTGGAAAGAACGCTTCTGTCTCCGTCATGCCCCGGCCCCGGATTCTCGCTTTGGAAGGGGCAGCAATAGCGCTAGTGGAGGCGGGCGTGATCGCTATGGAATTGAGGAGTAAAGGTGAAAGAGCAGGAAAGGTCAGATTGCGAATAGGAGAGGAAGAAGTCAAAAGTGCCTTGATGGGGGATCCTGAAGTCAAGGGACTGGGGTTTTGATACTTGATATTGAATCCACGAACTGTGGGCATGGGGCGAACATGAGATACCATGTATAAGTAACCCCTCTGCAAAGAACACAACCGTTACGCTTTTCAAAAAAGCACGTCACAGCCAATCCTCACACCTGTGTTTACATCGTAATCAGCATCTTCAACGCGTCGTGCTCAGCAGCCGCTTTGAACGTGGTGTATGCCTTCATCATCTCCGTGAACGGGAACTCGTGTGTAATCAACTGTCCAGGATTGATGCTTCCCGCGGCGAACAGCTTCAACAACATGGGCGTGGTAACCGTGTCGACCAATCTTGTAGTCAGCGAGATGTTGTGGACCCACAACTTCTCGATCTTCAGCTCACAACTCTTGCCGTGCACGCCAATGTTTGCAATGGTCCCGCCCGGCGCGACAAGGTCTTGCGCCAGTTCCAGTGTCTCGGGGATCCCGACGGCTTCCATCACAGTGTCGCAACCGATGTTGTCCGTAAGACTCATGACAGTTTCCAGAGGCGACGCTTCTGCACTGTTCACAGTGTGGTGGGCCCCGAACCACTTTGCGACTTTGAGACGGTTGGGATCCCGGTCGATCATAATGATCAAACTGGGTGAGTAGAGCCTGGCAGTCATCAGTGCTGCGAGGCCCACGGGACCCGCGCCAACGATGGCGACTGTCGAACCGGGCTGAACTTTGCCATTCTGCACCCCGCATTCAAGTCCCGTGGGGAAAATGTCGGACAACATAACAAGCGCCTTCTCGTCGACTCCTTTGGGGACGTGGTGTAGACCACTGTCAGCGTACGGGATTCGAACGTATTCGGCCTGAGTCCCGTCGATCGTGTTCCCGAGGATCCATCCTGCACTTACGCAGTGGCTGGGCATCCCTCTTCGGCAGTAGTTACAGGTTGCACAGCTGGAAATGCAGTTGATGAGGACACGATCTCCTTTCTTGAACCGGGAAACTCCAGAGCCTGGTTCCTCAACAACGCCAACACCTGCCTTCGTCAGTCTCTAGGAAAATCTCACTGTTTAAGGTCCGCCGACCTTCATGTCCTAAGACGCGACCTGGTGTACATGTCGGCACATCTCCCTTCAGGATGTGCGTGTCTGTCCCACAGATTGTTGTATAGACCACTGTGAGCAAAGTCAGCAGCCATGTAATTCATGCTCAGAAGTTTAGACTTCACCTTTCACGATAGCATCTGAAGCTTCCTGGATCTTGGGGATTGGACGATCCTCCAGGCCGCATTTGCCCGGGCCATTGTAGACGAGTGCTTTCATCATCGTGGACATGTATCGGAATCTTGGAGCTGTTCTAAGTGTTCTGAGTGTTCCAATGGCACTGCTTCGCACAACGGTGGTAAGCATCCTCAATCGAGCACAGGGCTTTCTGTCCCGTCAGGCCTAAAGAGGGGGGAAGGGCCAAATATATTAAACCTTCGGTGAAGAGGAAAGCCTCGTTGTTCAGGTTTTATGCCGGGGAACACTTTGCTTACCAGGACCTATTGGGTCGCATGCTCCTCACACCACCCGTGTTCTTTACTTAGTGCAGCATCGGATGATTGGCTTTTGGCCATGCGGAACCGCTAGGGCTTCGCTCGCTTCCCCTCATTTTCGATTTTCTCGATGCATAACGAAGTTTGCACTGGCTCAGCTCCAAACCGGGGACTTACTCTTGGTTACGGAGAGGCTGAAGGGCATCATCTCGACATGGATGACTTCGAATTTGCCATGCTGGGGAGGGTGGATGAGTGCAGATGGTTGTCAAGTGGCCCACAGTTTTGGGAGCAGCAGGAAGCTACGGCGAAGTATTGGGACTCCGGGTGCTGTAACGACGCGTAATTTAAACCACATGACATCATTCTTGGCACAACCTCGATTTTAACTTCCATCCCAATTTGGGATTCTGCATGTCCACATCTTCTGTCGAGGCCTTTGAGGCCTTTATAGCGCCATGGTGACGCAATCTCAGCTTCTGAATCTCCAAAGCCTGTGCGGCATCATCAATCTCTCGCAAATCCCCGTCACTTCTCTTATTCTCTCACATCACGCTTCACCAAGCATCTCCCACGTCACTTATGAACACAGGCATCGATAGTGACAGTTACAATCAAACATGCATATGCGGTGCAGGCTGTCGCGGAGCAAGACTGTCTTGCCGCGTTCCAGGTTCATGGTGATGGGCGTCTTGGATCCATCCAGACGGAAGATCGCACACTGATCCAAGGTATGTACATCGTAGCCCACTGAGCCTCTCCCCAGAAAAACGACCCTGTCGCCCTGTGAATATCCGGCCTCATTGGGTGTAGACGTTACAGTATATATCTGAATGAGGGATGATAGTCCTGGATGTCCTCAAGCGTCTTGTGGAGGTTGGGGTCCGTCGTCCCGGCCTCTGCGTGTTCGAACGCCTCCTTTTCCTTCTTCTGGTTGAGCCACCGCATCCAGAGCCAGCAGAAAACGGCCGACAACAGGGCAAGGAGCTCGAAGGCCAGTGCGATCGAGTGGCCCTTGACGTATTGTGGGGGATCGGTGTAGATATGGGATCCAAGGATGGCAAAGCATTGGCCAACAATCTCGGCCGTGCCCCAGGTGGTGGCGCGTTTGGTAAAGCCACCGGTGTTGATATTCATCCAAGCTCCCATAAGCGTCACACCAGGGAAAGTCCCCATAGTAATCAGACATGTCGCAAATATCTTGACCTTGACATTGTGCACAGCGATCAGGATGACGTATCCAACGATGCTGGTACAAAGGAGACCCATCAGGAATACTCCTTTGAGGTTGAGCCGGTCGGAGGCGATGTTGACCACAACCAAGGTGACGAAAGCACAAGCATATGGGATGATTGAAAAGAGCTGCGTTTGGACTGAAAGCATGTCAACAGCGCACAGGAATTTGGGAAGATTCTGTGGTTGGATAAACCTTACCACGGGAGTAACCAAACTCAGCTATGAAGCTGGGTAAGAAGGCACTAATTGAAGCCAACGCCAGGGAAATCCCCGCGCTTATGAACCAGAAGGGAACCGTTTTGGGGTCTTTCAGAGCAATCCACATTTGCTTCCATGTGAAGCCTGCGTGCGCGACGTTGTACGTCTTCATTCGGTTGATGGCAAGCTCGATTTCCTTGTCGCTGAAGATCCAGTGGTTTTTCTTTAACTGGTCTGGGGATGGCGGCAAAAGAATCCAAGAGGCCAGACCAACGAAGATACCAGCGACACCTTCAATGATGAATAGCCAGTACCACGAGGGTTTGCCGAGGGCACCATCAAGGTTCTTTTGGATCGCGTAAGCGATGAGACCGCTGAAGCCTCCAGCAATGGTGGCGGCGGAATAGAAGATGCCTGCATCTCAGCTTTAGATGTCACGTCCCGACCGACCGAACGAAGATTGTGAAGGGAACAAAAACGAGGAAAAACACACCAGTTCGTGTTGCCATTTCATTCCGTTTGTACCACATGCTGATATACAGCGTCAAAGCTTGAAGGAAAGCTGAAGCGAACCCGAAGATGATACGCAGGGCCAAGACTGTGCGGGCGTTCTTTGCAGCGGCCATGCAGCACGAGAGCGTGGCGAAGAGAATGACACAGCCGCCGATCTGTCTGTGCGGTTTGAGGAAGCGGACAGACAAGCTCGCGGGCAGGATGGAGAGGATGTACCCGACATCTAGTTCATATTGGTCAGCAATTCGCTCGTCAAACTATCATACAGAGAGGAAGGGTGAGACAGAGAGGCGGACAGTAGAGGGAGATGGCGTTATAGAACTGTCCATTGCTGATGTGCAAGTCCTCCTGGAAGCCCATGACGCGGGCATTGCCGATGTTCCCTCGATCCTGTTCTTCGTCGTCAATCAAAAAAGCCTTCTCCATGGTACTGGGGAGCAATAGTGTGCCATTATGTGCCTTGACGGCAGGGCAGGACAGGGCATGGTATGTACACGTATGGTACGACTCACCCACTGATTCACCAGGAACACCAACGAGGTCATGCCGACGATCAACAGATCAGCTTTGAGGAGGAGCCTGCGCTCTGCTGGAGACTTCTTGGGCACCGTCTTCGGGTCCTCGTAGACGAAGCCATAGACCTCCTTGGGATCGTTGGCGACGCATTGCTCGACGCGGATCTCCTCCTTGCCTTCCAGCTTCTCCATCGTCACTGACAAAGCCATCGTTTGTTGCTTCAGTCAAGGCAATTCCCTATGCGGTATCACCTTGCTTTCATACACAAACACACAGCACGACAGCACGGCAACCACAGGGCAGCGACTCTGCTGAGGGATTGATTCGTCCAAAAGGGTGAAGGGTTGAATGGCGTTGTTGTTGCTGCTGCTGCTGCTGCTGCTGCTGCGTTCCTGTTGCTGTCTCTTTCTCAAACATTGGGATACTTGCAGGTGGTACAGGGGACTTTTTATGTTCCCATGTTCCCAATTTTCCTTCGCCTATCCCCCAGATTCCCTGGTAATTCAAGTTGGCGGAACAAGCGCTTCGTATTCTGGCGGATTGCATGCAGCGCACGGAGAGCAGCGGCACTCGGTCATGTGGCTGGACGGTCTCGCTGGCCAGCAGAACCTTTTCTTCTTGTCTAGCCTTAGCCTTGGTCTTTGCCGTTGCCATGGATCGGCCAATGCTAATCGTAATGCAGGCGTCTCACACACTTCCCGTTCCGGCTTCGGGATCCACCTTGACTAGACCCAAAATGGCATTTTCCACGACACCCGCATAATATGGGGAACTTGATGTTAGCGCCAGGTCGCCAGCGCGTCGTTTTGACTAGACTCTCAAAGCTTCATGGCCGTGCAAACAATTATCCAGAAACGGGACAGGCGGAACGCCCTGTCTCAGAGTCGGAATCTCTGACATTGTCTATTTAGATCCTCCCAACTGGCAAGCCGGCACAGGCGTCACTGCGTCAAGGTCTCCGTGAACGGAGAGGACGGCGCAACTCGGAGCAGAGGGCGCTCCGACCGGCAGGCCAGATTGCGAAATTTGTGGATGCAATGACCTGCAAGTCGCTCGATGGCAGGGGATATATATTTGTGCAAGATGGCGCGATGTGAGGGAGCGACCGCTTCGACCTCACGAAGTGTGATGTCTGGCAACTATCACTCGACAAGAACGCCGAGTCGCTGCACTGTTTCTACCTAGGCAGTTTCGACAGCAAGGAAGTCGATTCTGCGATCAGTCATCGAGATGCCGAACGCACTGTCAATGAGACCTCCTCGGTGTTTCCGAGACAAGGAAGCCGAGCTGGCCATGCGCATCAAGAAGCCATTCACAGTTGCGGTTGTCGGTGATCTGATCCAGATGATGCCCTTTGCGAACCGCGACGATTCAGACATTCAGGCACTCGTCGAAGTGATGCGGAAGGCGGATATCACGCTGGCCAACAACGAAAACACAATCGTCGACCGACTCACGTTTCGCGGACCCATCTCTCACATGGAAGCACCTGCCGAGATTGCGGATGATTGGGCTTCGATGGGCATCGCCATGGTGTCTAAGGCAAACAACCACACCTTCGACAACGGTGAGGCCGGCTTGATCCAGAACTTTGAGCAGCTTCGTCGCGTGGGCATCGACTACGTGGGCACCGACTACAATCTCACCGAGGCTAGATTGGCTCGATTTCGTGCCCTCCCAAAAGGGACAGTTGGTTTCGTTGGCGCCTACGCCGAGGTCGAGGACTATTCTCAAATATACGGCTTGCCACGCGGAGACCCTATCATTGTCAATAAAGAGCAGCTTGAGCAATTGCATGCGATGGAGGAGTCTCTCTACGAGAGGAGAAAAGAAGTTCCCAATCCCATTGACAAGGATTCAGCACGCCCAGCGGGTAGCCTACTGCTCTTCGGCCGAGTGTTCCAGCTCGCAGATGTCGACGTGGCCATGGATGAGGTCGCTTCCATCAAAAAGCGACTGGAACACCATTTGAACTCCAAAGGGCCCATTACCTCGAAAAACAATACGTTGAGGCTCAAGGTCTATCAAGGCGTGACAGAGGCCCAGATGGCCCAGCTTCGCAAGATAGCAGGCGACGAGGGCAGCGGCCCGACTCTAGACGCCTTTGACCTGCACTTCAAGGTGACTCCAGGCCCCGGAGAGTACTCGTACGACATGAACGAGGTTGACGAGCGGGAGATCCTGCGCGAAGTCCGATCGGGAAAGCAATTCTCGGACTTCGAGGCCTTCACGATCCACTGGCACCAGAACCGGTACTCATTCCAGAAATACTCGTTCGACCACTACCCGGCCGACTACCAGATCAAGCTCGCGCACGAGGTCATCGACAACGGCGCCGACCTGTTCTTCGCCCACGGCGTCCACACACTGAGGGGAGTCGAGATATACAAAGGGAAACCCATCTTCTACGGAATCAACAATTTCGTGTTCCAGAACCAGAGATTCCGCTCCTGGCGCGACGACGCTGAGCGACAACCGGTGACCTTGACGGGCTCAGTCATCGGCGACGGAGAGACGAACGAGTCCCGTTGGGCGTGGCTGCAGAGGCCCGAAAACTTGGAGGCCATCCTGGCCACCAACAGCTACGAGGACGGTAAACTGGTCCAGGTGCTGCTCTACCCTGCTGATCTCGGGTTGAATCGGCCGGGGTCAGAGGTGGGGACGCCACGCCGACCATCGCCAGAACTGGCCCAGAGCATTCTCGAGCAAATGGTGGAATATTCAAAGCCGTTTGGGACCAAGATTTCGATTGAGGGCGGGGTGGGAGTCATCCGGATACAGTCATAGCAACTCTTGTCAGTCCCTCGTGGAGACTCTATATTCCCAACCGGAGACCTCAAATAGGATGGGCATGTCGAACCGTAACCCGTTCCAAGATCTGACTGGTTGAATAAATGTTCATGTCAAGATTCTCTCGCTTAGTACAACATGCAGTTTCTGCTTCGGAACTTCATTTCTCTTGTTAGTTCGTCCACTTCTCTTGCGTTACAGCTTTTCGTCCGATCCTTTTAGTCTGGCAAGGGCTCCTTGTTGGTCCTAAGTGGCCAAGCGGCCGAACAGCAGCTATCTGTGTTGAAAGCGTACCTATCCGGCCTAGAACGAGTCTATCGCCACCTCCTTGGGAACGCCATGCCGTATACACAAAACATCTTTCCAAAAGGTTTCGCGTCCCTTTCGAAACTTTTGCCCCAGACGTTAACTCAAAGAACTACCGCTATCAAGCTCGGTACGGCGGAATTGATGAGTGAGAGAGAATCGCGCCTCAAGCGACCATGATATGCAGCAGTCGTGAGAGTTACCTCTTTTGGCAAACTGGACTGGTTCCTCCTGGTGCTGGATTGCATCTCAAGTGGGCTCGCATCAAGTTGCTGGTATCATCGCCCCAGTTTCCGCAAGATATTCTCTCGGGTTACGTGGGGATTCTCGGGGTTATGGCAATGCTTTCTCGCCCTGGCGAGTGTCGTAGCAAGCCGTGCAAGCACCCCAGCGCCGCGGTGGGTTCTGCAGCGGAAAAGAGTTGAGGCGCTACGAGGACGAACTGGTCGCTGGGATCGGCCCAAACGGTTTCGCTGTGATTTCCATGTCCAACAAGAAGGAAAGGGTTATGTTGGTCATAAAAGCAGAAGCAGGTAGGTATGCGAGGCTGGTGTGAGGGACTTATAGCATGTACTTGACCCTTTGCCATTTTCCAGGACAAAAACACTCTCCCAATCTCGTTCGTCATGAGGGCGACGCCGCAACAGTCAACGAAATGGACAATCCCGCCCGTCTTTTACGTCGGGGGAGAGTATATACGGGACAGCGAAGGGACGCACATGAGCGGACAGATGTGCGTGCGGCATTATAGTGGTTGCGATGGTCGTGAAGCAGAACAAGCCGACGCCTCTCGTCGCCGTCCGGCGGTCATCTTCATCCACGGCGCCGCGCAGACGGGGACGCACTTTGAAGTCACGCCAGATGGGAGGCCGGGGCTGGCGCTACTGCAGGCGCAGGACGGATGGAACTGCTACGTCGTCGACCTCATCGGCGTAGGCCGGTCACGGTACCACAGCGTCGACATGGGCCCACTGAAACACTACACCGTCGAAGAGCTGCAATCTGCCTTTACCGCGCCGGCGCCCGACGCCTGGCCTTCGTCCAAGCTACACACGCAGTGGCCGGGCACAGGGAAGAGGGGCGACGCGCTCTTCGACGCCTTCTACGCCAGCCAGGTCGGGCACATTGCAAACTACAAAGTGATAGAGCCCCTAGTGCGTCAGGCCGCGCGCGCTCTCCTCGCAAAAACCGGCCCGGCGTATCTTGTCACACACTCCCAGTCGGGCCCGCTGGGTTGGCACATTGCGGACGAGTGCCCGGAGCTGGTCAGGGGGATTGTCGCGCTGGAGCCGCACGGCCCGCCGTTCGAATATCCGGATATCGCGCCGTTTAACGGACGGCCTCAGCTGGTCGGCACCCTACTGCATCCGTTCGGTATCACGTCGACGCCACTGCACTACTCGCCCGGGTTGCCCGAGGACGCCACGCAGCTCGGCTACGAGAAACCGTCCTCCTCGAACTCCCCCAAGACCGACGACGATGACCAGGCGCGGGCGCGCGGATGTCGCCAGAAAGATCCGCCCAGACTGCTACCCAACCTCGCCGCCATCCCCGTCCTCCTCGTCACGGCCGAGGCCTCTTACCATACAAGCTACGACCACCTCATGGTCGACTTCCTCCGAGACGCCGGCGTCCCCGTCGAGCACGTCTACCTCGCTGACAGGGGTATCAGGGGAAATGGCCACTTGATGGCTATCGAGGCCAACAATGAGGAGATTCAGAAATTCATCGGCCGCTGGCTCGTCCAAGCCGAGGAGGACCTCCGGGCGAGAACTTGAGAAGAAAAGGGGGAAAGAACATGATAGAAGAGCGTTTCGTTCGGTATCCGGTTCCCATGGACACGTGGATATGAGCATGATATACATATGTACATGGCTCGAGGTAGCTCGGTGGTATTCATATTGACCGTCTCGTAGAAGTCCCAATGAAAGACATGGACATTCCACGGGATGAGATCCAGGTAGCATTGGTCTCGCGGATGCAAAAAGTCTCATTCTCCCACAATCTTGCTCTCCATCCCCCACAAAGCCATCATCCTGTGTGCTTCCTTCCTGTGCACTTCGTCCGTACCCAGCCACGACACGATCTTCAGAGAGAACCCCGTCCGCAGTGCATCGCCACAGTAAGGATGGCGCCAGTTCTGATACGACGCCGCCATCAGCACCGAGGATGAGTGGTAATCGATCACGGACCGGTAACGCTGAATGGGCGACAAGCCCTGATAGGACAATGGTTTGCATTCTTCGAGAGAAATCAACACAGAATAGACTATGACCATCATCGAGTTGTACAGTGAGACCGTCTTGGCAGTTAGGGTGTCGGGAAACACGCCCTGCCCAGTAGGCGGGACCGTGACTGAATCGACGACGGTAATATCGTCTGTCAGGTCTGCATGAAGCCGCGCAACACCGAGGCCGGTGTCGTGCGTGAAATGCCACCACAAGGTTTGCAGGCGCTGAAGGATAAAAAACGTCTCCCTTTCCAGCGTTTGCCGGTCTGAGTCGTTGAGATCTGCTATCCGGTGGATGGAGTCCCGGAAGTCGCCACCAGGTGCCAACGTGAGCTTCAGGTGGTAAGGAATGGAGAGGAGGATATCAATCAGATACTCGTAGGCGATCTTGGTACTGTCTCTGAATGGTTCTTCACACCATTCTGGTGAAGCGAAGCTGCAGGGGTCGTTTTGGAGAAGGGCCTTAAAAGCCTGTGAGGGCCGTGAGAAGCAGCTCGGCTGGATAAGTCTTTCTTCTGATGAGCATACGTACCGCATACGTGCGAAGGGATCTAAACATGGCATGATCTTGACCAACACGATAATGATCTGGCCCTTGAGTTTCGACTATGCTGACGGCCGCCGCAATGTGGTGAGCCCAGGCGTCAAGAGACGTCCGTCTCATCGTCTCAAAATAGAGAAACATCATTGGCACAGATATATCCGCGCTGCTTGAAGTTGTCTTGTGTGTTAATAGTTTTGTACCAGTGCTGGTGCAGCCCTGTATAAATTCACGGTGGCTCTCGAGGCCGGCAAGATACCAACGCACAGCCTCAAGCTCGACAGTCTTGTTGTCCTGGACAACCGCAAAGTATATCAAGCTGGCGGCTCGAATGGAAAATCTGACAGAGGGTGTCTGGGTGTTTGATAGCAAGCTGGGAAGGGCAAATACCCATGATCTCGGTCGGTTCGGATTCATTCCCAGCCTCGAACTCGTGCTCAGTTCGACAAACCTTTCCACGAAACATTGTTCGAAGAAGTCGTTGTTGTCCAGTACATCCATAATGATCAGTGAAAGAGTTTGATCTCGTGAAGAATTTTGGTGTGCAGCAATATCCAAACCCCAAGCAGGAGACGACGTGCTCGAGGCCATTGAGAGATCATCCTCGGTTAGAGGACTCGCATCACAGGCCTCTGTTAGTATGACAGTATTCCTATCGTCCGTGGAGGCAAGGTGCCCAGTCGATTTCTCGGTCAGGTCGCCAGATTTTCCTCGCCGTTTCCTGCGTGGACGACTGACTTTGGCAGACATGTCGAGTATGATGGGTCCTTGGATGGGGCCCGAACAAGGGAGTCCAAAGCGGGCACATTGTCGGCAATACTCTGGTCTTCCGTCGCACTGAAGATGCAATATCTGTCAATTATGTCCTGGTAAGAAGGGGCAGGGGTAATGCTCCTGGCTGACCTTCACGTGGCGTTGTATACACTGTGTACAACCTCTACTCCTCGGCGTCCGTGAGAGGGTAGGCATGGTGGCTGTTCACCTACTTTCTAGCCGCTGTGTGGACCAGATAAACATAGGCATGCAACCGGGTACTGAAGAGAACAACTAGACCAAAGAGATACGTCTGATCCCGTAGACTCAACAGCGGCTGCTGGTTCTTGAGGAAGTCTTGCATAGGTAAACACTGTAGAGAGACCAACCACCAATTTAGGGGATGGGACTGAACTGCACAGCAAGAAGTACGCAGTATGGAGTGCCTAGGCAGTTAACTAATCACTGACGCCCTGAACGCTGCGCCGGGTGGTCGGGACTGGGGTACAACGGGTTCAGTGGGGGACGACCAGGGATCCTTGCTGGCTAGTCAGTGTCTAGACGCATCGTATGATGGATGGCTACATACTCCGTAGCCGGTCAGCAAAAAGCCTAGCATAGGGGCTTTGGGCACCTATGGGGTTGCAAGCAATTCTTCCAGTAACTAGACCCGCAGCGGTTAGTTGGTTCTGGTGATGCCTGCGACCGCCAAATACGAAGTCGGGGCAGAGGTCAATGAACAAGGCCTCGTCAACGTCGCTCCTGTGTTGATTGCCACCCGTGTTCCATCAAAGAGAATCAACAGCTCCCTCCCGTTCGGCAGAACCAAAGAGTCCCGGGAAACTCAGTCTCTCGTCAGCCTAAAGGTCAGTTACCCCAGCTTGAGACGTCGATGATAGGCACACGGGTAAGAGGGCCAGGATTGGCGTTTGCAGCAATGTGTGCATTTGACCAATACTGCGCCCAGTAAGTTACCAACACCCGTCGATCAATTGCTAGCAATTCCCACCTCAAACTCGACGACAGATTGAATTCTGCAGGCACTTTTGAATCCTCAGTCTTGACTGCCGACCATCCTTCGAACCGCTTGCGTCACATTGTCTCTGTGCCGATCTCATAATTGATATGGAAACTTTTAGGCCATTTCCGCTGCTGTTCCACTGAAGTCAAGACTTCGTATTGGAGGTGCCGAGAGAGTGTTCCTCCAGCGGCCAATTTGTTGAGAGTCCAACCACAGTTGATCGTGGGGGGCGAGAAACTGGCCACTTCAGCAGAGATGCAGCGCATATTCCCCCGGCACCGAGGAGGCTCTCTTCAACATGCTCGGCATCATTTGGATTTCGCCATCGAAGACTGATTGCGTATGCTTTGTGGCAATGGTAGTAGGAAGTGTATACAACGATTTGTCGTCCCAGTGCCTTACTGCCGCAGGGAAAAGCCCAGCAAACCAGTCCCAAGGAAGTACCGCCAAGTCTCCACCCTCCACAGAAACGAAACTCCATTGCAGGTCCCTCCTCATGGCCAGGATATGATCCTGTGCAGGGTGGCGTGGACCAGTGATGCCGGCGATAAGTTCAACGGTGCCCAAGGTGGCAGAGACTTCAGGATCAGTCGGCGATACTCTCAATGAGCAAACCATGTTCGAAATCAAGAATGAGACTATGTGTCTGAAGGTCCACTATGAGAAAGCAATGTCTGTTGATTCCCTGGTGGCGGACTTGGAAAAGAAGCTATCCGAATTGCTTCTCCGTGCACAGTCTGCCCTAGCTCGTCGCACAAGTGATCCCACCAGATAAAGTTCATGAGTTGCACCTTAAGATCTTCCCACGCCCAGTAGCGCATGTAGAGGAGCATTTTCAGCATGTCGATAAATGAGCTCTTGAGCGGCAGATTGATTGCTGCTATTGCGCCTATGGTCGTGGCCCATATTTTGAACCCTTCAAACCCTTGGCGCCACGCTTCGAATGCCTCACACGCACAGAGAGAAGCGTAGAGCTCGGTGACAAGTCGTAATCGAACACCGGTGATCGTGGGGATAGGGAAGATGACCATGTCACTGAAACAAAGCAGAGCTGCTCGTGTAGTCTCCTGAATGGCTTGTTCCAGGCTGACCGGGTTGACCAAACGTTGGATACGGCAAAGCGCGTGCTGAATAGCGTTGCGGGCATGAACTAAATCATGCATTGCAGGTTCTGGCACCGCCTTGCGTACTAGACGGTCTAGAGCAATAACAAGCTCACAGATCATGCTGAGCGTTGGATAGATGCCCACAAGGACATTCCTGTCGAAGCCGGAACCGAGATCTTTGAGAAGCATGACAGAGATAGGGTCGATTATCAGCCCCCCAATCTCGAAAGTGAGCAATGGTTGCCGTGGATGTCTCCAATCGTATTTCGGCTGCTGGCCCGTCAAGGTCGAGACTGTGAGATCGAAACTTACAACTCATCAGTCACATGTCCAAAACGGCAACTTCAGAGGGCATGCTTACAATTCTGCCAACGTCGCAAGAGAGGGTGTCTCCACGCCAGTCAATCCACCCTTAAGATCAATGATGCCAAAAAAAGCCTTGATATACCCAGGGTCCAGTGATTGAGTGCTGTAGAAATGAAGATTCTGCGCTCGTGCCAATGGAGATTTTGAGATCGAGCTGACTGGTGGGACCCTTGCGCGGGCGACTGAACCTCTCGCCACGGCGACCATGGCCATGACGAGATCATCAGACGGTACTCCGCCCTGTAATTGATCAAGTTCCTCATTGATCAGCTGGATGGCCTTTTCCCGGTTTGTCTTGACCAAGGCAGAACAGGCAAGCGCAACTTTGCGGTCTTGGGTACTTCTCTGGAGGAACATTGCAGCAGAAGCCACAAGTCCATGGAAAGCATGAGGATACAATGCAGCTCCTCTGCGTAGTATGAGTGAATATGACCGATCTCCGGGGGCACTATTGACGTTCGCAGGCCAATACACGTCAAAGGCGTAGTCAAGGGTATGCCGTAAAGCGCGTGGCAGGCATTCTGCGCCAAACTGGTTAAATGGATCAATCGTGATGGGGTCAAGCCAGCGGTCCAGGATGGCGCCAGTATACGCAGGAGACGGAGTCCGTTGAGCAACAGCAAAGTCACGGTTGACGGGATTGGCAGGTCGTACAGGTAAATGGCGGATTTGTCGCACCTGTTGCTTTGTTGAGCTCTCGATTTGACCACTCCCAGCATCCTCATCCCCAACTTCCTGAACGAAACTGAACTCTGACTTGGGAGACAGGTACAGGGTTTCGCTTTCAGACACCGACCCTCGTTTCCCTGTCAATGTCGTCTCTTGCTCCCGCTGTTGCCGTTCACGTCGGCGCTGGTGAGCAACTCTGGCCGCGTGTGCTCGTCTTGCCGCAGTCTCACTATGCTTGGTCTTGACCGACTGTAGGGCTCCATCGTCAACAAACCTAAAGTCGGGCGCAGGGTCAGCGGCGTTGGGTCGATCGAAAGGCATGACGAGATGATCGCTGGTCCTTCCATCACCGAAGGAACTTCAAGTTAAGTCAGACAGCGCATGCAAGCACAAGAGACCAGAGCGTTTCAATGCTAACAAAAATCAATTATGAGTGTTCTGGGAATCTAGCAAGACGTTCGAGTCTGGTGTCGGATGGGATTGTCAGCCATAGAAACTAGGCTCATGATCAACGGAGCGCAAAAGATTCAGGCTTTGACATGGAGCCATCCGTTCATGGAATCTTGTACCTCCACGGGTCGGAAGAAATGACTAAGCTCTTCTCTCACTTGCGAGCGAAGCCCGGGGATTGAGCGTGGCTTGTATGTCGATTCGTCAAGTGGACGGCTCGAAAGGCTCCGATGCAGGTAGACTCGCAGGTCCTGGTGCCCGATCGAAGCCGCCATGTTTCTGCATTGCGGGGGCCATGCCTCTGCCTTTATGTACTCCCACACGAATGGCCCTAGGGCATTCAAGCTCATATTGTTCTTGCCACGCGTGTTGCGATGTTGAAACCTCCCAGCCAACGGCCGAAAGGTTAGTGGTAACCAGATCACCTCGTACAGTCGCCCACGTGCACCAGAACAGGAAACACTCTCCCCATCTGTGGAGCCGACGCCTAGGAAATGCCAAAAGGACGGTATTCCAGTCCTTGCCAGATCCAGAACGCCGTGTTTGTTGCGGACAAAAGACCGTCATACTCGTGTAAATGGAGAGAGCTTAGTGGCTTCGAAGGTTACTGGGGAATCCCTCGTTTCTGCGCTTCGATGTTCCTGTACGAGTACACACAGGTACAACCTTTCGATGTGGAAGCTTGAAGATACATCGCACAATGCCATCCAGACCTGGGCTTCAACCTATCACCCCGGGCCGTTACAGGGTACAAAGGGGGTTGATCGGTAGATCTGACTCGGAACTCCACTTCCCCCAAAACCGTTTCCGCCTTTCACTGGTTCGCGGGGGATGTTCTGTCCTGCGGAGATGCAGAGATCACTTTTTGTAGCCCCGAGGCGAGGTGTCTTGGGCAGCTTGGTGGCAGACGCTACACGACGAAGCGAAGCGGCAGATCAAATAAACATGAAGGCCAAGAACGGTAAAAGAACCAGCCAATCATAATTCGGCATCCCATGCCTTTGTCAGCGTCAGTCTCTTTATATATCATGGGCTCCGACCTGCTCCGATATATCACTGCCACTTACTGATTCTTAAACCCTTCCACCACCACCACCACCACCATCGCTCTTTCTATCGTCGGCTCACGCATGGTGACAGCTTTTGCATAATGTCCCCGAGATGAAATTGAGAAGTATGAGCTGCTCGACTCGACGGCGGATCCGGTCGTCGAAGATCTCCCATCACCTACCCCCTTTCTTTCTGATACAACATTGCTCTGCCGACAGCTACAACACGTGTTGTTGTCGGATGCCGGTCGGGCCACGCGCTCAGTGGCTTTGGAGCCAGGTACTATTTCGAAAACTTCTCCCTTGATATCGACCACCTAGTTGCAGGACTATTCGTTGTCGCAGTACCAGAGACACACGTGTCGACTTTGGCCCGTAACAAACTGCATCTCCAAAGTACTCGGCTCGATGCTTCCTGACGATCCACGCATCCCACCTAAGCCATGCTCGAACGCTGACTCTCTGTTCCATTCATGGACAACGACCGGTCTTTTTACGCCTTGTTTGCTCTACGCTACAGGACACGACCTAATCGCGCTCGTTGCCACCTCCTGTATCATTCCATCTATGTGGGATCGAAAGCCAGCTGGGCTTTTAAAACCGACATCGTTCTTCCAATGCCGGTAAGAATTGTGACCATTGTCTATAGTCACAGGGTGTCGAATGTCGCGCGAAATCACTCGGCGGCAGCTGTTTACCTCGCCCGGATCGCTCGCCATAGAATTTCATCCCTGAACCCAACACAACATCATTTCTCGTGTTGATAAATTGCTCATCGCGTTTTTAATGCTTTGGATACAGCCAAAGCCTCACAAAAGCTTCCGACATCTAAAGATGCTTTGTCTCTATTGGCGAACTCCCCACTTGGACTGCATCCGGCCGCGAGAACGGAATCGGAGCTTGAATGTTTGTGGCATTGGCTTACAATGGGGCGGCTCGATCCCGACTACGTCTCCTACTCTGATGAGAGGACCCAACGCTCCCGCCGATTAACCCACAGATGATGGAGGGCGTGCAACCTGTTGTCCAGGACTACCTTCTCGCCGGAGGGAGCTCAGCCTTTCGTATCATAGATCCTCGAGGCCCTTCGAGACTGGTCCCACCGATATTTCGAGTACGGACTCATGATTTACGGATGCTACCCCAATGAATGTGCTCTCTGAGTTCCTCACCAGTCAAAACCGTCGGAATTGGGACCATCGTCAAGACTCTAGATATGGAGCTGGGAGAGATTAATAGGACGTTCAATGTGAACGTTGAGAGACTCATCTCACGCAGGTTACGGATTCTCACTTGCCGCTTCGAGACTGAGCCATCAAACCTGCACCGACTGCTTCTAACTACCCTTTGGAACCCATCACAGGAAAATGCTGCCGCGCTAGGACTCGTGAATAGACAGCTTGGCCACGTGCCTTTCCGGGAAGACGGTCATTGACACGATGACCGCTCTAGCTGTCTACAATGTCTAGAGTCCTGTTGCTGCAGTATCGCACGTATGGAGAAGTAACTACTAATGCTTTGCCTAGCTGCGCACCCATAGCTTCTAGAATCGGCTAAAGACATCGTTCCTCTGTGGGGGAATGATCTAAAGCTGAGAGATTAGAGGACCATGGCCTGAGCCACAAAAAAGGCTACTGATCTGTATATGGAATTGCTGAACGGTAAGGCCACCTGCGAGCACCAAGCTGTTCTTATCTTGCAGAGGCGGAGCAGAGGAGCAGAAGAGCAGATCAGCACGACACGTACGGCGGAGCGGAGCAGCCTTGGCGATATCTTGGCACTGGCTGACGCTGCTTTGCGTTGTTCTTCTCGAGCTCATTCCCGTCTGTCTCTAGTCGGTGTCTAGCTCGCCTCCACGACTGAATGACCGTGTCTAGTCGGCCTAGTTACAAAGCACAATATTCTCATTTTGACCTCCATCTGCCCTGTTGCAACGGGCTCCGACCCTTAATTGAGATCCTTCTCTCTTATGTGGACCTCCAATGGAGCGAATCAGCCCCGCGCTGCATATGTCAGCAAACGGACCTTGGTTGTGATAGGCCGTCGCGAGGCTACAGGCATGCGGAGATATTCTGTTCTTGTTTACATTCCGCGAGCTCCAGATTATGAAGCTGGCAATGACGCTTCCTGGTACATCCGTCGCAACTGATGGTAGCCCGAACCTGCAGGGCCCCTCTTGATACAGATTCACCGATCTCCAGCTGGCTAATCAACCGGGCGCAATTAGCTCTTTCGCGATACTCGGAGAAGGATGAAATCGCCCGATGTCCCTTTTTGGAAGCGTTGCACGAGCTGAAATTGGACAATGGAAGCTGCGAGTGTGCACTGCTTGCCATGTTCCGGGAAGCCCTCGAAAAGACCCTGTCTGATGGGTCCTCCGTGGATAACTAAGCCCTCGGATCTTGCATGCACCGGCTTGTCATACTCAGAGCTGCTCTAGCTGGGGAGAGCTACACAGAAATGTCCTTGGCCTGCCGACATTAAAATCTGCAGGATTCGTCGAGAATCAGTTCTTTTCTCTTCTTCAGCATCTGGTACTGTTCCTAAGCACAGCAGCCAGACCTTCGCTATTGAAATTCTCCCATTGTTGTTCACGATGCCGTCAACTATGTCCGCAAAAGTCCTCTCTTTCGTCGCAGCTGTCGGCGTTGTTGCAGCTTTGCGTCCCAACACCACAACCATCTGCGACTACTATACTCCTCTCCTGCTCGGGAAAGAGAACACACCCGCCAACCAGCAAGAACTCATGGCGTTAATCACCCATACTTTTATTCTGGGCAACTACACTACCCCTAACGTCGGGGTCAAGGTGGACGGCATCGCAGGCCCCTTCACCTACGAAGGCCACGACATCAACCTTCTCCCATACTTCACCGGCGGATACTACTCGACCAACGAAAATGGAAAGCCCGTTGTAAAGAACTTCCTTGATGATGGTGGAGCTGGAGCACTGCTTGCCAACAAGCCAGCCAACACCACGACCTCTAATCAATAGTATGCACCCGAAATCGCATTCGGCTATACTCTGCTTACATCTGACTTTGCAGCAAACTCCTTACCCACGTGTATCAGTACTTTGGCGACTTTTACGGATGCTCCCAGCAGGGAGGTCCTGACTTCCCACACTACCAAGGTGTCGCCAGCATGTGGGAGGTGCACAAGTAAGCGTCTTTCACGCTTACCCGATAATTGAGCACTGATGGTTTCAAGATTCATGGACTCCAACATCTGGGAATCTGGCTATTTCAATGAACAGATTGTGCTTGCCGGAAAGTCTATCGGATTCGAAGAGCCAGACGTCAACTTTACTCGAGAGGCGCTCGACCAGACCTTTACCTACCGCTGCATTCCCCCGGCAGCCGTGATTCCTCCATCCGCCGGACCTCAGCTCCAGACCATCTGCTCCGATGTCAACAGCTGCCCCCTTGCAGCAAATGCAAACTGCTCGGCCTACCCAGACAATGGTGTTGTCCCTTATCCTACGATTGCAAACGTCTCACTTCTGCAGGGTGTCCCCAAGGAGAATGACACGCTCGGTCTGAGCAGCACATCGACCTCTTCTTCCACGAGCGCATCGGCTACCGCTAGTGGGTCAGCAGCAACTCCCAGTACCTCTAGCACCAACGCAGCTGCTTACACTTTGGCCGCAGGAAACTCAATGATGGCCCTTGGAAGCATGGTGGCCCTTTTGGGCATGAGTCTCTTTCTGTGAGCAATGGCGGTTGGAGAGACTGGTGATGTCGCAAAACAGTGGACCATGTTGTAATGGACAAACACATGAATGAAATAGATGGAAACCGTTGTAAATAGACAGGGCAATCGGATAGTCCGGTGCAAGAGCATCTATGTAAGTACATACTTGATGCACTGCAAGATGGGAGCGAAACGCATATCTCCTTTCGGGTCAATCATCACACTGTAACCCCGTAATTCAAGCAATGCATTCATTAATTCCGGCGTCTGTCGCCACATCTGCTCGGCATCCTCGTGTTTTTCCTTATCGTCCAGTATTGATGCGGGGTTGTTCATACTGTTTGGTGCATCCACAAAATGCGGGACACGAAATGAACCGGAGTTTACTGTATAATGGAAATATGGCGTGCAGAAATCTGGCCAGTGTTCAGGCTCAACCTGCACGGGATATATGAATAATCGTAACAGTAGTAATAATTATAATAATAATAGGCATATCCTATCGCGTTGGCCTGCCTCTTAGTGGGAGTTCCAAACATTTCGTCATGGAAATCGGGGTACATGCGTCACAGCTCAGACTGTTTCGAACCTTGGGTGATCGTCTTCTCCCATCTCGTTTTTAGAGATGATAGGGTTTGAGATGCCCGTTAAACAGGATGCTGACCTACTGAAAGCGGATGTGCGCAATTCGCACCACTGCGAGGTGGACGCTCTATCGCTTGGTCATCTTACTCCATACTTATTGCCAGTGTAGATATCTGGTGTTATAATCGCCGGTTTGCGGTACATATGCTTCGGGGCTTTGGCCACTCATGCCAACTTGGCCCATCAGTGGAGATTCAAGGGGATTTGACAGGTCTTGTGCTTCCCAGGAGTGCTGAAAGCAGGCTTCGAAATGGCTAACTCCAAGTCTTCATGAATTTAAGAATTAGGATTGGTGATTGCAATGGAATCTCTCCCTTATGCGAGAGCGACTGTGAAGCAAGAATTAAGGCATACGGGAAAGGGGCTCGGCGACGACCGTGAACAGGTTTACAGCCCGTAAGGATTCCTTTTGTAGATGAAAGACAACTAACTGGGATCAGAATTGCCCATCCTAGGTACCACATCACTCCAGATGTCATTGAGAACAAAAGAAACCAAGCTTGAGACTCGAGCGACGCACGATGAACAGCCGTCAGCTGTCACATGCTATCTTGACTAAGAGCTACTCAACGACCTTCCTCAACACTTCCCGTAGTCGCCTCAGGTTTGAAATTGCGCTGGTCTGCGCCTTACCGCTGGAAAGTCGAATGCGTGCAGGAAGGTACTTGACAAGTACTCGGAATATGTCGGCAAGAAATACCGGAGAGCCCCCAAACAACCTAATGTCTACACAGTTGGTGTGATAAGGCGGAAGGCCGGGAGAGGCGAGCATCATCAGCCTCGTCAGACCCATCACTCTCAACCACTCTCGTCACTTCCCCATAGCTCAAATTCTGGAGAGAGCTCAATCCAGCCCAAGATCTCATAGTGATATATCTCTGCTATTGTGCATTTCTGCGGGTCCTCATTTTTCTTAAAGCTAATCTCCCTTTCGATCCCACTCATAGCAGGAGGATGCTCACCCCAGGCCTTGTAGCGGATAGTACTTAACTTCGGGAGGCTTTCACACACCTCTTCTGCCTCTAGATTCAGAGGGACCGTTAGCCAAAATGGGAACCAAAAACGGAATATCACATAGCTAATCTCGAAATTTAGCCCCATCCCCCACCCTCACATTGCGTAGTTACGATAGCATAGTCTGTAAGCCAGGGCCAGGAGGCTCCATGAGTTGATGTGGTACGGGTAGTTGAGGGAAACTCGGGTCGGCCCACTCAGCCTCGTAGTTCTTCCTTCCTTGGATTGACAACAGTTGGCCCAGGACGGGCCACTGCCCACCAGTCAACCTTCTTTTGCTGCCTTTTCAGTTTCAGAGGCCGGGCGGGCATTTCCTTGAGGTTTTGTCCTTTAGAACATAGTCTCGCAAGAGGAGGATGTCTCATATCGTAGCCCTGAATCAATACAGGTCAGGGACAGCCTCGCACCCAAGGGCTAGAGTAGTACTGCTGCCAGCAGCAGCAGCATGGCACTTCACCACGCAGTCACGTCAGCTTTCGTCTGCAACATGCAAACAAGTATTGTCTTGGCGGCCCTGAGCAAGTACAAATGTACCCAGCGAGCTAGATAGGACCACCTGACCGTCGGATTAACCTCTCTTGGCGCCTTTAAATCCGGCCGAGAAATTTCCGGGGCCTTCGGATTTTTGGAGATTTTCTGCACTGGCTGGAATTTAGTTTTGTCTGCAAGGTGCGACGCTTGGTCAGTGACCAGCAGCGAATCTGCGAGCCTAATGTCGAAACCAAAACATCGTCCTGGTGGCCCGCCTTCGCATGGGCCTGGGCAGCCTACCAACAAGCATTCCCTAGTCGACGATCTGCGAAAGACAATCCAACGACGCTACAAATTCTCCGACCCCGACGATGTCAAAGAGAAGAACAAGAAGAATGGTCGCAATAAGGATGACGAAACAGTGGCAGAGCGAGGTAAAAAACGTGATCGCAGTGGCAAGATCCTTGCCCAACAACACAAGGACGATTCCGGCCATGAAACTGGAGGAGAACCAAAGGACGATGTCTGGGAACAGGAAATGAAGGCTCTTGGTGGAACGGCTGAAGACTTGGAACTCTTGGCAGACGCCTACTCCGAGTCGGAGGTCGAAGGGGACACCTCACAGGCAGGCCTCGAGAATCTAAACAAGGGAATGAAAAACATCCTCAAAGAGATTGCTCTCGCCCAAGGAGAGATTCGCGACGATGAAGCCTCAAGCGGGCCCAAAACAAACAATGAAACCAATGGGAATTCCCTCTCCGCGGAACATGCTTCTCAACAGCAACAGGCAGACAAAAGCGGACGAGGCAAGAAAATTCGGCTTGTATGTGAACCAAAGCCGGACTGGTACAATGTCGCCGACGCGGATGTCGACACAACGAATTCTCCTAAACACACTGTGTCCAAGGGGTCAATCGACGAGCTCCACGAATTTGCCAAGTCTCTTCTTGATGAGGACAATCAGAAATTCAAGGAAATGCAACAGTCATCATCCGCCAATGCCTTCTACAACACCGTCATCTCATCGGGAACCTTGTCGGACAAAATATCAGCTCTGACGTTGGCCGTGCAAGAGTCACCTATTCATAACATCAAAGCCCTTGAAACCCTGATCGGGCTCGCTCGAAAGCGGAGTCGTTCCCAAGCTGTTGATGTGCTCCGAGCGCTCAAAGACCTGTTCGCTCAAGGTTCACTTCTTCCCGAGTCGAGAAAGCTTTACGCATTTCAAGCCCAGCCTGCCATCCCGTTTGTGCTCGGGAGTGTCAAATCCTGGAAAAGAGGGAATAAACTGCCCCGGGGCCTTGAACAAAGACATCTCGTGTCGTGGGCTTTCGAAAGCTGGCTGAAAGAGCAGTACTTCGAAGTGCTCAAAATCCTTGAAGGATGGTGCAATGACGAGATTGAATTCTCCAAAGCGCGCGCCGTCAACTACGTGTTTGAGCTACTCAAGGAAAGACCGGAACAGGAATCAAACCTGCTGCGTCTCCTTATCAATAAGCTGGGGGATCCTGTCAAGAAAATCGCCTCTCAGTCTTCTTATTTACTGATGCAACTGCTGCTCGCCCACCCTGCTATGAAGATGGTAGTCGTGTCCGCCATCGAGACCGACTTCATCTTCAGGCCCGGACAGACCCTGCATGGGAAATATTATGCAGTCGTTACTCTTAACCAGACAGCATTGAGTGGGAAGGAAGAAGATGTAGCGACAAAACTCCTCGACATCTACCTTGGACTGTTTACCAACCTCTTGAAAACCGACAGAGGCACCGCAAAGAATGAAGACGACACGGATCCCTTGCAAGGTAAAGGCCGCAAGAAAAAGAACCAAAAGGCCCAGTCCCAACGGGGCCAGCCTCAAATCGAAGAATTGCGTGACAAACTCATCTCCGCTATCCTCACTGGCGTCAACCGAGCATACCCTTACACGAACAGTAGCGCCAGCAGCAGCGCAGCCTTCACCAGCCATCTCGACACGCTGTTTAAAATTGCCCATTCGGCAAACTTCAATACGAGCATCCAATCCCTCATGCTCATCCAACAAATATCCCACTCTTCCCAACATAAAGCATCAAGCGACCGCTTCTACCGTGTATTATACGAGTCTCTTCTGGACCAGCGCCTCATCACCGCGTCAAAACAGCAACTCTACCTGAACCTGTTACATCGTGCCTTGAAGGCCGATTTAAGCGTGAAAAGAGTAAAGGCATTTGTGAAAAGACTTGTGCAGGTGTTGAGCCTGCATGAACCGTCGTTCATCTGTGGCGCCTTTTTCCTGATCCAGGACCTCGAGAAGACGTTTCCTTCACTAGGCAGCTTGATTAATGAACCGGAAGATCATGAAGGGGATGATGTAGAGGTGTTTCGGGACGTCCTGGACGAAGACGATGTCAACCAAGCTGATCCAGTTGCCACGAATGGTCCTTCAGATTCAGAGCAATTACAACGAGGTCATGTCTACGACGCCCACAAACGCGCTCCAGAGCATGCTAACGCGGACAACGCGTGCCTTTGGGAACTCCTTCCTTTCCTCGCACATTTCCATCCTTCTGTCTCCGTTAGCGCTGACCACGTATTGCGCCACCAAACACTCCCCGGAAAACCTGACCTCAACCTACACACGCTATCTCACTTCCTCGACCGTTTTGTCTACCGCAACCCGAAGTTGTCGAGCTCGGGTCTCAGAGGCAGCAGCATCATGCAACCCATGGCGACGGACAACTCGCACGCTGTCCTCATCGCCGGGACGGCGGATGGGAAGAAGCAAACACCGGTGAACAGCGAGCAATTCAGGCTGAAGAAGAGCGAGGAAGTGGCCGCCGAGGACGTCTTCTTTCATCAATACTTCACCAGCTTGAAGGGCAAGGCCGAAAATAGGGACAAACTGAAGAAGGAGAAAAAGAGAGGTGACATAGACGAGTCCGAAGCGGATGATGAAGACGAAATATGGAAAGCCATGATGCAGAGCGCGCCAGACTTGGAGGGTGATGAATTTGGGGACAACGATGACGTGGACCTCGACTTGGCGGACTTGGAATCAGATGAAGGAGAAGGCGAAGACGAAGACTTGAGCGAGCTGGAAAACGAGGATGAACCCGAAGGAGATGATGATGAAGGTGTCGATATCGACCCTGCCTTCTTTGACGATGGGGACGACGAGGGTCTCATGGACATGGACGTCGCCGCGGATGACGAGGGCGACGAGGACGACGATCACGGGTCAGCAGACTTTGCAGGCTTTGATTCCGATGCCGACGCTCCACCACCAGCAGCCCCCGCCGCCAAGAGGATCAAGAACGGCAAGCAGCCGGAGGAGGTCGCTGTCGACAGCAACAAGGCCAAAAAGGCCAGGTCAAAGAAACTGAAGAGCCTGCCCACGTTTGCTTCGGTCGAGGATTACGCGAAGATGCTCGAGGACGACGAGGATGAGGATCGCTAGATGCCCTTAAATACATACCGAGACACCTCGGATACCGAGTACCTACCAATACCTACCTACCAGCGCACCTATCTTGTACGTATCCTCTGATAGCACACTCGTGAGCGAGCGAGCGAGTAGGACACACCCCCACGCCCCCACACGTAAGGTTTACACGACTTATGATTATGAGCCTATACAGCTTTTATTTATTGCTTTGAACGATCGAGCGTATTTCTTTCCTTTCCTTTCTTTCATTTTTCCCCCCTCATTTTCTTGAGTTTCAGTTATTTTGGTCAGCATCTTTTTCTAGAGGTTCGTCCAGCATCAATCTGCAATCAATCAATCGCTCAAACCAGCATTCGTGTTTCGGTGTGTCCTGTGAGCGTCCGGGCGTGCGTGCGTGCGTGCTTGCCGGCGTGTGCGTGTGTTTTTGTGTCGTAGCAGCATAAACAACATCACCAATCATATCGCCCCACAATAAGTGATGAAGGATTCTCGGTTTGGTGGGGTTTCGAGAATTAAGTCACACAGGGTGAGAATAAGGGCGTTGGTGATGTTGTTGCCGCTCCTTTGTTCCCGTTCCTCTGGTCTGATTTTTGTTTCTTTTTGTTGAACGAATGCGATTGGAAGGGCAACGGGGCCGAAGATCCTTCGAATGCTGCTCACCTCAAAAAACAAAAAAGAGAGAAGAGGGAAAGGATCGTGTGATTTCCCATTTAATTAATTCCTTCCGTCTGGTCTTCAGGGGTTGTACGGACGGAGTACTGTGGCAGGGTGTTGTGGCTAGACCGAGTTGTCGGCGCAGGTAAAGACGCCTCTGACGTTTCCGTTCTCGTAGTCCAGAACAATACTGTCGACGGAGGCCTAGGTCCGATCGCTCACATTAGTCAAATGTCCTCGAGCCAAAAAGGTATAGATTGATGTTCTCCGAGAAAAGCGCCGTGGCGAGCCTAGAATAGGGAAACCTGGGGAGAATCAGTACTCACATAAGTGCCCACGCCCAAAAAATAGAACCCCACAACAATGATGAATATGTTCATCAGAAACCCAACCCATCCACGGATGCCCCTCTTCCGCCAAAACCCCGGTCCCAAGTCCGCGTACCGCATGCGCACGTACGCGACGCCCCAGAAGATCCAGCCGAAAAAAGAATCGAACAGACTGCTCATCAGAGAAAGGAGGTCGGCGAAGAAGGGGATAACCTCGGCGATGATGAAGGCCAGAACCCACGTCGCCCCCAGAATAGCGGCCCAGGATAGCCAGCCCACGGCGGTGTGCGAGCTCTTGTGCCGCGTACCGTCAAAGAGGCGGAAGAAGACGAAGCGCGCGGACACGGAGGCGTAGAGGACGCCGAGGAAAATGAGCGTCGGGATCATGAATGAGAAGGATATCTTCTTGTATATGTCGTTGCCGAGACTGCCGAACGCGGGCGCTGTGTTGTACTGGGTGCCTGTATAGCCATAGACTGGACAGAATTGTGTTAGTGTCAAATTGCAGTTTCCTCCGGCTGCGTGGTGTGCACCGGGTCGAAAGGTGCTGGGAATTGTCTGGCGCAAGGACTTACCAATGCCGCCAACGAGGCTGAAAAGAATGATTTCGCAGATGGTAACCAGCCAAAGCGCCTTGCGGAAATCATAAGGGTTCTTCATCTCGGCAATAAAACTAGGCAGCGTGATCTGTCCGATAAATGTATAGCTGATGTTCAGGAAGGCGTTCATTCCGGAAACGAACGTTGTCCCCGCCAGTGGGACTGCAAGAACGAGTGGCTCGCCGCCTTGCTTTACTCCCAATGCGTTGACGTGGTTCGGGTCCGGATCGTAGCCAGCTGTACCATGCTTGCCTTCTGCGCCGGCAAAAGCAGCAGCGAGGATAACGCTAACGAATGTGAAGAAAGCCGAAAATGCGGCGAGTTTCGACAGAGCACTGAAGGTGCGCGGCATCGAACAAACCCATGAAACAACGGCGCCAATGGCCGCAAAGCCAACGGTGCAAACGCTGTGGCCTAGACATAATTTAATCTCTTCAACGGGGCATAGGGATTTCACGGTAGACCGAAAGACATACCGCTCATGGTATTGAGATAGCGCGAAATGGTGAGGACGTGGAGCCCTTGAATGAAGGTGTTGTTCAAAATAAACATGACCGCCGTAAAGTACCAAGCCCATTTTGAATTCCAGAACAGCATCTGTCCAATATCACAGACGTCTCTTGTTTCAGGATGACGGAGACAGAATTCCCAGACAACCAGAGACGTGTAGAGGACGAATGCGGCCTGGACGACTGTAAGGATAATCCCCGGCACCAGACCAAGGACTGAGTATGAATATGGGAAGGACATGATGGCCAAGCAAATATATTCAGAGAAGAGCAGAGCAGCAGTCTATTGTCCTTGTCGTCAGCACTCCCGGGGCATCTGGTTCGGAACAGTATAATCAACCTTCTGCCAGGAGCAAGTCCTATATTTGATGGCATCATTGGCCTCCATTGCGACCAACTTGCCGTACTCATCCTCCGAGCCTGATGTATCGGGCAAAGAACCGATCTTGGGGGGCGGACCGATCCTGCTCATCTTGCGACCATGTACCATGGTGGAATCGCGTCTCATTTCTATGTCGATGGCATCATCAGGCTTTAGGACGTTGCCCTCACCGAAGCCAGGTTCTTTCTTTTCATAGTCGGCCATTTTAGCGCCAGTGGCTTTGCAATGCCCGTTGTGGTTGGTGTTGAAGACCAAGGAGAAGAAATTGATCAACGCCACTTGAACGCGCGAATGACCCGTATGAAACAGGTGTAAAATAGAGAATCAGGACTGAGACACGCTGTCGCCTGCATGTGACTGCTGGAAAGATCCGTTTTACAGAGGGGTAGAGCAAGATCCGACCTGGTCTTTCCACTCTTGGGGCGAAGAATACGGAGAGATCAGAGTCTCAGTAGCGAGGAAAATGCGCTTTTAAGGCCAAACCTTTTGCTTTATTGGGGGGGATGAATACCAAGCTTACAATGTAACAGGGCAAGAAAAGCTTAGACAGGGAGCAAAGGTTGACAAGGTTGAGGAGGGACGGGAATGCAGTCCAGCAATGCGAGGGTAAAGTATGGAGACAGTCCACACAGATCCTGGTACTCTGGATGTAGGGATGGTAAACAGCACGCAGCATGGTGACGACAGCAGCGTTGCAGTTGTGTAAAAGGCTGGCGATCGACCATCCCACCAATCAACCAGAACGAATCGGGAAAGCCACATTGGTGACTAGGACCCATTAAATATGGCCCAAGATCTGGTGAGGTTAAGCGGGAGAAACAGGAGGAGATTCAAGGCGTTAGGAGAGGCGGGAGAAGCTAAGCGGTGCGGGATGCGGGACGGTAGAGGGCACAAAATGGGCACAGGGGATCCAATAAGGAAGAACGAGAAGTTTTGGCATCGGCTTGTCAGGCCAGCCGCTTCGCCGTCAGCATTGGCAATGGAGCTTAGAGGAGCTTGGTAGCCGCTTGGTAGCTGCTTGGTAGAGAGCTGATGGCGAATGGATATGGGTCCAATTGCCGTCTCCCGAGAAGCATGTGGTGACGCTGGTGGCGGCGGCGACATGTGGGATGAACAAGAGAGAAAAATGGATCAGAAGAGAGGTAGAAAGCGAACGAAAAGGCTTTATTTAAGCAGATATGGATTGACAAAAGTGGCGCTGAGATGGTGAGCTTGAGGAGAGTGGAGGGAAAAGAATGACAATGAGAGAGACCGCCGGAGAGAACGGATAACGGCAGTGTCATTCATGTCATTCAAGTCATTGCATTCTCACTATGACTTTGTCCTTCTGTTGCCACCTGTCGAGCAAGCTTGATTCAAACACAAAGTGGCACACTGAAAAGCCCTTGACTTACATCAAGCACGTTGGTTGTCTTTTGGGAATAGTAGCCCTCCATCATTCATCCTATTCTGTTAATGATACTCAATATACTACTAGTCTCTTTGACGTGATTGAGTACTCTTGCGGTATATAGTCCCTGATAGACTGTGCCACTTGCTTTGGCATTCGGCTTGGTACCTATGGCATGCATCTCTTCTTCATGGCCCTTCTCACTTCTTCTCCCACATCTCTTCCCCCGTCTGGCCCAGTTTGCCAATCCACTGCATCATGGTGTGGCTGTCAATGAAATCATACTGATCCTGCACCAACTTGCCGTCCTCGGTCATGGTCAGAGTGATGATATACTCGTTGTCGTATGGGCCCGCATCGGCGGCTCCTTTGGCGTGCAAGAACAAGGCAACCTTGCGTGTGGCCTGGTCGACAATGGCATCTGTCATCTCCGCGTGGTAGGAGTGCATCATCTTGAAGACCTCGACATTGAAGGCGACATACTCGTCGTTGTTGCGTGTCGGACCCTTGACTGAAGACGGCCCGCCTCGATGTGTACAGGATGGGCTGCAACAAGCTGCGATGGACGCAAAGTCGCGCGAGTTGTGGGCGTCGAGGTACTTTTTGGCAGTGTCGAGGAGTTGCTCGCGCATGGACATGGTGTCTTGTCTGTTGCGATCGACTCAGCAATTCTTGTAGTTATTGACGATATCGTGATGTCTCTGCCTCTGCACCTAGATGTTAATTAGATTTTGATCATGTCTGTGGTATTCTGGCGCGAACAGAAAAGCCTAGACGGCGCTGGCGGCCTGACGATCCAAGTGCCTCCATTGACATGCGAGACCATATCGTAGGTTGAGATGACGCCGCGATGTGAGTAGTAAGTGGCCTTTTTTTTTTTCCAAGGGGAATGTTTTACCTGGCCGATTGGAGTATGTTCATATACAAAGGACATGCTCTTGCTCTGCATCCAATCTGCATCTGAACCTTCACCTGGAGGCGTTGAAAATAGCAACCTGGAATTCATGCGATTCGTCAGTGCTGCCGGCCGCGTCATGTCATACTCATTGCGGGCGGCGGACGGCGGACACATGAGTGGACGGCGCAGACTGCGCGCTGCCAACTGCGCCTGCGACTGCGCACGCAGGATTATGGGCTGATGAGACTGTGGGCTTTTCCAGCCGAAATCAACTGTGAATATGTGACATCTTTCCTGTGCTGCTTCAGCTTCAGTCCAGCCACTCCATTGACCCAGTGCGAGGCCATCTAGACCTCACTTCTTCACTTTTCTTTGTCAAACAAGTTACCGAATCCTACGTACTGGGAATTTTAAACATTTTACACTTGGCTTCATCCTTCTCGGCTTCCCCCTTCTAGCAACCCACCACACCTTCAATCCGACTTCTCTCGCTGTTGCCCTCAGACTTGTCTCTCCTTCCACCCTGTCCTCCCCTCGTTCAGCGGGCTCGACCTTAATCTCAAGCCCTCCCGAGTCTCTCGCATCCACGTGTCGACAAAGATCTCCCACCTCCAGCCTCCCTCGTTCAGCCGCCACCCACGATTTCCTGGCTGACCCAGTTCCTCCGAGACGATCGCCGGTGGAAGAGCTGCCTCCCAGCGGGGATACAAGGCTGACGGGGTGTGATGAGTTGGAGGGATGAACAGGCATCACGCCTTTACCAATGGCTACGCCGCCAACAAGAAACGAGATGACGATATCTACCGCCCGTATCACGACCGCTCTGACCTCGAGAGCAAATATATCTGGGGCATGCCTGATCTAGTCGAGGACGAGAAGCCAGATTCTTCCTTCAATCGCAGGTTCGAGCCTCGAAAACGAGCCCTTCACACTCGGTCTCGTCTGATCCGCCTGGGCTTGATCCTCCTGGTCACCTTCTCCATAGCCTTCTACTTCTTCTTTCCCTCCACATCCACCTTGTCGCTATTATCGACTAGTTCGGGCAGTTTGTCTCAGTACGATGACATCGAGACATTACGGTACTATGACCTCGAGGATGTACAGGGGACCTCAGTGGGCTGGGAGAGGGAAGAGCGAGTCCTCCTCTGCACCCCCCTCCGAGATGCCGCACCGCATTTGCCCATGTTCTTCGCCCATCTAAGAAATTTCACTTACCCTCATCACCTCATCGACCTGGCCTTTCTTGTTTCCGATTCCAAAGACAACACCGAAGAATTGCTCTCCCAAATGCTCGAAGCACAACAAGCCGACCCCGATCCTTCACAGCCATACGGGGAGATTTCAGTCATCCACAAGGATTTTGGGCAGGCAGTCGGTCAAGATGTAGAAAGCAGACATGGGTTTGCGGCACAAGCTAGCCGAAGAAAACTGATGGCGCGAGCACGGAATTGGCTGCTCAGCGCGGCTCTGAGACCATATCACAGTTGGGTCTATTGGCGTGATGCCGACGTCGAGACGTGTCCCTACACTATCATTGAAGATCTTATGCGACATGACAAGGATGTGATCGTGCCGAGTGAGTCTTACCCTACTACTAGATTATGTTTAAAGCTAACCGGAAGGAAAAGATATCTGGCGGCCGCTGCCTGATTGGCTTGGGGGTGAACAACCATACGACCTCAACTCCTGGCAAGAATCCGAAACTGCCATTGCCCTCGCCGAGTCCCTTGACGAAGACGCTGTCATTGTGGAAGGCTACGCCGAGTATGCCACATGGCGGCCTCATCTGGCATACCTCCGCGACCCCTACGGAGACCCCGACGTAGAGATGGAACTTGACGGTGTGGGTGGGGTCTCGATCCTCGCCAAAGCCCGAGTATTCCGTGCCGGAGTACACTTTCCCGCCTTCTCCTTCGAAAGGCACGCTGAGACAGAAGGGTTCGGAAAGATGGCCAGGCGTATGAAATTTTCCGTCGTCGGTCTTCCGCATTACACTGTGTGGCATCTGTACGAACCGTCTGTGGATGACATCAGACACATGGAGGAAATGGAGCGTGAGAAGCGCGAACGGGAAAAGCAGGAAAAAGAAAACGCCGAACAGGTCAAGAAGCTCGAGGATGAGTTCCAACAGGTGGGTTCTCAGTGGGAGCAGGACAAGGAGGCCATGGCGGCAGAATCAAAGAAAGAAGGCGCGCGCATGGTCAACACGAACAGTGAAAAGGGCGAGAAAAAGGCGTCAGCCGCCAAAGGCACAGACGAGGACGGCACCTGAAAAGGACTAAGAACGGATTTTATGCAACAACTATTGCTGGTGGGTGGCTACCTGCCGAGCTGAACGATACAGAGGTCTCGGGTAGAGGATCATTGAATTCAGGAAAAAGCAAAAAGATCATGGGTCATGGGATACGGGATAGAAAACGAGCGATCCAACCATCTTGAGCAAAGCATGATGGGCGTACATGGACGAGAGTTTAGGGGGCGTTCTGTGTCAACCATTTCGGGGCTCAGGGATTTTGGGCAACCTCTACGGTGGCTGAGGCTCTTTTTGGACCTGTACACAACATCTTTGAGGGACGTTCGGCGGCCAATGCTGCCCTGCTTGGGGAGGTTATCACTACCAGGAAAAGGATATGCCATGGTCGCGGATGCCGTGACCCAAGGGCAACTGTGAGAATATGTCGGACAAGTAGTCCAGATAGATACTTCATCTCAGCGTGATGATGAACCTGGTTTCTTCCCATTTCTTCCGGGCAAGTAGTAATCGGGTGGTGGTGGTGGTGTTGTACACCGCGAAGTGGGAAAATGACGTCGCCCTTAATTATTATCAAGACGTCTCGACGCGTCCCAATTGGGACGCGTCGATCTAACTCGAGGCCCAACGCAGTATGCGGCGTCAGCATAATTGACCAGCTAATGGTTGACACCCGCTATTAACTTAGTCATCTCTGTTACCGTCAACCGGCATCGTTCTATCTCTCTGTGACGGGAACAAACTAAGACCACGAGCAACCCTCATGTCCGCATCCTCACAACCCCACACCTTTCCTCCCGTCGCGGTCTCGTCGACTTTTCCGCAACAGAGTCTCCGCTTGCTCGAGCTGCCACCGGAGCTGCTAGATCTGGTCGAGACACAGGTCAAGAGCCCGAGCAAGAGGAGGAAGCTGTGGTTCAAATCTCCCGTGGCGGCGAATACCGGTCCGACAAAGGGAGAACAACAACGGCTTACGGGATTCAGCAGAGGTCCCAATTCTCAGGTTACAACGGCCAGTGGAGGTGGCTTGGAAGAAGCGGGGGGAGAGGGATTCCTCCACCTCTGCACCGACGACAAAATCTGGGCTGTCAAGCAAGTCAGCACGAGTAACAGCGTCTATGTCACTCAGACATGCTACAGGCCTCATGAACCACCTCTGCTGGGCCATGGGGAAAAAGACCGCGACAGAGATGGAGACACGTCTATGACCGGGGCAGAAGAAGCCCAAGCGATTAGCAACGGAGCCATCTCGCATGATGTAGACGAGTTAACTGTGGCTGATGGCAGGAGAGGTGGAATCACGACGAAGGCACAGGTGAAAAATGTTCTCGAGTTAATCGAGGTCGAACCGGATGGACGAGAGGTTGAGAGGAGGATTCTTGATATGATTCCCGTATACCATGACACGGACGATGATGCTGACCTCCTTGATCAGGACGGTCTAGGCAATGGACGCAGTCTTCACGGACTGGAATCGGTGTCATTAAAGGATGTGCTTGACAACATCCCTGCCCCGAAAAGGCTTATCCAGGATACGATGAGGAAGTGGTTCATCTTCGCCCTTCCACAGCTGACGACACAAAAGAGCGAAAGGCCAAGGGAAGCAGTATACATCCCCACCACGACGCTGCTTTTACGGCATTGGAGAGAATTCCTGCAACAATGCACCATATCAGGTATCAACATCGAGAAGAATGACGGTGTTCTGCGAGGGAAAGACCTCCGTGCTATGCTCGATGAATTGAAAGAAGCTGAAGCGACAGACGAAGGACGCTCTTTAGCTCTGAATGTCACAGTGGCTATCTTACGCCGGTTCACGCATGCGGTGGAAGATGGCAGCGACACCGTGCACCGCGATCTTCCCACACTGCTCGATCCAAATCTGAGTCTGGATTCGGTAGACGAGGAGCACCCGCCCAGCGCAAGACTGAAATTCAACCCTAATCTCAGCCGAGAGCTCGTCGGACGCTGGCTCCTGTTGTCACACGCGCGGAAACAGGCTTCTTCGCTTCCGGACTCTTTAGAGTCGCATGGTCAAGGGAGAATCATCCGCCTCGACAATTTCGTTAACGAGTGGGCGCAGCTCCTCCCAGATTCGTGGGCAGTCCAATGCGATGTCCCTCGTCTGATCTCATCGATCCATGGCGTAGACGTGATCAAAGACGGAGAAGGGGTCGAGGTCCTAACATTCGCTTCGGGCCACCCTGCTTCGGAGGCAGCGGGTGCTTCTTCGTCACATCTTCCTTTTTTCGCCGCCGGTGGCGATGGTGGTGTTGGCCTCTCAAAAGACGCGCAGAGCCAGAATCAGAAAAAGAGGAAATGGCACGAGAAATTCGGCGCCCAGAGGTCCGCTCCTGCAGTGAGAAAGTGATGGGGAAAAGAGACCGCTGTAAGCTCCTTGGCCTGTGCCTGGACGTAATGGTCTATCCATGCATCGTGCCGTCCGCCTACCTTGCCAGCCGGCCATCTCAGTCAGACACTTAAGTAGCCAGCAGAGAGGGGACAGAACACATCAAATAAGCGATTGAGCAATCGATCCACCGTTCGCTTCGGTTTCATTGAGTAGGTGCCGAGAAGGCAAGCGCAATTAAATACATGGGCAATTCCAAGACTCCTCACTCAGACCTCGCTCGAGTTTCCATCGTGTGTTCTACCTGTGTTCCTCACCGTCAAGGCAGAAGAAACTTCAAGCAACCAACTCTCTCAACTTCCCCTTCTCCTCCTCAGTCAGCTGTTCAAACAGCGCCGCGAAGCCGTCCCGTCCAGCCTCGTTCTTGAACCACTGCAACAAGTACTCGGCCGTCTCTTCGTCCCGCGCTCTCGACCCCGTGGGACTGAGTCCTTCGTCGCCCGCAGCGTCGCCACCGCCGCCGCCGATGAGGGACATCAGCTCGTTTCGGACGCTCGCGCTGGCCAGATCAAGGGCCCCAGCCGATCCGACGTCCTCCCACTCGTCTGCGTCTTCGGCTTCTTCGTCTTCTTCGTCCAGAGCGTCCGCAGCCGCTTGAGCGGCGGCAAGGCTAGGAAACCTCGAGGTAGCAGCGTTAGCGAGCTCGTCGACCATGATTTTCAGAATCTTTAGGTCCGCCGGGACCTGCGTCCATCGATCGGGGTTTAGCTTCGCCTGTGATCTCGTCTTGATGCGTCCGCCCGGTTGAGCGTCCACGATCAAATCCCCCTTGACGCTCACGGCGTGGACTCTGGGATCGCGCAATGCGAATATCTTTGACAACGCCACCACATTCTGTCTCACCTCGTCAAACCCGGCGAAGTGCACAGAATTCTCAAGCCACTTTGTCAAGACCACGCTCAGCCCGTTCGTGCCGTTGATGTTCACCTCACTCAGAAAATCGAGAACTTCCTTGGGAGCCGCGAGAGAGAGGCCCACGAAAACCATGCAAAGGCTCTGAATGAACTGGATTCTCTCCGCAGTTGCAAGACGGACAGCCACTGCGCGGAGCAAGTCCATCAGAAATGGCCCCAGTTTATCGGCTCCAAACTTTGTGACCAGAGATGACGCAAGCCCGCCGACTTCTTGGCCCGCATTCTCGTCTACGTCTGGGGAGTTGAGCAGGCGGTTTATGATTGTCAATGTCACCTCGATCGAGGACTTCCCCTGAGAGTCAGTCCAGGACAGGAACTGTTGCGTGCCCTTTGATAGCATGTGGTTGAGCGCCAAGGTGGCTGGGCGCACCAGTTCAGGCTCAACAGCTTCCATTAGCACACGTTGTAACTTTGGCATTACAGCTTGCACGAAGCCAGAAGGTAGGGGGTCGGAACCGAATTCGGCGAGTGCAGAGACGAGTTCAGCGGCCAGATTCGTTAATGCGGATTCTTGGGTCATACTGGCAATGTCGAAAGCGCCTGTGAGAGACGGAATGGTTCTTGCACATAGTCGCACGTACGGTTCCTGTCCTGAAGAGGACACCGACGAGACGATTCCCTCGAATGCCTCTGTGAGGAGAGTGAAGAGTTGGAAATTTGACGCGCCGTCCGATGCCAACGTGAAGAACAAGTCGATTGCGTTGTTTCCTTCAGCGGTGATCGTAGATGTGTCCAGCATGATAGCGTCGCGAAGGAGTTGGATTAACGCCGCTTTGACGTCGTCGGCATCTTCGAGATCGTCGCGAAGGTCGTGCGAGGAGATAAATTCACCCACCACGTTGATAACTGCATTTTGCATTGGCCGTGTAATGCTCTGAGGGAGTGCGTCGAGGTATTCATGCAAAATGCTCAGACACGCGACTTTGACCACGTCAGATTCGTCCATAGATGAGGCAGTTACAGCATTGGTGAATGAAATGGCGCCAGCCTCGACGAACTGATCGCCGGTAGCCACCTTGAAGAAACATCCCAGGGCCATTTGTCCAGCCGCACGCATGAAGTGATTGGGGTGTTGAAGTGTCCCCGAGAGTCCTTCCAGTACTGCTGAAGATGTTTGAGGACTGAGCTTTCCAGAGATTTCGTCGACGTCTTTCAGGCATTGGTTGAGGATATAGACAAGTGCTTCGCGTTCTTTCCACCCTGATGTCTGGCTCGGGAGGTTATGCCGCTTGAAATGCAGCATAGCCACGATGGGAATTTGTTTCAACCATTCTCCTAAACTTCGCACCGCCACTTCCGCACATGCTGCTCGGGGTGTGTAATTTGCTGTAAGTGACGTTGCTTCGCAGAGATACAAGTTGGCGTCGTATTCCCATAGTGCTTCCTCCTCCTTTGGGATCCTGGCATACAGGACCAATACGCGAATCAATTCTTGCAGCCAAGGGACAGTATGCTGTGCGTCACCGAGTTGCTGCATTTGGGCTGTGAGCTCTTTACGGACTGGAGGAGCTCTGATTGTGACTTGCAAGAAATCGAGCTCTTCAAGAATCAACGCGTCCAAGCTGCAAGATAGATTGTCGCTGTCGACAAGTTTGCCTTCGGCGGTGCCGTCAATGAAGAGTTCAGCATAAACCGGCGCAACTCTTGATAATTCTTCCCAAATAGTTTGGAACAGGGCCATCGCATGCGGGGAGAGAGCCTGCACATAGACTTGTCGGAGTTTGTCGAGCGTCTGGTATTGGGTTAGCCTTTAACATCTCCTTCCTCATAGGTTTGGTGAGCAGTGTACCTTGACGACCTGAACTTTCAGCGCTACAAGGCCCCGGAAGGACGCATCTTCAGGTTTCACAGAAGGGGGCAGCGGCTGCTTCAGTGTTTCCATAAAAAAGGGCATCCAAGCCTTCAACGACTCATTCAGGAACACCTTCACCGCAGCTCCATGATCAGCCATCACCATCTCCAGCATCTCGAAGCAAGCCCTGAAAACATTGAGAGTCATCGCCCTCACTATTAAGCTCCGGGCGCTGTCAACAGCAACATGCTGTAAGGCATTGACCAGATCCCGTGCAATGAAGAAGAACTGTTCTTCCGTCAAGCCCTCATCAATCAGTTCGGAGAGAACGCGCAAAGCCCCATGGATTGGCGCATCGTCTGTTGAAGAATTTAGGATTGTGAGTAGTGAGGGTAAAAGCGAAGGCCACGCATCTGGAAAGTCGACACTGGCGATTTTGCTCGCTACACCCGCAGCGAGTGCCTGGATGGCTGCATCTTGAGGTACTTGATCGCCCCCAAGCGTGCAGATGGTGAAGACTCGGTCACGGACCCCCGATTTGGCTTCGTCGTTGAGGTATACGTTTCCTGTGAATGTCTCGTCGAACTGTCGTGACCACGTGGCAGAGACATAGTTCTTCAGAGCTGTCAATGCGGCCTTGCGGGAGCTAGGCTCTACGTCATTGTGTGAAGCAATGGTCAGGAGAGCGAAAGGAAAGTCTTGCTGAGGGTAGAGACTAAGGAGACCTTGCTCGGCATCTCTAATGACGGTCGTGTCTGGTCGCGTCGTTGCTTGGAGCAGATGGAGCACCTGTTGCTCCATTGTCGCTAGCACGAGGCTGAGGCTGGTGACAGGGTCACAGCGGGAGGCGGGCTTGTCGTCTAGCCCAGGAAGCGTCTGCCTTCACGAATGGCTAGGAGGCCTGACAGAATCCTCACAAAATCAATCACCAGGAATATGAAGAAATTTAGACCCAACCGTTGATGAGAGAAGACTTCAACAAATGCTGCAGGACGCGAACGGGTTGAATGAGTTGAATGGGTCGAAACAGGTAAACACTTTGAAACCGCCAAGACCACATGGGTGCCCTTTGTCTGATTGGCTGCCTTGCGGTCCAAGGTCTCAGCCTGATCAATGCTCTACAGATAGAAGTACAACATGGTGAATGGCCATATATGATACATAGGGCCAGCGGCGAACAACAAGAGTCTCTTTCCAATTCCGCCGCCAACTAGGTATAGTCTGGGGACTCGCTAGGGGCCCACTGTCGGCAAGCACAAATATCAACATATACCTCGTCCCGTACAATATTTCTCGATCCGAACTCTGCGAGAGCCAGTAACCTCACGGCGGCTCGGTGGTAGTGAATTTTCCAAGTCTGTTGCTTAATCATTAGAATCTCTCTATGGGAGTAGGGCAGATGTGACCTACTAAGTGGCGTTGTATCGAGAGCAAGATCAGAACCAGAACGGCGTAGAGGGGGAAACTTCAACAATCTCAGTGACTTCAACTGCGTAATTGAGTATATCGGAAGCATCGAGACAAAGGAACGGGCCTGCTGTTCAAGTTTGAAGCTCCTTAATCCGGGAAGCGTGACTGAATCTGAGCAGTGGTGAACATGGCAGCGCGAACTGCCTTAGTAGTAGTCATTCCGTGGCTCTGAGTGAAGCATCACCCCACAGGATAGTCGATCGATGGAAGCGCCCCCATACATTTGCAGGCACGGATGGCTGGTCCTCTGAACTTGTGCCGGAAAACCTTTTCGCCAATATCGATGACGGCGTGCTATGTCCTGGGTCAGCAGGCAGGTCTTCGGGCAGGTGATTTGGGCCATACAATCGTCTCTTGAGTTGTCGATTGTATCATATACTGACAACACAACAGTACTTCAAACGACTTCCGAGAGTCAAGGCATAGCCAGGTAAGCCGAGGAGAAGTCCTGTACAAGTTGAACAGAGCCAGGTTAATCATGAATTCGTCCGCCGTCGCACTCTGCAGGTATGTTTCATCATGATACTTGCACCAGGCGTCGATGTTGCGCAGCTCCAGTGTCCTCAAGCTGTGGAACTGGTCCAGTTCTAGGGGCTTCTTGGAAAACTCTCGGACATCCCAGATCACGATATGAGGGATTGCTGAGATTAGGCTCGGTGGCAGCCGCATCACATCTTTGGGCGACCCGCAGATCCGAAGAGTTGTCGAGGACAAGAGGTACGGCATGGCCTCAAATCGAACCAAGAGACAGGTGGTCACGATCTGCCATGGAAAGGCGCACGAACAGATGGAAGATTGGCACCGCAAACAGTCTGAACGACCACCATGCGCCGACAAATGCGCGGCATCAAAGAGACGTCGATATATTTCAATACGGATCTCTGGCGGTAGATCTAGCAGACGACATGGTCTGGCTTTTGATTCACGGTCCGTCATTTCGTCGAAACTTCTCGTCAGGATTCTTTTCTTCAGAGATAGAGTGAGAAAGGTCCTCGGAAAGAAGAGGAATTCATATTTCAGTCTGGTGGTGTCAGGGAGAACAGGTCAAACAGTGCAAATATACCAAGCAAAAAAATAAGAATAAAAATAAAAATTAAGACTTTGATAAGGCTGTGGTTCCAGCGGCTCCTATCAACCTTCCAATCGACACAAAGCTGTCTCTCGAACCGTGACAATCACAAAGGCGCGTGTACAGCTGGCACAAGGAATGGCGTGTAAAGATTATGTATTGCCGGCGTTCATTGCCCATCAATGCGCCCGATAATATAGGAGTTCTTGGGTGGGAATGATATGAAAAAGTACAGTCCTCCTCCGCCTCCTCGATCCTCTGAGGTCCTCCACTTTGGTAAGAGAGGGACTTATTCTGCAACCGGCATGCTCTCCAACTGGTCGACCAGACTGCGCCAGTTGCTGGCCTGCAATTCTGCATACTTGACCCGCTCTTGACTCCAGTCTTGATGCATACGGCTGATGGCATAGATGGTCGTCTGGAATGTCACAATCTCATCCCTCACGCATTCCTTTATAAAGATGCCGCGAGCATGTTGCTGTACAATGCTCTCCTTATCAGACATGATGCTGCTTTCCACTTTCTCAATTTCTCCTGGCTTCACTTGTCCCGGTGGCTTCTGTCGTAATTGTTGCAACTTATTTTCGGATGCTTCGATGCGTCGCTCCAGTTGAGGTATGTTGTCCCTGGCATACCGATCTCGTCGATCAAACAAATCACGCATAGACACAAAATTATCGCGGATCGATTTGAGATCCTCAAGCACTCCTGTATCCCAAGCTTTGGCCTCGTCCTCGAGTAATGTCTGGGTAGTAGCAAGGTGTTTGGCTGTCGACTTGATGCCTTCATTCAGGAGCGGCACATCATTCGGATCAATTGCATACGTATCGTTGCTGCATTCGGTGAGATGAGACAGCGCATTCGAGAACTTCAAACTGTCCAGAGCAAGTCCTTCGTTCCGCTTTACCAATCGTTCCATCCAAACACAGAGACTAATGTAGACCTCTGCCGAGCGGCGCACGCCTTGTCGTACTTGATCGAAAAGTTCGGGAAGATTAGACGGCAGGCTGTCCTCCAGACTGGGCGGTAAAGCCTTGCCGGTGAATTCTTCTTGGACAGAGATAGTAGCCTGTTTTCGCCAAACCGCAAGCTCCTGAGAACAGTGTCAGCTATTCGTCCTCGTAACAGCGTATGAGATGATGACTCATACTGTTGGCACCGTCAGGAACATCACCACAAGGGTCTCCTGACTCAAGACTGGATGTTGAACAAGGGAGTTCGAAAATCGAATCAGTCCTCGTCTGCGTTTCTCGAGAAAGACCGCGGCATCTGCCGTGAGATGAGCCCCGTTCACTAGAAATTCGATTCAGCCAGAATCTCTGCTAGAGCACGGAATTCTTACCTTGGACCCGTTTGGGAGGCAGTAGCGGGAGACGCCTGAAAGGATATCGTTTTTGCAAGCAGTCGAGCAACCAAACAAAATCGCTGTATCGCCTCACAACACTGCTGCCTCTCCGAGTTGTCTTGACTTCGTAATTGCGATGTTGAAACATAAACATTCCCTCCTTTTCCGGCAGTGTTGTGATGGTGACTGTTTCGCCGGTCCCTGGTGGTAGACTGATACTTTGTGACACCGCATTTCGTGGCTCTTGATCTTGCCGATTTGATTGCTGGTTATCTCCCGGGTCTCCGAACCCTCCACCGAGAGTAGGTTGTTCTGAGAAGCCTCCCGAACTGCCGTTGTAGCTGTTCCACCCAGTACCTGCACTTTCGGATGAACGCTCATTTGTTGGACTCCCATTACTACTGCCATGGCTCGCTCCTGTCGTGAAGGCACTTGTTGTTCTTGCAATGCCATTGGGAATGCTCTTAGCACCATCGTCAGAGGCGCCGCCGACAGGCATGGCGTGAGCGGCGGTGGAGGGAGGCGGCAGTCTGTGGTTGGACGGACTAGCCCATGGATCTGACGTTGGATCGTTTCCAAATGAGTCTTCTCGAGGTTTTTGTGGTCTGACTGGGGTGGCTTTGGCTGCTGGAGGAGAGGGGGCGTGCGGCCGGGCGCTGCTTGCCCGTAATTGATCCAAGTATCCAATTCTGGGTTCGGGCAATTCTGGAGAATGTCAGTATTGCGCTGATGCTCGGGGCCTCGTAGACTCACTTCGCCTCCTTTCATCTACGCCATCAAGGGTGATATCTTCACCCTCCTGACCCAATCCGACTAAAGCGAGCAAAACGTTGAACTCGCTCCTGCCGACCCCATTGGCACTTTCCTGGCCACTCGGGATCACAAAATTCAAGATCTTTGTTTGTTCCTGCTCACTGAGATTGCTGCTCTGTAGAAGGCGCCTAATGCCTGCCAAACCAATGCCCACTCCCGTCCCCTCGTTCGCATGCAGCACGGCATCATATGCATCGACATAGCTCTCGGGCACGTCCGTGGCCGGGAGAAGATTCTTGACTAGATTCTGCCGCGCTGACTTTTTGGGAGTAGGCATTGACCATGGCGAGTCGCCTCCATCGTCGGCAAAGAGAGATGATGTGGATGTTTTGTGCACCGGCTCGTCGCCAAACAGAGATTTGGAGTTTAGTGGCGCATTTTCAGTGGGCGAGGAACCGAACAGGGACATGATGACGAGTCGATAACTTCGGAGCAAGGGCAGAGGCTGGCTACATAAACTGCGGCTTGGACATTGAGCTGAGATATGTTGGCGAGGACTGCGCGCAACCAAACTGGGCAGACTGGGCTCGTCGATCCGTGGCGCAAGTGCTATCGCAATCAATGACTTCAAGTTGGAGATCCGGATGGAGCTGCGGCGACAGCCTTGGCACTGGCAGCCATATTAGCGGAGCTCTACGGAGTACTATTGTCCCGTTCGTGCAATCATAGGTCATACCCTCGGTATGTACCAATCTCGCGAGACAGCAAACACATTGAGGGCGGATCAATTCAGCAGACAATAGGCACCGAGTTGAGGATTGTGTCGGTATGAACAGGAAGGTAATAAAATAACACACGAGAGCACTTGTCAAGCGGGCACTGGAATGCTTCACGCCATAGCGTTGCCTGCAGCAGTTAAGTCTCAAGCCCCTGAAGAGCATAGAATAGTCTCTGAAGATCAGAACTTGATGGAATTATAAGAAGATGAAAAGGATTGACCATTCTCCTCAACTTTAGATGGCGAGAGACCTATCTAAATAGCTTTACTAGCCTGTGTGGATATCGTAAAGAGCAAAGCATTGCCGGAAACATGCACCCTTATAAACAACAACTAAATAGTCAATGAGGTATGTTGAGGCACTCTGCTCCATCTGAACTGCACTA